GATCCTGCTCTGTTCCAGTAACAAGAAGCCGAAAGCACCAGCCTGAAGATGACGAGTGAGACCTCGTCGAAACGTCGCCTAGACACCCCAACTTTTACACGGGAAGACACCCGAGGACACCAAAACCTGCATGTGTATATATATATATATATGCAGGTTTTGGTGTCCTCGGGTGTCTTCCCGTGTAAAAGTTGGGGTGTCTAGGCGACGTTTCGACGAGGTCTCACTCGTCATCTTCAGGCTGGTGCTTTCGGCTTCTTGTTACTGGAACAGAGCAGGATCTCAGTGTTTGAGTTCCTATAAATACTGTTGAGGAGGTGTGGTGTATAGCCTCCAATGTTCTGGGCAGAGAGGAAGTTCCCAGGCTAGTGTGCCTTTTCTTCTTTTGTTCCTTAATTACTTGAGGGATATCTTGAGTGATTTCTTGAGTGATATCCTGAGTACCACTTAAACACAATAAACACAACATAAACACATAAACTCCATAAACACAACATCAAAACAGCCTTTTGCACCAACCAAAAAATAGCCAATATCCTCAGAAACCCCAAGGATAAAATCCAGTTGGAAAACCAAGGGGTCTATGAAATACCCTGCAAAGTCTGCCCAGCCACGTACATTGGACAAACAAACAGACGAATAAATGCACGCATCGCAGAACACAAGAATGCCGTCAAAAAAGAAGAAAAAACTTCCTCTCTTTTCCAACACATGAAAGAAACAGGACACGAAATTAATTTTGCAGACTCCAAATTGCTCTTTAACATGGAACATCACCACAAGAGAATAATCATGGAAGCCATCGAGATAGAGAAACACCCTCACAACATGAACAAGCGTGACGACACATCCCGCCTGCCAGACATCTGGAAATTAGCCCTCCCCACAAAAACCGACACCAGATCCAGAGGCACACAGAACGCCATCACCAATCAACCACACCAGACCCAAACCCAGACCCTCTCCACAGATAAATTACAGACACCATCCAGTAGCCAAACCATGTTGGCACCTCCGGATGCTGCACCCCCCTGCAATCCCTACACAGATCTGGCTGGCACAAGCCACAAAACCACATCTCGCCCCTATACACGAAGCCAAGCCAGAGCACAACTAAGTGCAGTACAGCCATCTTCTCAGAAAAACACGAAGGCTTTAGCAACTAATCCACACCTAATGACCCACCTAAGTGGTACTCAGGATATCACTCAAGAAATCACTCAAGATATCCCTCAAGTAATTAAGGAACAAAAGAAGAAAAGGCACACTAGCCTGGGAACTTCCTCTCTGCCCAGAACATTGGAGGCTATACACCACACCTCCTCAACAGTATTTATAGGAACTCAAACACTGAGATCCTGCTCTGTTCCAGTAACAAGAAGCCGAAAGCACCAGCCTGAAGATGACGAGTGAGACCTTGTCGAAACGTCGCCTAGACACCCCAACTTTTACACGGGAAGACACCCGAGGACACCAAAACCTGCATTCCTGTACCCGTGAAAATCTACGAAAGCAAATATATATATATATATATATAATCTGAAAGCACTTTCATTCTTTCTTAAAAATCAGTTTCCCACAAATATATCATTTCCATCGCTTGATAAAATTCTGCTTTGCAAGCTGGAACATTTTGAAAACCAAAATTTACATTTTTTTTCAGCAACAGAAACTACAGCTCCCACAAAAACAAACAAACAACAACCTAAAAGGGGTGGGAAGACAAAAAGATTTTCACATGTTTGCAGGAAGCAATTGGGATTTGTTTAAATGCTGTTTGTCACCGAAGCCAATTGACAGTTATTATCATATATCAGAATTCAAATTCCTTTCCTTTCAGATCAGTTGCGGTTTGCTGATCAAAGTGAAAATCCTGATACCCCCCACCTCATGAACTCTTACATCATCATCAGACCTTGCATCAAAGAGTGAATCGGAATATTCCATGAAGGATTTGTCCAGAGTTTGTTGTAAAGGCCATAGGGATGTAGCAATTTCAACACTCACAACTTTCTGTGTAACTCTGTTTCCTAATCTGTGCTGCTGCGGGAGGTTTAGGATAAGGCAGACATGACCCTCTGCCAGTAGATGAAGCATTTAAAAACTTCCCTGTACAGGGCTGCCTTCAGACGTCTTCTAAAACTTATATAGTTACTTATCCCTTTGATTCAGGGATTGCAGATCTCCATACACTCCAACATTTCTCCAATGAAAATAGGGATATCCTAAGGAAAAGCGGGACATTCCCGGATCAAATAAAAAACCAGCACAGCTTCTGTAAATGAAGGACTGTCCCTGGAAAATAGGAGTGTCTGAGTGTCTGGGGAACACTGTACAATTCTCTGGGCTTTCACATATTTTACAATGTTTTACAATGAGGTCAGTTTTAAAAAAGAAGTTCAGCCTTGGCTTTCCTCTTTCTGTCTATTCATCCATATCTGAGAAACGATAGTTAAAGAAAAGAGAAGTCTTAAGGGTAACATCAAATACTAACGGAAAATTAATTGACTATTTATTTATGTGTTGGAACAGTATGCGCAGTAAAACCTCTCCAACTTCTTTTAAAATAGCCTTGGTCGCAAATGCCCTTCTGTAGCTTGAATCTAGGCTGTTGCAAAAGGGGACTTTTGAAGTTAAGCATGTTCTTATGCACATTCTTGCACAATCCGATTGCTCTTTAGATCTCCTCGTTTAAAAGTAGTTAAGATGTTACGGTTTTGTTATGCTTATAGCATTCTCCTTTAAAACTATGGCTATCTCCTGCTGTCAAAAACATTCAGGAGAATAATAATAATAATAAATTTATCCGCCCAACAGGGTATTAAAAACACAATAAAACATCAAACATTAAAAGCTTCCCTAAACAGCCTTCAGATGTCTTCTAAAAGTCATATAGTTTGTTCCCTTGACATCTGATGGCAGGGCGTTCCACAAGGTGGGTGCCACTACCGAGAAGGCCCTCTGCCTGGTACCCTGTAATCTCACTTCTCACAGTAAGGGAACCGCCAGAAGGCCCTCGGCACTGGACCTCATTGTCTGGGCTGAAAGAGTGGGATGGAGATGCTGCTTCAGGTATACTGGGCCTTCCTGCCCAACCATCTACCAGTTTCAAAGTTGGAGACAAGCACGTTTAAAAATTTGCTTTGGTCTTTCACAAGTGCACAACAGCAACAGACAAAATAATAAGAGGCATGTCTAGATCTAAGGTGCCCTCAATAACACAGAGTGTGGGATTGTTTCTTCCTAACTGTAGTTAGGGAGAAAAGCAAGGGAGTGATTTCAACGTTTGCAACTTGTGAGAATGTAAATAGCTCAGAAGCAAATTGGTTTACGCAGAAACAACAAGGGATCCGAATCCATCTACCTGCATTTGTGATTGCCCAACGGATATAGAATTGACTAACACCCGAGAATACAGCATGCCCCTGCATTTACTGAATTGTCCTTGTTCTTCCCACGGCGTGAGCTACTTACCGGTCTCAGCACCCGTAGGACTTCTTTCATAACTTGCTCTGGGCTCTTCACAGAGCATAGCACCAGTGTTGAAACCACCACATCCACCGATGCAGCTGGTACCTGGTGCAGGTCCTCAGCTGGAGCCACCAAACAGCGTTCCACCTGCACATGTGGATTTTCAGCCACGCTCTTGTTGAGAAACTTCTGGAAGTTGGGGTTCGGATCAGTGCATATGATTTTGCATCCCGCGGGGTAGAACTGAAAGTTGGAGCCAGTTCCCGCACCAATCTCCAACAGTGTGAGGGCCCCGGTGGGACTGGCAAAGTCCTTCAGGTTGCTGAACATTTCCTTTTTCTTGTCAGACATGTGCTTATTATAACAGATGGTCACCACAGCCATGAGGTAGGGGAATAACTTCTTGCAAAGGGGTTCCCAGATACCCAGATACCATAGCAAGTAAGCAGGGAAGGCTAATATCTGGACGCAGAACCTGAGCAGGACAACTAGGCATGTTGCTTCCATGTTAGCAGGAGGGCAGAAAACAGCAAAGTCAGAGGAGAAGAGAAAGTCAGTCGCAGAGTCTCGAGGGTGGGGCTTGTTTTTATCTGCAGCTTCCAGTCCTAAATAACTAGCCAGTTAAAACGAAGCAACCAAGTTCCAGGAATAGCTTGATATATGTTAAAGGTACAGCTGCCAGAGCCCTTGGCAGTGACCACACTGGCTGCGAGATCTCAAAGGGTGGAGAGGAATATTCTTCATAAACTAAACACACTCACACACACACACACACACACACTCACCAATAACCTTGTGTGTGCACGCACTCGTAATCTTGCCCCTGTCAGAGGGAATTTAAAAACTGCATTTGCTGTATTTAAGTTCCCTGTCAGAAGGAACTTAAAAGCTGTATTTGCTGTCTTTAAGAGGGAAATAATCTCATTTAGGGGGTATTCTAACACTTTATTGCAGCATTGTACTCTGCGGTCCTAAGGGCCGGATTTACATATAAGCTAAACAAGTTATAGCTTAGGGCCCCACTGTCTTGGAGCCCCCCCCCCCCCATTTGAAGGAAACAAAACTTGTACATTTCCAAAATATAAGATAAAAAACAAATAAAACAAAACATACATACACCAACACTGTTTTGTGTTGTGTAGGCTTTAAGTGCAGGGAAGGGACTCCGTGGGTTTCAGGAAAGGTCTCTGTTAGCACCGCACTGGCAGCACCTGCGATAGGAACCTCTCAACCATCTTCCAAATTAAAAGGAAATTCTGTTTAAGGTAATCGACAATGGTGTGGTGTAGTGGTTAAGAGCAGTGGACTCATAATCTGGTGAACTGGGTTTGTTACCCCGCTCTTCCACATGCAGCTGCTGGGTGACCTTGGGCTAGTCACACTTCTCTGAAGTCTCTCAGCCTCACTCACCTTACAGAGTGTTTGTTGTGGGGGAGGAAGGGAAAGGAGATTGTTAGCCACTTGGAGACTCCTTAAGGGGAGTGAAAGTCGGGATATCAAGTCCAAACTCTTCTTCTTCTGATATCCCAACCTCCATGGGGACCAGATGCTTCCAGGGAGAATAGTTATGGTAGTTCATGCATGCTCACGTGTAAGTGAATGAGGCAAGCCCAAGCTATGTGTTATGGCAACATTCACATCTGCATGGGAGCAGCTGGATTGTGGAAAGTGAAGGTAGCTGGACAGTCTGTCAAGTGGAAATAAAAAATGGATTGGCGATAACATACATGTGTGTGCATCCAATTATAGATTGCACAAGAGGTTCACAGGCCATAGGTGACATAGTGATGGGTTGTCCTATAATTCTTATGGTTAGGTTCTACACCCCAACCCAGAGACACCTGCATGGAGATTTTGTTCAGTAATTTATTTCCAAGCTACTTTACAGCATAACCTATGATATGCGGCTTATTAGGTTGCCATTTTAAAGGGACATGTATGTGTTGCAGCTTCAGCTCTGAGAAGCCAGCTTTTTCCAGGTCGTTCCAGGTTTCTCTGGCCAAGTGGCACCCGTCAAACAGACATATCCAAACTGGATCATAGATCTGCTGCCAGAAAAGAGTCCAGCTGGAAGGAGCACCTGCAACGTGTTCTAGGAAGTAGAAAGCGCCACCCTGGAGAAACAGAAATGAATGCATATAAGTTACTTTCTATTCTCCTTTGGAGTTCCTCAGATATTCCTTTGCACAATCAGTGCTAATGGTATCAGAGTGCTGTTGATTTTTCATGGCAACAGCCACTGTTCCCCTGAATTCTGTACTGAATCTTCCCACATTCAGCTGCATTGGATGGCTTTGGGGTTCTAGTCTTATGAGAGGAACACGGAAAGCTCAGTGGGTTAGAGTGTGGTGCTGAGAATGCCAAGGTTGCAGGTTTGATCCCTGTACGGAACAGCTGCATACTCCTGCCTTGTAGGGGGTTGGACTAGATGATCTCCAGGCTCCCTTCTAATTCTAAAATTCTATGATTTCTCTGTCCGCTTTCTCCATTCCGAGCATAATATTACACATCTCCATCATTTGCCTTTTCTCACAGCTGCTACAAGCTGGGTCAACATCTTCACCAACATCTTCATAGGCCATTTTAATGCCCATTCGCTCAGTTTGGAGCAGGAGTGGCAACTTGAATAAAATATTGGGGAAGGCCAGGTATGCCCCTCCCCATATAATCAACCACAAGAAGTAGTAAACAGACACACTCCATTTTAATCGTATTGCCCATCACCTTTGGGGGTTCCCGGCCCCCTCAAATATTTTATTAGTGGGGTCAATGGGACCTCGGCCCCTAGGAGCTGGTTCTATGGTTTGGAGAAATCCTTTTGGAGCTTTTCACCACCCCTTTTTGCCAACGTGAAATTTTTTTTTATGTATGTTGAAAGCAGCCCAGAGTGGTTGGGGCAACCAATAATACAATTGCTGCTGCTGCTGTTTAATAGGATGTCCCTATTTTCATCATATAATGTTGGAGGGTATGAGATCTGTCACTAGAGTCAGTTAACAGCTCAGCCAAGGGTGATTTTGAGTTTGCCCCCGACTTTGCCAGTTTCATTGGTAAGCAGAGATGGAAGATGTCAAGGAAATCTCAGTGGGTGAAACAGATACATTTTACTCACTATACTTCGAAAGGAAAGAGAGGCTATAATGTGTTTAAAAAGCCATTTGCAAACATGAATCATTCTATTTTGATTTTTTTTAAAAAAGGCAGGTGGGGATAGACACAAAACAAATGCAGAGAGGCTGAAATGTGAGGAGGAGGAATAATAATAATTTAATTATTTATTCATTCATACATACATACATACATACAGGTTTCCCCATCCACGCTGGATGGCTCCCTACAGAATATTAAAAACACGATAAAAGATCAAGCATTAAAAACGTCCCTAAACAGGGCTGCCTTGAGATGTCTTCTAAAAGTTTATTTCCTTGGCAGGGCGTTCCACAGAGTGGGCGCCACTACCGAGAAGGCCCTCTGTCTGGTTCCCTTCACTGCTCAAAGTGAGCGAACCGCCAGAAGGCCCTCGGAGCTGGATCTCAGTGACGGGAGTAGAGAGGCTGCTTCAGGTATACTGGGCCTTTCTGCCCAACCCTCTTATCAGTTTCAACATAAGAGACAAGCATGTTTAAAAATTTGCTTTGGTCTATCACAAGTGAGCAATAACAACGGACAAAATAATAAGAGGCATGTCTAGATCTGTCTAAGGTGCTCTCAGTAACACAGAGTGTGGGATTGTTTCTTCCTAACTGTAGTTAGGGAGAAAAGCAAGGAAGTGGTCCCAATGTTTGCAACTTATGAGAATGTAAATAGCTCAGAAGCAAATTGGTTTACGCAGAAACAACAAGGGATCCGAATCCATCTACCTGCATTTGTGATTGCCCAACGGATATAGAATTGACTAACACCCGAGAATACAGCATGCCCCTGCAGTTACTGAATTGTCCTTGTTCTTCCCACGGCGTGAGCTACTTACCGGTCTCAGCACCCGTAGGACTTCTTTCATAACTTGCTCTGGGCTCTTCACAGAGCATAGCACCAGCGTTGAAACCACCACATCCACCGATGCAGCTGGTACCTGGTGCAGGTCCTCAGCCGGAGCCACCAAACAGCGTTCCACCTGCACGTGTGGATTTTCAGCCAGGCTCTTGTTGAGAAACTTCTGGAAGTTGGGGTTCGGATCAGTGCATATGATTTTGCATCCCACGGGGTAGAACTGAAAGTTGGAGCCAGTTCCTGTGCCAATCTCCAGCAGTGTGAGGGCCCCCGTAGGACTGGCAAAGTCTTTCAGGTTGCTGAACATTTCCCTTTTCTTGTCGGACATCTGCTTATTATAACTGATTGACATCACAGACATGAAGTAGGGGAATAACTTCTTGCAAAGGGGTTCCCAGATACCCAGATACCACAGCAAGTAAGCAGGGAAGGCTAATATCTGGACGCATAACCTGAGCAGGACAACGAGGCATGTTGCTTCCATGTTAGCAGGTGGGGCTTGTTATTATCTGTTGCTTCCAGTCCTCAAAGATCTCAAAGGGTGGAAAGAAATATTGTTAATAAACTCCACACACACACAAACTCACCAATAAAATTGTTTGTGCATGCACTTGTAATCTTGCCCGTCAGAGGAACTTAAAAACTGTATTTGCTGTCTTTAAGAGGGAAATAATCTCATTTAGGGGGTATTCTTATACTTCATTGCAGCAGTGTACTCCGCGGTCCTGTAGTAACCCAAAGTGACTGTTGGTTTAAATTTGTTACAAGCTTTTCCTAAATATAAGGGGGAACCTTTTTCCCATGGCAAAAGTCTTTCACACCAAAACTGCGCTGAAAAATGTTGGAGTGGAAGGATTTGAAACTAGTCTTCAGTGGTATATTTGCTTCCCTTGTGGGTTTTTTTGTCTCAAGCAGCTGCAGACTTGAGCAGCACAGTCCTGCCCTGCAAATGCTTTACTTTTATTCGCTCTAGCTGTTCTTTTGGTCTCTCTATGGCAGGAGAGACATGGGCACCTGATGGTTTTTATTACCTACTTTAGGTTAATTATAAATCTCCCTAGCCAGTGCAGAAGATGAGAATATAGGCATATGGCAATCTTTTCAGAACAACTGGGCCCTGTAGCAGGATCAGTGCTGGATTTAAGGTAAAGGGACCCCTGACCATTAGGTCCAGTCGTGACCGACTCTGGGATTGCGGCGCTCATCTTGCTTTATTGGCCGAGGGAGCCGGCGTACAGCTTCCGGGTCATGTGGCCAGCATGACTAAGCCGCTTCTGGCGAACCAGAGCAGCGCACGGAAATGCTGTTCACCTTCCCGCCAGAGCGGTACCTATTTATCTACTTGCACTTTGATGTGCTTTTGAACTGCTAGGTTGGCAGGAGCAGGGACCGAGCAATGGGAGCTCACCCTGTCGCGGGGATTCGAACCTCCGACCTTCTGATCGGCAAGTCCTAGACTCTGTGGTTTAACCCACAGCGCCACCTGCGTCCCTGTGCTGGAATTATGTGTAAGCTAAACAAGCTATAGCTTAGGACCCTACTCTCTTGGGGGCCCCCAAAAATTTTACAGGGAAAAAACCTGGATGCACATTTCCAAAATGTAAGATAAAAAAAATAAAAATAAAACCTACATAAAGCAACAGTGTTTTGTGTTGTGTAGGCACCTGTGATGAAAATAATGGGCCCCGCCTGTTACCTAAAATATCACTGGTTTGCTCGTTTCTATATATAGGGTGCCTACAATCTGCTATTTATAATTAGTAGTTTGCATCATATATTTACACCTATTATTATTTCTTGTTATAGCAAGTTTCTAGAGACTAGATTATGAGTCTTTGTAAATTGTGCTTCTAAAGGAACTTTTGTTATTGCCAAATGCCAATGTGTTTGCATTATTAAGTTTGTTATGAATAAAAAATAATTTAAAGTTAGAGGTTAATAATTATTTCACTATTAATGTACTTGTTAATTGCATTTCAGTTCAACAATTACTTTGATAAAATACATATTTTGTTATGTGCAAATGGCTTTGGATACCTATTAGGTCTATAAATTACCATATAGCATATATTCAAAACACAAAAACAGTGACAATTTGTTGTTGACAAAGGACAAGTGGACCTATAAAGGGCCCCATTATCTTCAGTAACTTAGGACCTCATCAAACCTAAATCCGGCCCTGAGCAGGATGTGTATCCTGCTCAGGGATCCTGTGTGTATCCTGTGTGGGGATTTTCTGTGTGAAGGGGCCATCAGTGCCAGAGCAGTTAGGTTTTTTTGTGGGGGTCAATGTGGGGTGTATGGGGTTGCAGTGTGTGGCATGGCGGTTAGGGGCTTGCAGTGCAGGATACATGCATAGTTGCCCCAATCTGAACTTTTTAGTTTACTACTTTTTAGTTTACTACTACATCTGCGCAGTTGACATGATTCACCAAGGGGCATATTTTATATTAAAAGCAATCTCAAACAGCAGAGGAATATTTGAGGTCACTGGGAGAGTCAAAATGGCTTCAGGATTGCTCTCCTGTACTACCTCAGACACATGGCTTATATATTTAGATATATGAGCATTTATGAATATTTATTCTGTATTTGAGACCTTAGAATTCTTATACAGTAACACTATCCCTGACTTTGCACTCTGCTTGCTTCTAGATCAGTTCTACCAACCACCACCTTACCTTGTACTGTGGCAAATTCTCACAGCTGCTTGCACATCTGTAATGTTGCTGCCTGAATCAGCCCCTTTATACTCTTCCTCTTTTATTTCATGCAATAAACCAATGGTTCTTTATTCATCCTAGTGTGTTCATCTTGTGGCACAGGCATCTCGCAAGGATACATTATTTAGACTAGCATCAGATAAAAAAAGATATTTGGTACTGTATTAAGTTCTGTATCTCTCTTTATAAACTCTAATAAAATTTATTTTAAAAAATATAAACTGTGTGGAGATTTTTGTTATTGTTACCGTGCTATGTATTTTTGTGTCTTTATATTGTAAACTGCCCAGTGATCCTTGGATGAAGGGTGGTGTAGAAATTTAATTTTTTAAATAAATAAAATTAGGAAGCCAGTGGAACCAATTCAAAATCCCTTTCAAAGCTGTTATTATTAAGTCTGTGAAACCCTCTACTGCCAACACAGCTGTTAGAAGCAAAGATCACCAGTGTTGAAACGATGATTCTTCAAAATCAACTTCGTTGGACTGGTCATGAGGGAGCTCATAATAGCAGGGCTGCATTAGTTGGGTTTTTTTTGGGGGGGGAGGGGAGTTTCCTCCCCTTGTTGTGATCCTGATGAAAATGGCTCGTAAGGCCATTTGCCTTAGGAGGAAACTGCCCACCAGCACCTACGTATCAGCTTCAAGTTTAAGCCTGGTCTGTGATTGCCACAGGTTTTGCAAAACAGGGAAGAGCACCAGTGACTGAGTTGTTAGGCATAAAATTTTACAGGAAAGCACTAGGTTTATGCCTCTTCTCCCAAAGACTGGACCTCCCTTTTAGACTTAGCATCCTGTGTCTTGGGCAATTTCCAGATCACCAGGTCCTCCCTTCGCCCTCAAACATGCATCCCAATTTGTTTGCAGGAGGAATATAAAATGTTGCGTCATTCCACACTTCCCAGTGCATGATAGTGCGAAAGTCTGACCTTTGGGGGGAAGCAGGTTTGTTGTGTAAGAGCTGTGCAAACAGCTGCTGTTGCACAACCTGAATTGGCCAAAGTGCAATTATTATTATTACTTATTGAATTACTGCCGGGTATACTGCAATATATATATATATATCGGATGTTTTCATATATCTATTATCTATATGAGAAAACATCCAGACATCCCTCTGCCTTTATGAACAAGGAGGGGAGATCCGATCACAATTCCTTGCATGGCATTTGCACTGGCTCTGCTGTTAGGAGCTTTTTCTATGGAAGGACCTGTTTGTTTAGGTTTACATCCCCGTTTCTTGGGGCAGTTTTAGAATCTGCGCGAACATACATTGACCCTTATTTATTTATTTATTTATTTATTTATTTATTTATTTAAAAAAGGTAAACAGAACGCAACGTGTTAACGCGTCGGTAACTTGATGCGCATATCCGGATTATGAATTCGTACATTTGACGCCCAAACCTCACCGTTTCCAGGAGGCGTTGAAAACGGCCAACCTTTCCCTTGCCCAGCGGCGAAGGAAACGAGGGGAAGCTGGGGGCACCGCTTGGAGGCGCCACTGCGATGTACGACTGCTGTGTCACCTCAGGAAGGCGGAGGCGGCGAAGGCCGCCCTCGCCTCTACCCTTCTGCCTTTGAGCCGAGAAAGAGCCGGGAAAAACCCGACGGGCGAGAGACGTTGAGCACGACCTCTCCGACCATCTCGGAGGAAGGGGCCGGAGCCAGGCCCTCAGCCGCCGACCAAGGGCCGCCAGCAAAGCGGCGCCTCAGCCGCCCCCCCCCCCCGACGGCCAACCGTCGCCTCACGTTCAAATCAAGCGCGCGCGCGCGAGAGAGAGCAACGGCCGCTCCTGGAAGGGGCAGGACTGGATGTCAGCTGAAAATAGTTCCCACCTGAAAGCTGCCTTAGCTTCTGCATGAGCTTCCTCCCTTTTGCTGATGTCTCCTCATCGCTATACGCACACACCGTTTGAATGGCAATGCCCATCAACTTGGGATGTGGGGCTCAAATATGCCTCCCTGTGCCTCCCACTCGCTGGTCTGAGCACTCTTTGGACTTCACTGAGGACATAGCTGTCAACTTTCAGATTTGAAAATAAGGGATCAGCAGCCTCACCTGTCCCGGGGACAGTCTACGGGATATCTAAGAAGCGGGAAGCAGTGGGAAACAGCGCTGGAATAAGGGAATTTCCCACAAAAAAGGGAAGGTTGACAGCTATGGCTGAGGATGGCCGTGACGTTGGTCACCAAGCACAGGTCCACCGTGTGCATGACCAAGTCCATGGAGCCTTTGGGAACGGCACACAGATCCTCTCCGGGGGTGACAATGAAGCCCTCAAAGCACAGGTGCTGGTTCTTGGGGACGCTCTTCAGGAGATACCTCCCAAAGTTGGGTTTGGGGTCGCTGCAGGTGATAGTCCGGCAGCCCGGTGGGTAGAACAATGGTTTTAGACAGTGGTTCTCAACCAGAGTACCGGGGCACCCTGGGGTGCTTTGAATGATAGGGGTAAAGGTAAAGGGACCCCTGACCATTAGGTCCTGTCGTGGCCGACTCTGGGGTTGCGACGCTCATCTCGCTTTATTCCCCGAGGGAGCCGGCGTACAGCTTCCGGGTTATGTGGCCAGCATGACTAAGCCACTTCTGGCAAACCAGAGCAGCACACGGAAACACTGTTTGCCTTCCCACCAGAGCGGTACCTAGTTATCTATTTGCAATTTGACGTGCTTTCGAACTGCTAGGTTGGCAGGAGCAGGGACCGAGCAACGGGAGCTCACCCCGTCGCGGAGATTCGAACTGCCATCCTTCTGATCGGCAAGTCCTAGGCTCTGTAGTTCAACCCACAGCGCCACCTGCGTCCCTAATGATAGGGGTACTGTGCACAATACTTGCCTCTGTCCCTTTCCTTCCTTCTTTCCCTCCTCTGATGCCTTCTGTACCTCCCAAAGGCTTGTGTGACACAGGGTGGTTCACAGAACAAAATCAAAATATAAAACCACAATATATGTAATCAAAATAAAAACAACAACCCAATAACACCCCCCCACAAGAACCACGTGTTAAAAGGGCATAGGATGTCAGTCAAAACAACAAAAGGCCTGGTTAAAAAGGAACGTTTTTGCCTGGCCCCTAGGCAAACTTCCCTGGGAGGAGCATTCCACAGATCGGGCACCACTGCAGAGAAGGCCTGTTCTAAGGTCGCCACCCTCTGCACCTCTTGAGGAGGAGGCACACAAAGGAGGGCCTCAGAAGATGATAACAGGGTCCTGGTAAAGACAGTCCCTGAGGTATTGCGGTCCTGAGCCATTTAAGGCTTTACAGTACAGTGGTACCACTGGTTAAGAACTTAATTCGTTCCGGAGGTCCGTTCTTAACCTGAAACTGTGCTTAACCTGAAGCACCACTTTAGCTAATGGGGCCTCCCGCTGCTGCTGTGCGATTTCTGTTCTCATCTTGAAACAAAGTTCTTAACCCGAGGTACTATTTCTGGGTTAGCGGAGTCTGTAACCTGAAGCGTCTTTAACCTGAAGTACCACTGTATAGGTTAAAACCAGCACTTTGAATTGAGCCCAGAAACTAATTGGTAGCCAGTGCAGTTGGACCAGGATTTGTGTAATATGCTCAAACAGTCTTGCCCGGTTAGCAACCTGGCCCCAGAATTCTGCACTGGCTGAAGTTTCCAAACTGTCTTCAGAGACAACCCTACATATACAGTGGTGCCTCGCAAGACGGAAAACCCGCTAGACGAAAGGGTTTTCCGTTTTGGAGGTGCTTCACAAAACGAATTTCCTATCGGCTTGCTTTGCAAGACGAAAATGTCTTGCGAGTTCCTGCAGGGTTTTTTTCCTCCCCCCCTTTTCCCCAAGCCACTAAGCCGCTTATCAGCTGATCCGCTAAGCCGCTTAACAGCTGATCCGCTAAGCCGCTTAACAGCTGATCCGCTAAGCCGCTTAACAGCTGATCCGCTAAGCCGCTTAACAGCTGATCGCTAAGCCGCTTATCAGCTGATCCGCTAAGCCGCTTATCAGCTGATCCGCTAAGCCGCTTATCAGCTGATCCGCTCATCCGCTAATGGGCTTGCTTCGCAAGACGAAAAAAACCGCAAGACGAAGAGACTCGCGGAACGGATTCTTTTCGTCTTGCGAGGCACCACTGTAAGGCATTGCAGTAATCTAACCTTAAGGTTACGAGAGCCTAGACAACAGTAGTTAGGCCACCCCTGTCCAGATAGGGATGTAGCTGGGCCACCAGCCAAAGCTGATGGAAGGCACTTTGGGCCACTGAGGCCACCTGAGCCTCGAGCAACAGCAAGGATGCAGGAGTACCCCCAAGCTACAAACCTACTCCTTCAGAGGAAGTGTAACCCCATCAAGAGCAGGTGACCTCCCCCTCATCTGATCTAGGGAACCGCCCACTCACATTGCCTCTGCCTTATCTGGACTGAGCTTCAGTCTGCTCTTACTGTCACTAGGCTAATCTGTTAGGTTCTTTTCCTACCATCCCTTGATTGGTTTATTGGGTTTCTTGGAACATTGCAGCAGACTATAATGGGTGCAACCATCGTTGTGCTTTTTATTTTATTTTTTACCTTCCAGCTGTTGCTAAACTACAATTCCCATCAGTCCCAGCAAGCATAGCCAGGTGACAAGGGGTGATGTGGAGTTGAAGCTCAGCAATGTGAAGGGCCAAAGACCTGATCTATAGCATGTTTTTGTCTAAAGACCCTTCTCTAAATAACTTTGATGCTTGGAGCAATTTCTGTGGATTCCTTCAAAGTGTGCCCATGCTATGGATGGAAATAATGCACAAGCAAAGGAAGAGAAAAGCAGGAAGGAGCCATTTCTGAGCAGCATGCGCTAATGTTGTGTGCAGCTTCCATGCAAAGCAACAGGAGGCAGTGTCAGCATCCGAGTTTTTCCCTGTCAAACTGTCTGAGCTCTGCCCGGTACTGTTTTACCAATTACCAGCAATTAAATCAATCCATGTTAACAGACTGGTGTGTCCGGTGATGTCGCTGGGCCTCTCCTTTTTTGCTCAGTGCGCCGTATGTGGGCAGCACCATCAGAAGAAAATGTGCCCCTAACTGATGTGGCAATCCTCGGAGAGGCTGAAGAATTGCGTCATTGTTGCGCAACGGAGAAGGGACCAAGGCTCAGGCTGACTTGCATGTGCCCATTAGCAGCATTTCCGCTGCAGTGCTGCACTGCCCGCAAATGTTGAAGCTCTCCTGAATGTAAAAGGCAGCATGCAATGCATGTGGAAGCAGGTTCTATAGGAGAAATTGGACGGGATGCTCTTAAAAGCAAAAAGCTTTGTTGGACACCGTGAATTTGCAGCTCTCTGGCATTTCAAACTATTACTCTAATTGAGGGCCAGCATGATGTTGGGGTTAGAATCCTGGAGACTAAGCCTGGGGAAAGCTTGATTCAACACCGCCCCCCACCAGAAACTCAGAAGAGTAAAGAAGCCTCTTTCTCTAGTCACCCAGTCCCATCTTGTAGTAGGCTGCTTTGTTTGAGACTAGTGAATTTATTGGAATCTGCTGATTTTTTTGGGATGGTGGGTGGGGTCGGTTTTTGGATCCAGGCTCAGCTAAATGCAGTCAAGTCCCGTTGAAGCCACTGTGAAAACTTGGTCCCGAATTCAGGCTTCCGTTGAAAGTGTGGCACTGAAGTTGAACTAATGGAGCCCAGAGCCAACCCTTCAGAATTGCTTGCAGCCTTGGGGATTACCGTGAACACAGATGGGAAGGAAAGCTAGGGTGACAGCAAGGAATGGCGCTGACCGCTAAGTAAGAGGGACAGATGACATTTCATCCAAGAGAAGAGGTTAAAACAAGATGGACATACCTTTTTATTGCAAATTCCAAAGTAAAAAGATGTACAGTACAAAGGAAATCAAATAAGTCAGACGGTATTCATCTTTCATCCCAGCTATTTTGTTGAAGTAGGTATTTTTTTTATATAAAAAAAACCACACACATGCTCTTTCTCCCCTCCCCAAAACTCCTCCTTTTCCTCATTTGCTTTGTTTTGTTTGTTTGTTTGTGTGTGTCTTAAAGCAGAATAAAATCTACTGGGTTAGGGTCTAAAGGGGCTGAAAATAAAGACATTATTGAGGGGTAGGGTGGGGAACAAGCAAAGTGCAGCAAGAAAATAGTTGCCCTGATATCTGCTGGGGGGGGGGGAGAGGGAGGGAAGAAGCGATAGCAGTGACTTTCTTAATTAGCAGCATTAATGGCACCATCTCACTATGCTTTCCCCTTAGTCCATGCTCTGCCCTATACACACTTAAACAGCACTTGCAGTTGTGAATCTCAGAAAAGCATTTGAACAGACGTGAATTAAATTAAGCCTCACAACACCCCTGTGAGGTAGGTAATTACCCGTTTTACAGATGGGTAAAACTGAGGCACATAGAGAGGTTAGGTGACTCTCCCAAGTTTGGGGACACACACGCACGCACACCAGATCAGCCGTGGAGCTGAAAACAGTAATCACAATAGTTCTGTTTTTCAATATTCAGCTCTTAACACCTGAAAAGCAGTTTCTATCCCCTCCTCTACAAAATGCACTTTCTAGAGACATTCACACCCTCACACCCCTCTACATACAAATGCAACATGCATCAACCTACGGGAAAATTTGGATATATATGTATCTGCGACAACACATAATTCCAAGCCAATTTCAGCCACTTTGGATATTTGGTGACATTTTTCTTGTTGAATTACTCTATATGTGCTTCCAGATAGGGACCTACTATTGCAGATGGGATGTTGGCAACAGATTTGTTTCTTAACATCACATTTTCCTTGGAAAGGATACACCAGAATGAAAAGGGGGTGGAGAGACCATGGGCTAGTATTGCACTGTGAAAAAATTGTCAGCATGAGGAGTACTCATCCCATATTAAGAACCTGTCTGGAAGCGTCCTACATCACAAAAGTCCAAACTTGTTTAATAGTAGAGTCTCTCTCTCTTTCACTACTAAAGGGAGACTCACAATGTTTGGATTAATGTTTTGTCTTTTTTTTAATTAGGGTGTGGGATCTCTTCTAATGAATGATAATCCATTCACCTTCTTCTTCACTCAGGGTAGTCCCCATCACCCTCACATGGAGGTGATCACTGTAACTTTTGAAACACAAAATGTTTATTTTGCTATTCATTAGTGCAGTGAATTCCTCTGCCTGCAAGTGTGCCTGATCCCATATATTCTGAACTGTGGGAAGGAAAACGGGGGTAAACATGTAACCCAAACCACAAAACTATGACAGGAGAAACGAACCTGCGGCATGCACAACTATCCACAACCACAGCAAACGAGCCACTTTCTGAGCAAATTTCAATGCCCCAGTTCCACCTCACTTTTTAAAAAACAAAAACAAAACAAAACAAAGCCTCATACAACAGACAAGGAGACACGCATGGGTGTGATTCCCCAAATAATCTGTGAGCTTGTAGAAACACAATAATAATACAAAATTGTTTTCCTCTTAACCACCTGGCAACCGGGGAGTCATAGCTAGCGGATGAAGGAAAGGTGTCGCATCTCAGCCCTTTAAATGGAAAGATTTAAAAGTGGGGGCGGGGAGAGAGAAATGTACAAGCAGCTGATTGGAACAAATTATTTAAAGTGCAAAGCGTAGGCATATTACTTTTGTCCGGTGGATGGATTCAGAACTGCTATAAGCCAAAGGAGTGGCTTTCCACTGACCTATGTGCAGCTAAAGCCCTAGCACATACTGTTTATGGAGAGACTGTTACCGATATGCAAGAGACGGCAAAAGGAGGAGAGGACATGGAACACACAGGACCACAGAGCTACCCATTTCCTGTACCAAGGCAAGTGCAGTATCAACCTGAGAACCTTCTGGCTTGGAAGGAGTAATAACATACGTAGCAGAAGAAGGCCAAGGTTGCGGACGGGACATGATTGTGAGTGCTTACCTGCAATCCCCAGGTAAGGGCCTTTTCATGCTGGTGCATAGTCTCGAAACTGAAGTCCTCAACATGGTGATGGAGACCAGAGGGTTTCAAACTACCATCTATCTACGGTCTTCATCACCATGATATCTGAGCCCTTCACTTTCATGTCATTCTCCAGTTCATAAGAGCCAGTTCAGGCTATTTTCTCCATTCATCCCCCCAGAGGTGCATGTGAACCTTCATATATTTAGACGGGCTTTTCGAACCAGCTGGTGCTTAGGAGACTGAGCAATGCTTCGGAGCCACATTGGCACCGCAACCTTGCATGTGTGCCGGCAAACATGTAAGAGGTCACATATGCCTCGTTTTCAAACATGGCTACGTTCACACTGAAAATACTTTACAACATGAAATATGAAGCGGCCCCTTGGTCCTGTACAGGTAGCCACCTTTCAGTTCATTGATGACGAATATCAGATCACGCTGTTGCCCTGTACTGGTTGCCACGAGGCAACCAATTTCAAGCGTCAGACTCTCGGCCCAAGAAAACATTCTCACTGGGCCACATTTAGGCCTGTTCATTGTACCTGAATGTACCCTGTACGACAGGGGATTTTGTATCAGAGTAAAAAATAAAATAAAAATAAAATCGAATCTCTGTTTTTCAATGCTCAAGCTGGCGTCTTAACTAAAAATTATTGGCAAGATCACTCCCGAGCTATCAAGATTTTGCCTTTGCTTCCCGAACTTTGAATTACAAAGTTTTGGAGGATAGCACTAGGTCAACAGCATTTTGCTTCAGAGAATCACCAAAGGTTTTTGCGCAGTCTATCAGTGCAAGAAACAAATGTCAACCATAATTGACGATTTCTGGATGGCCAGACCCTGCTTCTTTGATAATTGCCACAACTATCTATTTGAGAATAACTGCATGCTAATTCTCAACCTAGCAGGCCCAGTTCCCTTACATTCTTAGGAGTTAATACGATTGCTACAGAAACTTTTTAACCGCTGAAATGCAGAACACACACATCAAACCAACTTTCCCATGTGCAGTTGAACTGGGAATGTTCATTTCATGTTCTTTGGCTAGCAGCGGCAGCAACATAGTTCATTAAAGTGTGTTTTCTTATAACGACTACAATGAGCCACCAAGCTATCTAAGAAGGAGCAGCCAATTTATATGAGGTCAGACTATTTGCTCATTTAGCCCAGTGTTTTCTAGTTGGGCTGGCAGTAGCTCTCCAAGACTTTAAGCAGAGGGTCTTTTACATCACATCTTACCTGATCCTTTTATGTGGAGATGTCTAGGATAAGGCTACCAGATTTTTTTTCAGTGAATCCGGGGACACTTTTCAACTTCAATGGATTTTGTATCAGGACTGATTTGTACATCTGGGGACTGTCCCCGGGAAATGGGGACGTCTGGTAACCTTAGTCTAGGATTAAACTTGTAACCTTCTGTAGGAAAATAAAGTACTTTACCACTGAATAATGTCTCCTCCCCAAGGATAATTCACTACTGGCAATCTGCACTTGCAAGACGGATTACGGCAGATATGCAAATCCTAACGGGTCTATGAATCTTGAGTTTAAGATTCCTCAGCATTTCCCCTTTATCTTAAAAGTTTAAATGGGAGGACTGGGTGTAGGGTGAAACTGGGGCAATATCATTTTTGCCCCATGTCTTTACAAAATAGAGAGAGAACAAACAGGGATATACATATGTATCTTGATGCAACTTCCCACCTGAAGAGCAAAACATTTTCTGCTTTCTAACTAAAGCTCCTGATTCCTCCTAGTGAAACAATAATATAGAGATTGGATTGCACATTTTTGCACTGTTAGAAATATTTGAAGTTAGGAGTAATTTTCATTCTAAACCCTCAATAATAAAATGTGTCGAGAGCAAAAGAAGCAGGATTTCCTTACATAATACCCTCCAGAAAAATTCCACAGATAAAAGTGACAACAGTGATCAGAACAATACTTCCTGTAACACTGGTATTTTGAATTCTAGATTTCCCCCTTCATGCACAAGTCAGTTTTCAATTATCTTCTCAATTACATAGTTTTACTAAGCATTTCTGCATCATAAAGTTGTCTGTTGGTTAAGGAAAACTTGAATTCTTGGAGTCTTCGTAAAAACAATCCAAGTAGTTGAAGAAGGAAAACAAAGGAAGTTGGTCATATTATTTTAAAATATCCAGCATTTTTGATATAGGAACTTGTCACAACCTGACCACTGTTCTAAAGAATATTGTCCAAATTATACGTGTTCAAAAAATAAATAAATGCAGTCTTGAAGTTATGTTTTCTCCCAAGGCCTATTGCCATTTATACCATTCAATTGTATTAACAATAATACCCTCAAGTTCTGGTTTTGTTTTTTGTGAGGGAGAGGATGGTTGGAGTGGCATGAGTTTGTGAGAAGTTGCAAGCCCAGCCATAGTATTTATGCCAAATGACTTGATGTATGAGTGTTTTCCCCCCTGGTTGTGACTTGATTGAAGATCTTCCATGTCACTTTCACAAAGCACCTGCCATTCATTGTTGGCTGATTAGAAATCTCCACTACCCATTTAATCAGACAGCCCAGAAAACCAGATTGCTTTTTCTTACTAATTCTACCACTCCAAATAAAGAAAGAAATGAACATAAAAGCAAAAACTAATTTAAATATTCTCAGAAAAACAACATTTCAACAAAATTCTATACAGCACCTTTTCTGGTGTTGGTGGGGAGTACAAAATGTTGAGCTTAAAAATCAGCACTATCAAAATTAAATGTACGTTTTCTAACTGTTCTCAATGATTTTGAGATTTCTCTGATTTCTAATTTTCTAATGCTTTCTCAAAAAAGCATTGGCCATGCCTGTTAAACTAATAGGATTCCTTCTTTATTGCCAAATTCTTTGATTCTATATATCTTTATATGCTGTCTGTATGTCTCAAACTACCTTTTTGTGATTGTTAATTTTTGAGTAAGATTTCCCCAATATTCTACGCTTTGCTTAAATTACGATGCATATAAAAATACGGAGCAAGTTTCACAATATCTGTGAAGTTTGGCCGATTGTTTGTTTAAACAACTGTCCCCAAAAAAGAAATGGAAAAAAAGAAATGTAGTGTAGCAACTAGAAAAAGCAAAAGTATTCACTTTAGTAGGACATAGCCCTCAGCTCTGAAGCTGTTTGTTAATAACTTTTATTTGTTAGTAAAGCTAGTGTAACGTAAGAAAGTTCAAGTATCGCTAAATAATGACCCAATGTAAATATAGATTGCAGGGCATTTTTACTAAAAATTGCTTAGTAAAATTTGACAGCACAAACACTACATGTACCGAGCTTTCCATATGGAACAATAGTCCAGCTAAAGAACAATTATGACATTTAGCCAAATCTTGCATAGAAGTGGTCAAAATATATTGCACCTCAGAACCAAAATATAGTCTAAATATTTCCGTTTGTTGTAAAGGTAACTTTGCAATAAAGCTTTGCTCTGTGTCTGTTTGGGAGGCTTTATCTCCTCCCCCTGTGGGGATGTACATAAGTTGACATTGTCTCAAAAGTGGAAAAAAGAAAGAGAAAAAAATGTATTATATATAGATATAAAATTAAACATGGACAGTGGCATACGCCAGAAGCCATTCTATTTAATTTTTTGTAGTCCTTTGTTATTTACAAAAAGGCATGCCAATAAAATAAAATGATATATTACAGTATTTATAATATTCTTTTAAAAAGTTCAACCACATTTTTCAGCTTTTGTTGTTGTTGTGCTGTTTACAATGTTGCCTGTACATATGCATGTATTTTTTTTATTTTTATTTTTATTATACACATTGTAGGAGTAAGTGGGGTAAGTCTAACAGGATAGAAATGTTTTGTTCCTTGTGGTATCTGGTACAGCAGAATTCTTCCACTGATTTCATGATAGCTAGACTATGCATTTAAAAAGTCCAACTTGGCACAGATGTCTATCGAATGGCTTGCTTTCTACAAGACCCTTGTTGCGGGCATCTAGGCTGCGAGATTCTATAGGTCAAGCCTCTGCCAGCTATCTAAAAGGCATTGCTATTTGTTTGTTTTGCTTTTGGAATATTTTGAGTGATTATTTTGTGTGTGTGTGTTTTTGCCCTTTTATAGATACAATTTATTTGGTCCACATTCAAACAGCTTGTTTTCTTTCATCGCGCCCTCAAAAAAAGTTCAGTACACCTCCCTTTTTGCAACCAGGCATTCTAAACGATTCATAGCAGCCTATGCCTTCTCTTTTAAGCTGCATGATGGAACAGAGTCTTGGTTATAGTGCAATACAACCTTTGGCCCATCAGCGAGAACTACTCCACAAGCCCGTGCCCCTAAAAAACAAAGAAAAACCCACACAACTGAATTCTCAGTATGATCGACTCGTTGAAGGTGACACAATGAAACATTTCGAAATATTGAGATGCCCAGGTACTAACTAGAAACACAAAAATTATGTTCCCACCCACCCCCAAACCCCCCCAGGGTGAGACTCCCGTCAATTTAGAGTTAAGACTAGTTGAGAGGTAGCTCTTTCATCCCTACCTGAATTTTGCAGGACTGGTTAAAATTATGACAACAATGTGGGATGAAATGCAAAGTTGGTGAAGGCACACGACATATAGGACACTTTCTCTCTCAGCGCTGCACCCATGTCACACGGCTACTTTGCTCATCAAACGTGTGATGTTCTACTAAACGTTGGTTTTTAACATTGTGGTTATTGTTGCTAGCATTTTGGTTTGCGTTTCCTGTAAAAAATATATAAACAAACAAATGCAAAAAAGCAAACAAAATCGTGCAATGTCAAGACTGCAAGCTGCAGGAAATCTGTCAATGGAAGAACGCTTAGTAGAGGCCACTTTTCTGGGAAGCAGCTTGTGCCCCATTGTTGAGTTCCTTGCATCAGAACGATCCCAAAGGACGCAACCGCCAGCATGTAAATATGGCACACAGTGCTGTAAACTTCCCTGTCGTAACCCTACCCTCCTCGATAAAATTGCTTTATAGATCTGCTGAAAATTGCACCTTTGAAAGATAACGTGCTGTTTCCGATAGCACTTTTTCATGTCTAACAGGGGAGGGGGGGGGAAGTTACCTACACTGCGGAATGGAGGCTAAAGAGTAATTGCGAGTATTGCAGGAAACAAAACTACCGGGTGGGTTTTCTTGAAGCCCTAAAGCACTCTTTGACAGCGACATTGTATTAAGAAACCATTGCTGCATGGTCTTTTTCCATCAGAAGGCTTTTAAGAGCAGCATTTCCCGTGTTTGCTGTTTCTTTTAAAAAGTGCAAAAAATATATGGCTGCATGGTTAATAAACATACACATAAACAAGTCTCCGTCAGTTGGTTTCACATTTTTGTTCTTCCTAGAGGAGGTGCATGGAAAGATCTAAGGATTGGTAACTTGGCGGAAGGGCATAGATATAGCTAAGAGTAACTCTCCCAATACAGTGTGCCGTAGTCAGTGGAGTGCCTCGAACATATGGCTTAACACAAGGCCTGGACAGCATATTGAGTGTCTTGTGATTTTATGATTCCTCATGCATGATTCCTGATCACAGCATGCCATCATGCAAATCATTTCTATGCATTGAAACGAGCACAATTTTATTTTATTTTATTTTTGGAATCGGCCTGAGCGAGTTTTGGCAGGCTGAAAACACCTGATTATCCCCATCTCCCAAACCATGGTGAAGCCCATATAATAAAGAAGTATGCAGATAATAAATACCAAAGGAACTATGATGATTAAATGACATGGGCTAAATATGTGTCGTTTCGTTTCAGCTTTTTGTCGTTGCTCAATTTGTTTTCCCCCTTGTTCTAATTTTTTTGTTTTTTTGTTTGTTTTTTTGGTGCTTAAACTAAATGTCAAGTATGAAAATCTAGTTTTGCATGAGCAACCCAACCCTTCAAAGTGATGGGGTTTTTTTGTTTTGTTTTTGTTCTGGGTTTCCTTTCAATAAAATGAGAAAAATAAAATCCATTTTGGCTGCTTCGGAAAAAATATATACGAATCCTAAAGCAGCAGGTTTGTTTGTTTTTCCTTAAGTGTGTGTGTGTGTGTGTGTTTTATTTTGCTTGTTTGTCCTAAGTTGCATTGACTGATGTGGAACATGCAGTATCCACCTGCCCAAACAGTATAAAATCCTTTTTTTTTTTTACCCCGCCTTTGCATTGTTTCCTGTTTTTTTTAATATATTTGCCTAGATGGGTCCGTTAAACAGGTGGTAGATCACTGCTTTGAGATGCAACATGGTCACACAGTAAGCAGACTATGTTTGGTATAGGATCTTCAGGTAAAGTGTCTCCACAGCTGTTCACTATTGATATATATTTTATCGGGAAGTTTGTAAACAATCTTTTCCGCTCATACTTTTTCCCCTAGAGTTATTAATGTTACGGATCATCTCAATATTTGGGTTCCCTGGTGTCTCTTTGCCTTTTCGCTCTTTCCCGTCTCCCTTCCTCGGCTCGCTGTTTCTCCTTTTCGGGCTTAGTCACACTGTCATAGGATGGGAGGGACGCTGTGGACGGGGTACCTTCTTTTTTCTCCCTGTTTGTCCCTCCGTTTTCCATCTTATTGGAGACGTTCTTTCGGTAAATAAAGCCCCTCCTTATTAAGCGAGCCCGGTACGCCCTCTGGATGACCAATGCAGAGACCTCTTCCTGCTTGCGCCGCAGTGTGGTTGTGATAGGCTCGTAAGACACTTTGGATGGATTCGAAGCCACAAACCTCTCCTCCATCTGCTGCCTCAGGATGTCCAGCTCGCCGCTATCGCCCAGCACCCGCTTGGTAAAGGCAAACAGGATGTCCAAGCAGTGGATTCTATCCCCGCTCACCATCGGCAAGTCCATGGCAATGAGTTCAATAGTGTTGGGCTTCGGGACGCGGAGAGGGTGCTCCAAGGCGTCAGCAAAGTCTGCCAGCTTGCAGTACTCAATGAATTGCGTGGCATCGGGGTCAAACTTCTCCCAGATCTCGTAGAAGGTCTCAAAGTCGTCTTCGCTCAGCGGGTCGGCGCTCTCCTCCGTAGCTACGCTGAAGTTCTCCAGAATGATGGCAATGTACATATTCACCACAATCAGAAAGGAGATGATGATGTAGCTAACAAAGAAGAAGATCCCCACCGAGGGATTCCCGCAGTCGCCTTTGAAACCACTCCCGGGGTGTTCCTTAGTCAAATCACAGTCCGGTGGCCTGTTGAGGATGGGCAAAAGCAAACCATCCCACCCAGCTGAGGTAGTGATCTGGAACAAGCAAATCATACTGTTGCCAAAAGTCTCAAAGTTGAACATGTCATCGATGCCAGCCTCGTGCTTGACGTAGGCAAAGTTGGACATCCCAAAGATGGAAAAGATGAACATAACCAGGAAGAGCAGGAGACCAATGTTGAACAAGGCAGGCAAAGACATCATTAAGGCAAAAAGCAGGGTGCGGATCCCTTTGGCTCCTTTGATCAGGCGCAGGATGCGGCCAATACGGGCCAGGCGGATGACTCTGAAGAGAGTAGGTGACACAAAGTATTTCTCTATGATTTCAGCCAAGAACATACCTTAAATGAGATTGGGGGAAAGAAGAAAAAATAGCGTTACAATTCTTTCAAGTAATCACATACCATTTGCCCAGAAGCAGGTAGTACTGGCCATATTTGAGAGGGAAATGCCATACTAGGTTCATTGAGACTGGCAGTCTTCCTATCTCCATATCCTTAGTATTTGAGTCTTTGCAAAATGCCCACGAGCCATATCAGCAAATTTCCTTTTACAAGGGCACCTCATCTTTTTATTATGACCATTATAAAATGATAGGCAGTGCTTGTTGCCTCGTTATACCCCATGAATCATAAAATAGTATAATCTCTCTTCCCTTCTGTTTACTTTGCTCTGTTGTTTAGGATCAGGCTAGATGTAACATCCCGTTGTGTGTGTGTGTGTGTGTGTGTGTAAATCCCCACTCCCTTGTAACAACAACTTTTATACCTTGCTTTTCTATTCAACAATCCTCTAAATGGGTACCAATCAGTAAGACAAAAAACAAAATGTTAAAAACGGCAACAATCCAAATTTCATGTTCAAAGTAGGCGCCGGCGCTTTGGGCAATTGCCAACAGCAGCAGAAAATATGGAAAAAAACTAGGTCATCCAGAGAACCCCAAATGCTCAAAAGAACTACTGGCCAATTGTCTAAAAGAGAGCAAGGAAGAAGCAAGGCAATCCCTAGAAAGAGATTTTCACACCTTTGGTGCCACCACCGACAATGCCCTACCCTGCATAAATGCCCACTGCGTTAAAAATAGAGCCATCACACAGCGTGGGGCCTCTAAGGGAGCTCTTAATATGAAGGTGGGCTCATATGAGAGAAGGATGCCCTTCAAGAACAAAGATCATTCAGGACTGTAAAGGTCAACACCAGCACTTTAAATTGGGCCCAGGAACTAATGGCATGAAGTATGATTAATTGGTGCAATATGCTCCTGATAACACTTTCCAGTTAATAAAAATCATTACCAAGGCCTTTGGTGGCTGTCTTCCTCCCGCATTGCTGTGTGCTGCTAGTTTGTTACTGTTTTGTGGCTTTGTTTTATTATGCTTACTGTATATTAATCTGCAGTTGTTTTTAATCATCATATTTTTGTGATCCAGCATAGGACCATTTGGAGCAGGGTAGTTTATAGGTACAAATGAAAGCAAATTTGCAGAGTTTAAGCAGAAGAACGGGTATGTGTGTGTCTGGGGGGAAAGCAGTTATTTCCCGACTCAAACTTCCTTCCCAAACTACCGTATTTTTTTGCTCTATAAGACGCACCAGACCACAAAACGCACCTAGTTTTTGGAGGAGGAAAACAAGAAAAAAAATATTCTGAATCTCAGAAGCCAGAACAGCAAGAGGGAACTACCGTATTTTTTTGCACCTAGTTTTTGGAGGAGGAAAACAAGAAAAAAAATATTCTGAATCTCAGAAGCCAGAACAGCAAGAGGGATCGCTGCGCAGTGAAAGCAGCAATCCCTCTTGCTGTTCTGGCTTCTGGGACAGCTGCACAGCCTGCATTCGCTCCATAAGACGCACAGACATTTCCCCTTACTTTTTAGGAGGGGAAAAGTGAGTCTTATAGAGCAAAAAATATGGTATTTCCCCACAGAAATCTGACCAGCTCTGATTTTACAAGCTGGGAAGCAGTGATAAGTTAATGTGCAGTACAGTGGTACCTCGGTTTTCAAACACAAGACCGTTCTGAAACATTTGAAAACTGAAAACTCAATATGGAAGCCTCAATACTGAAGCCACGTTTCCTGTTCAACTTCTGAGGTGCATTCGAAAACCGAAGCATTTACTTTTGGGTTTAGGGCATTTGAAAACTGAAACGTTCGTCAACGGAGACATTCGAAAACCAAGGTACCACTGTATTAATTGCACAATCCTATGCAAGTTTACTCGGAATCTGATGCACATCTACTCATTTTCTCTTCTCGCAAGCGCAGGCCTTTGCGCTGCATGCGCCCCGCAGAAAACACCCATATACTCACCCACGATGGAGAGAATGACAACCACAAAATCAAAAATGTTCCAGCCAATAGTGAAGTAGTAGTGACGCAAGGCAAACATTTTCAGCACACACTCGCATGTGAAAAAGATAACAAAGACCAGGTTGATCCAGTAGAGGATTTCTTCCATCTGTTTGCTCTGTGTGTCCGTCTCAACCATCATAGTCACCATGTTGAGGCAGATGAGCAGCATGATCAGTATGTCAAACGCTTGCTGGGTGACAAAGTCGAAAACAGCTCCTTGGACTCTATTCTGTTACACCGGACAGGAAGAACGCACAGTTAGGGAGTATGGGACAATTCACTGCATATATCCTCTACTGCAGCTGATTTGTGTGTTTACATCACGTGGGGATGGGGGGTGGTTTGTTGGGTTGTTCTTATTATGTATTGCATGTTTTTATATTGTGTTTTTATGTTGTAACCGCTCCGAGAGTTGTGGGTACAGGCCGGTGTGCAAATTTAATAAATGATAATAAGAAACATATATGGCCTCACAATCCCATTTTGTAGTGAAGGGTGAAACACACAGCGCAATCCTGTTCATCACCAGGTATGTGTGGAAATGTAAAAGACCCCTAGATGGTTAAGTCCAGTCAAAGGCAGCTATGGAGCGTGCCGCTCATCTCGCTTTCAGGCCAAGGGAGCCAGTGTTTGTCCACAGACAGCTTTCCGGGTCATGTGGCCAGCATGACTAAACCACTTCTGGCACAACGGAACACCGTGACGGAAGCCAGAGCGCATGGAAACGTCGTTTGCCTTCCCTTAGCAGCGGTACCTATTTGTCTACTAGCACTGATGTGCTTTCAAACTGCTAGGTCGGCAGGAGCTGGGACAGAGCAACGGGAGCTCACCCTGTCACACAGATCTGAAACGCCAACCTTCTGATCGGCAAGCCCAAGAGGCTCAGTGGTTTAGACCACAGTGCCACCCATGTCCAGGATGCAGATTAACATTAAAAGGCTCTAGCACAAGAACCTTCTTCCTAAGAACCCAAATGATTAAACCACCTTCGAAGAGTAGTCGCAGCCCTGTTATGCTGCTTCAGGAGATCACTTAAATGTAACAAAAACATAATAATGCTGAGTATTCAGGGCTGGCAGTGACTTAGGCAATGTGCCATGGTCTAAGAGCCCTAGAAGGGCTGCTTGGTCCTGCCATTTGACCCTCCTGCCTGCTCCCGGTCCCTTGATTATGTAACAATGCCAGGGAAATTATCCACCATTTTGATTTTTCCACAGTGCCCTGATGTTCTTGATTTTTGTATCCACTCTGGAACACTGCAGGGAAATTAAAATGACGGGTGGCTTGAAGCTCATAACAGTGTGACAAGGTGCAGTGGGGCAGTTTGAATGGGGCACTCTGAAGAAGAAGAAGAGTTTGGATTTGATATCCCGCTTTATCACTACCCGAAGGAGTCTCAAAACGGCTAACATTCTCCTTTCCCTTTCTCCCCCACAACAAACACTCTGTGAGGTGAGCGGGGCTGAGAGACTTCAAAGAAGTGTGACTAGCCCAAGGTCACCCAGCAGCTGCATGTGGAGGAGCGGAGACGCGAACCCGGTTCCCCAGATTACGAGACTACCGCTCTTAACCACCACACCACACTGGCTCTTGTAGCGGTGGGGCCTATAACCTGCTTCCAGCTCTGGATGTTATTATGCACATCACAACCATGTAAGATAGATGCATGTTGTTATTCCCACCAGCTTGGGGATGGGGAGCTGAGGCTAAGAGATTGCAGCTGGCCCAAGGCTATCTGCTGGTAGGTGAGATTTGAAGCAGGGGCTTCCTGAGGTAGCTTTGTGCCTCAGCTATGACACCACACCAGGTCAAAATAAGAAGGGATCAAACCTCAAAGAGCACGAGCTGGATGCTGGAAAAGTGTGAAGACTTTACAGTGGTACCTCGCAAGACGAATGCCTCGCAAGACGAAAGGGTTTTTTGTTTTTTGAGCTGCTTCGCAAGACGATTTTCCCTATGGGCTTGCTTCGCAAGACGGAAACGTCTTGCAAGTTTGTTTCCTTTTTCTTAACACCGTTAATACAGTTGCGACTTGACTTCGAGGAGCAACTCATAGAACGCGGTGCGGTAGCCTTTTTTGAGGTTTTTAAAGACTTTGGTGATTTTTGAAGCTTTTCCAAAACTTTCCCGACACCGTGCTTCCCAAGACGAAAAAAATCGCAAGACGACAAAACTCGCGGAATGAATTAATTTCGTCTTGCGAGGCACCACTGTATTTGAATGTACAAGGGGCAGCATATTGGGAATAAGCCCAAAAACTCACCAGAGGCCTTGGAATTGGCTTCTGAGGTTTCTTGGAGCCCAGTTTTTTCATGGCGTTGTAGTATTTCTTCTGCTCCTCTGTCATGAAGATATCCTGACCTCCAAAGTAAAGGAAGGAAAAGGAAATAAAGCTGGTTACAATCTGTTCACCTTTGCTTAAAGATGAAGGTGCAACTGAAGTGGGGTAGCCATTTCTTCTTACTCCATGAGGTAAAAAATAATAATAATGGAGAAAATTACATTGTCACTGGCAGACAATGAGAGAAGATACGCTAGTCCCTGGTAGTTTAGGACTTAGAATCTATTTAGTGGTTTTGAAGAAGCTATTGGATCTAAGTTCAAAATGTGGTACAATAATTGCTTGAAATGGAACTGTATGATGGCAGCTCCAAGTAGCAAGTCTTTTGTGTGAGACTGGTGTGAATGTTTTGTTCCAGTATGGTGAAAAATCACAGAAACAGAAACATTCATTTGAGGGGACAAAAAAGTCCTCTCTGTGAAGAAGACACATTCACACAACCATGCCACCATGTGGCAACTGTAGTGGCAACCTGCATGTGTGAATCAGTTCTTTCGTAAGCTGCAAGTTTCAGGGAATTCCATGGGTTATTTATTGGAAGTTAATTCAGAGAAAAGGGTTTGAGGGTCCTTTACGCTAGTCAATATGAAAAGTTGACCTATCTTTTTCTTTTGCTGATTGAAATTGTCAATGATGACACCGATAAAGAGATTCAAGGTGAAGAAGGATCCGAAGATGATGAAGATGACAAAGTAGATGTACATATAGATGTTGTCCTCATACTTGGGCTGCTGATCTTGCTGTGTGTATAAGAGAAAACAATATACATATTTCAGGAGCTGCAATCTGTAAGAGGCTTGAAAATCTTTGCAATTCATTCATTCATTCATTCATTTTTTTTATCATCAAATGTGCGCTCTGAAGTTATTGTCCCCTTAAGGGGTGGACTTTGGTAACCTTTTGTAATATAGTGCCCTGTGCGAGGCCAAACTTGGGCGCCCCAAAATGGATTTTCTTAATTACAGATCTTCTCAATTTTGTGCCCGTCAGCTCTACGCCCTTGTCAGGCTGTTGCCAGGGACTCCCAGCTGGTTGCCCAGGAACATACAAAGACAAGGAATGTTCTGACCTTCCTTTTTTATTTCATTCTTTACAGAGAGAGGCTATAGAACCCAGCCTCTTGGAGAATGGCATTGTCCCAAGTGAATCTCCATGCCCCGTCTCTCCCACTTCCTCATTCGTTATTTCTATGGGTGCTGCTACGTGCCCTCTGTCTTTGAGCTCTTTACTCTCCTACTTTCAAGGCTTGTCGGGTTCTGGGAGATGGAGGGTCTGGAATGCTTTCTAAAGACACTGTGTCTGTCAGCTGTTGCCTCCCACCCCCTCCATGATTCCTCCTCCTCCTCTCTCATTATTTCCCAACTTTTCCCCTCATCTGCGTCTGAGCTGTGACCTCCCTCAAACCCCTGTTGTAAATTTGCCTTCTTCTTCTCTGGAAGGGTCAGACTGGGAAGGCGGTCTCCACCATTCCTCCTCTGCCCAGTCCCTGACAGCCCTGTGCAGAGAAACTGCCCACACCATTCTAAAATCCGATGCTCGTCCCCTGACCAAAAGTTCCATAGTAACCCAGAGTGAACATAAAGCTCTGGCAGGATTGGGTTTATTCCACCCACTTCAGTGTTGCAGGATTCTGCATCGCATATTCCTCATATACAGTAGCAGTCCTTGGGGTCCTAGGGACAGCTGGATTGGGATGATGGAGCAAATTTTTTGCAGCTATGACCTTGCAAGGTGGCATTCTTTGTACGTATAAAATGGCACGGAAAAACATTGTTTTAAATACCAGCTCTATGATAACAGTGACAGAAGTGGATGTACTTTACCTTTCTAGAATCTACTGCTGCATACATTATGTCCATCCAGCCTTTAAAGGTTGCCTATAGAGGGAAACACACATTATTTTAGAGGGAAATGATTTTTCTCATTAAAAAACAAAACAAAAAACACCTGTATAGAAGGACTATATAAAAGAGCATCTCTTTGTAGGTCATTTGGCACATAAAATATTCAACAATTTGTTTGGATATAGTTTCCGGGATAGTGACTGGCTCATCTTTCCTTTTCCACCTACGGTTTGGGTGAAGGCAAATTTAATAATATGGGCCCTCCTGTTGGCTGATGGTTCCTTCGATTGGTTATGCCATTTCTTATGAATCCATGTCGCTCAGATTGTGGTCAAGTTTCTTTTCTCCTTAGCAGGGAATTTACTAATGCGCTCGGAAACAACTGATTTCATGTGCAAATTCTCTTGGCCACCAAGAGCCTTCTCTGCAAACTGCATATAATATACCAGAACCGGCTTGCCCATTAGGCAAGCACCCCTCTTGCCGAGTTTTGGTGAGAGGGGGTGCGTTTTGGTGCATGGCAGAAATGGTGGGGTGCAGTGTGTGTGTGGGAGTCCCGTTCCCATTTTGCCTCGGGTGGCAAAACAGGGTGTGCCACTGCTTCGATATACTAACTACGAATGATCAATCTATCTGATGCGTCTCTTCCGTAAATCTACACAATTCAAACTGGTTTTACAGTGATTTGTCTGTAGGAAAAAGGAGCAGTAAAAAAGGATTTATACGCAAAGCTGAGTTAAAGAAAGCAAAGTTCAAAAGGTTTGTACATAAACATGCTTTTTTGTTTCGGACCATTTTCCTTGAAATAAATATCCAGTAAAGATGGATATTTCCCAAAGATGGAAAGTACAAGATATACCAACTATACAGGAGTGGCAGGCGAAGTTGACAGAATATGCAGAACTTGCCAAACTGTCAGGGAGGATCCGGGACCAGGGAGATCAAAGATACCAAAATAACTGGAGTAAATTTATTGAATATTTAAAGAAGAATTGTAAAGAGGTCAAGACACTAGCAGGATTGACATAATACCTCCAATGTATAATAGTATTAATTTGAGAATGATGTGTGTGATGGAAAGAGGATAAATATACCAGTTGTGGGGAGGGAGGGGGGTCGTGACTCGGCAGAGTCAAAAGGAATGTATGGTGCTATTACAATTTGTTGGAAAAGAATATGTAAGGAAAACAATAAAAATTCACTTGGGAAAAAAAGAAATAAATAAATATCCAGTAAATTAATACAGCACACACCATCTCGGCTTCTTCACTCCATTGAAGTTATTACACATTGCTGTGTTGTACCTCATATATAGATCAATATTGGGAACCACCCCTTGGGAGTCTTCCTAGGCTACACCCCTTTCCCAATGTCACACACAACACACAATTCCTGTTCTGAACCCTCCCTGAGTGCTTCTGCCTGGCTGCAATGAGTGTTTGAACTGTGATAATGCCTCTTGCTTTTCTGGAAGGTGGAAGGAGAGATCAAGACATATTTGTGGTGTGTGTAGAAGCCTCTGACATTTGCCCCACTGCAATGTAACAATAAAACAACGAACAGGGTGGTGATGCAATGACTACTGCATTGAACCACTGACATATTACAGGTGCAGGTATTTGGGACTTATTCTTGGTTTTTTATGTGAGAAGATAAAAGAGTGTAGTTTTCTCTGCCAACTGCGGAGTTGGGTTGAGGGGATCCAGCCTGGGAGGGTTTGGAATAGGTAGGTTAGTTTTAGGAGGGTGATCATTCTGATCATGGCTATTTTGTCTGAGAGAGTGAAATTCATGTTATTCCATCTCTTTAGGTCTTTGTTAATTTGTTGCCACAGGGGCTTGTAGTTGTGGAGGTATAATTTATTGAGGTTTCTGGTTATTTGTACCCCTAGGTATCTGAACTTGGCATGGCAAAGTTTTAATTTGGTGACCTTAGTGAGTCACTGACATATTACAGGTGAACTCTTCATTTACTGCATTTGCTATTGTTTAAGATAAAACTGATTTGGGAAAGAAGCCACTTTTGCCATTTTCTTATAGACGTTTACAGATCATTGCCTTGGTGATGTTATCTTGTGTCAATCACTGGACTGTACAAAGGTCACAATTTCACATCCATTGCTTGGCCCATGTTTGCCTCTGACAAACCCCACCAATGGCATGCAGCTCTCGGAAGGTTCTCTGTGGCCCTTAAGGCAGAGAATATTCCTCACTACTGATATATATTGGCTGGGATGTGTGAATGACTTGTTGGGCAGCACAGAGGGCTGCGGGAAGACCTCTCCATGCATGAACTAAACTCACTTGATTGGATGGAAGGCATGCAAATGAAGTGGATAAAGGGTGACACCCAACTATATTCTTCCACCAGCAGAATAGTCTTCCGCCCACACAAGGGGACTTTCACTTCCTCCTCTACACTCCCCCCCCAACCTATTTGGTTGACACTCTGTAGAAGATACTGGGGGCACAGCATGAAGGACACGAAACCGGAGTCTCATTGCGTGAACTGGAAATTCACTTGCACATCTGGACATCAATCAAAATATCTGGAACAGTTCATCTAAAATGGCCAGGGGAAATTCTCAACCAACTATTCTCCCATTTCCTTGCTGCCACATTCCTCTCTTCACAAAGTTTCCCAATCACCTAGCTCAGATTTCACCCTGCTCAGGAGACGATAACCTGCCACAGTACACAAGTACAGTCGTACCTCAGGTTAAGTACTTAATTCATTCCAGAGGTCTGTTCTTAACCTGAAGCACCACTTTAGCTAATGGGGCCTCCAGCTGCCACTGCGCCGCCAGAGCACGATTTCTGTTCTCATCCTGAAGCAAAGTTCTTAACCCGAGGTACTATTTCTGGGTTAGCGGAGTCTGTAACCTGAAGCGTATGTAACCTCAAGCATATGTAACCCGAGGTACCACTGTACTGTAAAGAACAACCCAACCTCTTTAATCCTGACTGGTAAATGGGAGAGAGGTGGTAATAGTTAAGCTTCTCTTCCCTCCTTGAAACCTATCTAGCCAAAAGATTAAAATTGGGTCTTGTTCTCTCTCCACAGGCAAGAAGATACTATTTGCTTCATGAATTTGCTGTTAGAATTCCTGCTCCATGATTGCAGTCATGGGATTTTTGTCTATCACATGACTCCACAGAAAGGGAAGTGACAGAGACAGGATGTTTGTGTTACTGTGTTCTGTGAAGTGGGACTATTGTCCTTTGTTCTTTCTCTTTGCTGTCTGATGCTAGAGAGAGAGGGAGCCATGTTGCAGTGCTCCGTGTGTGTTTATATGTAAATAAAGTAGATTAGCCAAAATGCTGAGTTGCTGAGGTCTGTTACGCAAGCTGCGAAGACTTTGCGGATCCCTAAGTGTGCTGATGTCTGTTGGCATCGGTCGCTGTGATGTTCGGGCTGAAGAAAGCTTTTGAAGCTCCCGAACGAATGACCAGGAGGGAGAGAACATGCCAGTAGGGCATGTGTCTCTACCAGGGCCCTAATCGAGTGTAGGACGAGCACCTGACATTTGCATGGGACTTCACACGGGGAAGCCAATATTTGCAACCATTAAACATTGAACAGAGATAACCCATTACTTCCAGGAGAAGTCAAGCTACAAAGGCAGAACTTACAATTTGCAGAAGGGCCAGGTACCCTGCACCAACATTGTCAAAGTTAATCTTTACGTTCTTCCACCGGATCTCCGTTTCGTTGGGATTCATGAGCTTCTCGCAGTCTGACTTGTTGTTGACTTCTTCTATCTCGAATCGATACTCGGACGTCTCATTAAAGCAGTAATGATACTTCCCAGCAAAAAGATTAACCCCCATTATGCTGAAAATCAGCCAGAAGATAAGGCAGACCAACAACACATTCATAATGGATGGTATAGCTCCCACCAAGGCATTCACAACCACCTGTATTAGAAGTGGGGAGGAAGGAGGAGAGAGTTTCAGTACAGAAGAGAGGATGAATTAGAAGCAAAACAGACATGCCTAGTTTTAATGGGGGGAATCAAAAGCTAGTTGCAATAAAAAAAAGATACCCTCTCTGTCCACTGTAATTTTTTAAAGAAAGACTTTATATTTCAAGAGATTGTTTGGCAACTTATTCTTTTGGTTTTGCCGTTCAGTAAAACATGTGGTGGACGGAGAAAGAGATTATACCTTATCTGGATAAGAACAGGACCGCTGGCTGACTCCATCAGCTAAGTCAGAGAATGTGGAATTGAATAGGCTTAAAGAATTTCTGCCAGCAAAAATTCCCCCCTTTAAAACCAGACTTATGAAATTTATGGGCAAGGTGTATCCTACTCCCATGTAGAAAAGTGAGGGGTTTTGAGCCATTTATTTCAAATGGGAGTAGGAATGGGTATCAAGTTTGCTCTAAGGCTTAGCAGTGGCTTAGTGTAAAAACAATCAAGGCTATATTTATTGTTTGATAAGCAAGGCCAATCATATCTGAAGAGCTGAGCATGCATGTTTGCAAGCTCAAAAAGAAAAGCCATATTCCCTCCCCTGAAACAAAGCAAATGAAATCAATACTTTTTCAACAGGGCTTCCCTCCCATTTTTTATTTTTATTTTTTGGTCCCTGCCACTACAGATGATATTTGTGAAAATACGAATAAAGTCTAATGGAGAAAAGTTAAGCCATCTTTAACAGAGCCAGGTGAGTTGCCATTTATTTATTTTTATTTATTAGGATTTCCTATGTTGGGAATGAATGAAGAGTTTAGGCTGCAATGCTATACACACCTGGGAGAAAACCTTGTTGAACTGATTGCACTTTGAAAGACTTAGAAAGCTGACTTACATTAAAGCTGACTTACATTAAGTCAGACAGTTGGTCCATATAGTTCAGAACTACCTACTGTTGACTGGCAGTTACTCTTTTGGGTTTCAGACAAGAAGTCATTCCCAGTTCTACGTGGCACTGCCAGGGATTGTATCTGGGGCATGCAGAGAAAGCGTGTCCTCTACCACTGATCTACTTCCTCCCTTTCCATTTTTCTTTCAAGACTGTCTTCAGTCTTCTCTGGGTACTTTGGACTCAAGGCTCTTATCCTTTGATTAAGACGTATATATTGCTCCTCCCAGCATCTTAAACGGGGGATTAAAAAAACCAATGCATGTCTATTCTATAATGTTTGGCATGCATTTTGTCACACAAATTCTGAAAGCGTGCCATTCTGAATCTATGATTCCAAAGGATGGGGAGCTATTAAATGCTCATTTCAGGACCAAAGCATTTTTCTGCTTCCTTTCAGTTTTACAGTTTCTGTGCAGTAGCTATCAAGTCCCCATTACTAAGCAATTACAGTTTCTTCCAAAGCCATCCACACCTCAACCAGCAGTCTCTGAGGCTTCTTTTGCAGTGAATTAGGATTAACGGGATAGCACTGACATTGCGCGAGCACTTATTTCCTTGCCAGCAGGTGCCACTGTTGCTTTACATAGCAACCGCTTGCAGTGTCACACACTGCAATCTATATGTATGTGCAGCACTGCCTGCAGAAAAATACGTCATGTGTAAGGCAGAATGCGTAAAAAAATCATCACACCCAATAGTCAATTGATTTCTCTGCATATACTTGCAAAGTAATAATAATAAAAATACATACGCTTAAATTCAGAACCTTCAGTCTAAATCTCAGATCCTGATATGAGCTTCAGAATTAGTCACTTCTATAGCCACAATTTATCTGGAACAGGGCAACTAGTGAAAATGTAAAGCAGTGAAATTATTGGCCAGGCATTGTGACTTTAAAACTGCTTTGGCATTTGGGGTTGCTCTATTAATCATAAAATAGGACCTAAGTTTTCTCGCTCTTCTACTCATTCACTTAAATATATGTAACCAATATATATACTGTATATATGCTTTACCTAAACAAATGGTAAAAAAATCACCATCAAGTATTATGAGAGGGAACATGGCTTTTTTCGTGTGATTGTGTGTTAGAAATTGTCAAGAAATACATGCATGTTTCATAGCAATACTATCAACCTCCCTCCCCCAGGAAAATACAGCTGAGTACATTCTTTGAAATGTAAGTTATTAGAGCATAGAGGAAAGCAAAAGACCTACATTTAGCGCTTCTTAGCAAGATCATTTCAGCTCTTATTTTCTTTCATTTTGGCTCAGATTGTTCTTTTTTATTGTTTGAGGGGTATAAGATTGAATCAGTGCTAATAACAAGGATGGGGAAACGCTGCAAAATAGCCCAGTAAGCGAATTTTGATTGCTAAACTAAGAAAACAACACCTTTCCAACTCTATATGGGTGAAAATCTTTTATTGCTATCTTCAGATTATCTGGCAGAAAATGAAAAACTAGCCTTCATCATATCTGTGATCCATCTAGTTTATTAATCTTTTCCCAAAAATGTCAAATATCCAGCAGTTGAAAGGTGACAGTAAACTGAAGGTGTCCTGGGCTCCCTGAAATTTCTCAGATTTTACGTCCCTTCAGACATGGGCTACATTTGTGCTAAAGATGGGTTTTCCACTAGAGACACCTGGTCCTGCCTTGAAACATCTGAGGTAAGTCCCACTAAGGGGTCTTACTCCCTAGTAAATGGCACTGCAATCCTAAATGTGTACGTACTAGAGAGTAAGCCCTATTTAAAACAGCAGGACTTATTTCTGGGTAAACATGTGAAAGATTGCTCTGTAAATCTAGTTCAACTTCATGTCTAAGCGGGCATGGGGACTCAAAGCCTAAACACAATTGGTTATATTATGGAGAAGCTTTAAGCCGTACTGAAATTCATGGCATTTATGCAACCACAACTTTCTTAGGATTGCCCACAATTCAGTGCATAGTTACATGCACAGATCTCATCCGAATCAATGGGGCTTAGGCACAATTAACCCTCCGCTGAATTATGCAGGCACAACAACAATCTATACTAGGAAATAAACCATGAAGTACATAGTTTCTGGAAAGCCACTTCCGCCCAGTGGCAGAGCTTCATGCTCCAGCACCCGGGGGCAGAGAACAGGCAGGGACGGGGCTGGCGTACATCCCGGGACATGGTGTGCGTCCTGGGGGCGGGGCATGCATCCGGGGGGCGGGCAGCCGAGATGGCACCCCACCAGGATCGTGCTGCCAGGGGCGGTGCGCTCCCCCGCACTCCTCTTCCTCCGCCAGTGCTTCTGCCTTAGGAGGAGGTGGAGCTGCGGGCACTCACGACCCTTTCATGTGTGCAGGGGTGTGGGCAGCCCTGCGTGACTGGGGGGGATTCCCGGCTGCGTCACTGCCCAGGCAACCAAGCCGATTACTCTGGGAGTGTGGCCTGCTTGATTTAAGCAGGACGCAGAGGGAATCTCACCCCTTTCCGCGCCTCCAGCTGCTCCGGTTTCCCCACCCTCCTGCCCTTTAGGTTTTTTCATCTCTTGACCTTGCTATCGACTTCAGTTGGTTGCCATTGAGGGGCCTGGTAGGACTTCTTCCACTTGGCAAATTGGCACCGGCCACTTGGTTTTTGCCTACCTCATAGCAAATATTCACAACTTGATAAAGTTAGGCGGTTAGGCATTGGAATACTGCTGAAGAAGAGAGGAGGGGAGGTAGTGCCATCACCTGCCCCGCACATTGAAGGGTATTCCGTTAAAGGATTCCGGGGGCCTGGCCCTGCCCGAAGTCTGGGGAGGCTAGGGCCTAAGGCACGACCCCTATTGGTGGCCCTGGGGGAGCTCCTAGTTGATGTATGTCAGCAGGACTCCCCCTACTGGTGGTTAACCCTTCCCGGACTCCGCACAGATGGGCGGGAGTCAGATAGTCGGTTAGGTCCAATGCCTAAGCTAATACCGCTCACAATCTGTAGCCAATAAAGTTGTGGCCGTTTTTAGCCCATTAACTTAAAATACTGTTGTCAAGTGTCTTATTTAACCTTGTGGGGGGGCCGGGGTTGGGAGCTTGCCACACTTCCATCCAGGGAATGTTTTACGTGGGAGGCATATTACATAATATTTAGGATGAAAAATTCAAATAGAGAATATCTGTGGTTTCTCTGAATGGCCTGAGCTACCTGTTAATAACTTTTCCCCCCTTATAGAAGTTACCTATACTCTTTGAGGCTGCAATCCTATAAACACTTACTTGGGAGAGCAAATATTCTTGAAATCAGCAGGACTTAATTTGCAACCCTAACTCCACTTACCTGGGAGTAAGCCCCACTGAATTAAATAGTACTTACTCCTGAGCAGACATGGTAAAGATTGACGCTTTAAACATGCTGAGGATCAGGCTAAACATTGCATCTTTCTAACCCCATTTTGGGATGTGCGAATAGCTCAGATCTTGAACTCTGAAATCAAACACGTTTTTTAGGTCTTTGCATAGTAGTTGTAGTTCTTCATTACGTTGTCTCCCAATTCTCTCCCCGCCTTTATCCCATTTCTACTTATAATGATATTCTTGCTTGACTTATAATACAGCAGACACCCATAATTCAATGCATGTTTACTCAGAAGTAAGTCTCGTGGTGTTCAATGGAGCCTATTCCTTAATAAGTATGTTTAGGTTTGAAACTGTTGCATTATTTCCTTTGCATACAGACCAAGATGGGTAACCTTGGGCTGGTTTTGCATGGGATTATTTCACACACAAACATTTTGTTTTAATACAGCGACATCAAAATGGCCATTCCCCATTAAAGCCTGGAAATTACCAGATACACTCGGCAGCGGAATCTTCTAAAAATTTCAGGAAAATTCAGGCTCTGTGCTTTTACTTTTGATTTGTTGCTTACATCGCCGTGACAGGACAAGGGAACCATAAAGCATGGTAAAAGGGGAAAGGAGAATAGGGAGGGAAGCTGAACTACCAGTCAAGGCTGCCAGTCATTGACGACTGGACTGAGAACAACGAGGTGCAAACGAGAGGAATTAAACCAGTACTCTTTTCTTTTGGGATGGCTAAGCTCCTCCACCAACCACCAGTGCTTTCCTACCGCCGTGAATAACCCCACACAAGAGATAGAAGCTATACGGGTTTTCGACCTCTTCTGATTGATACCTTTGGCCGTAGCCTTTTTTTTTTATGGGGAAGGGGAGAAGAAAAAACAAGGGGCGGTTCAAATTCTGCTTCTTTGCACCTAGTGATTCTCCCTGTTTCAAAACTTACAGCCAGAAAATGCCCCCCTCAGATGCGAGAGGTATCAGAAGCCAGGCTAAATAAGAGCAGCCAAGTGCCAACAGAGAATCTACAAATGACATGTGGTTTGGGCCAATAATGAGGCAGCTTGATATATCTCCCTTTTTTTCTTCTTCTCTTCCAATGAACCATTAAAAAAAAAAAAGGGAGAAGTGTGCAGCAGGGGTGAAGGTGAATCATAAACAGAGGGAGTTGATCAAGTCAGCAGCTGCATCATGATTCTGTTTGTCGTTATGTCTTTCTACCAGTTTGATCAGTTCTAGCATGCTTTTAAAATAAAAACCCCGGTAATCCACAGGCATGCAGAAGGATCAGCTCGCTAATGGCATCTTACCCTCATCCCCTCAAATCGGGACAACGCTCTTAAAGGCCTCAAAGCTCTGAGTGTCCTAAGGGATTTAATGGCACCTAGTTCCGAGTAGCCAAGGGCATTAGCTACAAGGCTGACTAAAGAGACCTACACAGAAAACAGAAAAAAGAAAGAGAAAAAAAAGGAAGAAAAAAAAAAAAAGAGGTTCCAGACTGTTAGAATAAATCTCCTAGCACTGAAGGTTTTTTTTTTGTTTGTTTGTTTAAAATCCATCCCCCAAAGTGGACTGCAGGCAGGCCCAAAGTCCACCCCCGTTTAGATTGATAGCGAAGACATGACCACACCAGCTGCCTACTTCACTTCACTGAAACGACCTGGAAGGAAATAATGCGGTTGAGAGAGGCATAAGAATAAAACAAAAGGGGGAAAAATGTGTGAGATAGAGAAAGAGAAAGAGAGGCAGAGACACACAAGACGGAAACGGGGTCTGTCGGAAGGTTAGGAGCCCAAACGGATGACAAGAACCTTACCCTCGCCCTCTTAACAGTCTGCAGGATCCCAGCAGCTCCCATTAAATTAAGCCAGACAAATTTTTAAAGGTACCTATGAGAAAGAATACAGATAAATACACACACTGCACAAGCCGCCTTAGTTCTCTCATTCAGACGGGGCAGATAGAGGGCCTGCCTTGCTCATTTCCACTGGGGTGACATGGCAGAGATTTGAGGGGAGAAGGGGAAGCGTCTAGGTTCTCACCTCCTTTGGGGAAAAAAAAAAGCCAGCAGCGAAACACACCGAAAAGTGTGCAGCGGTTAAGGGGTGGGGGTAAATCATTTTAAGCTCTTTATTGAGATGCTGGATTGCAATTCATTATTCTAGGGGGGCCAGTCCTTCCAGTAAGATGCTATACAATGGTGGTGTACAATTAGAGAGACGTATTTCCTTGCGCCCCCAAACCCACTGCAAAATGGTTGGGATGGAGCAAACCTTCATGCACTATGGAATCGGTAGGCAAAGCCCACGTATCCCTGCTATATCCTCAAACATTATCAGAGGATTGTTTCTGACGCCCGCTTATAACAATTTCGATTAGGCAAGCCTATCCAGAAATGTAGAAGTTACATGTGTTTTAATCTCCTTTTAGCTATTGTTTATTTTCATCGTCTTTTGAAAGTTTTAAAATACCTGTTTTAAACTGTTTCATTTTTAATGGAGCATTTTAGTGTTTTATTTTATACTTCATTAAACTGCCTAGAGAGGGGGTTTTTTTTTGCAGTCAAATGGTATACAAATTGTGTTGACTCAATCAATCAATAAAGTAACATATAATACTTTGAAACCGCATGCATGTCAGTTGGGGGCCAGTGTGTAGATCACCATTTGCAGTGTGGCTGTTGCTTCCGTGTGGTTCATTCCTAAAAGGTAAAAAAGGTAAAGGACCCCCTGGACGCTTATGTCCAGTCCAAGGCGACTATGGGGTTGTAGCGCTCATCTTGCTTTCAGGCCGAGGGAGCTGGCATTTGTCCACAGACAGTTTCCAGGTCATGTGGCCAGCATGACTAAACCGCTTCTGGTGCAATGGAACACTGTGACGGAAATCAGAGTGCATGGAAACGCCGTTTATCTTCCCGCTGCAGTGGCACCTATTTATCTACTTGTGTTGGTGTGCTTTCGAACTGCTGGTTGGCAGGAGCTGGGACACAACAATGGGAGCTCACCCCGTTGCAGGGATTTGAACCGCCAATCTTCTGACTGGCAAGCCCAAGAGGCTCAGTGGTTTAGACCACAGCGCCACCCGCAGTGTTCATTCCTACACTGCTGTGGTACAGTCTAAATACAGGAACCATGAGGGATGGGCACACAATGGGGCTACTTCCCATCTTAGCATTGCAACTACGGTTGCTGCGTATGAGTGTAATTGGGTCGTTCACCTGTCCCATGAGGTCCTAATGGTCAGGGGTCCCTTTACCTTTATTAACAAGTATAGGACCTGATCATGCCGATAGAGTGACTATGTCTATATGTCGTCTATGCCCTATGGGCCTGGAGTGGTTGAAGCCTACCAGACACATCTTACTATGCTTTGAAGATGTTAATTGGATGTTTTATTTCTGTAAATAACAGGTGTCGGGGACTGGCTGTATGCACCAGCGGAGGACACCCCCCCTCCTAAGTGAACCCCCAGGGGAAGAAGGCTCAGTGCCTGGGGATTGGTGATGGAATGCTGATGAATGGTCAGAAGGAGAAAACTGGGAGGAGACGTCAGAAGCCAAAGGGGCAACAGGGTTTAGTGAGCAGGAAGAGGCTGTGGTAGAGAGCAGTTCAGACTCAGAGGCAGACTCAGAGGTTGGAGAAGAAGGGGGACAAAGAGGCAGAGATCAGGTGGGCTGATGATGAAGCCAGGGGGTCTCCCCCTCCTGATGTGACCAGCTCCCACCCCCCACCCTGGTCTCCCCAGAACCTGTGGAGGTATAATGAGGGTGGAACAGACAAGGCAAAGAAGTCTCAGGTTGCTTGGGACAGACCCAGGGGAGGAGGAGACAGGGAGTTGTGGGAAGGCAGGGACCTTCAGTCCTCACAACTGGAGCAAGACCTGCTGGGAAGAGTTTCTGTGTGTACTAGGTCTCAGCTCTTTTGTTTCTTTGAATAAAGTGGTAACTTCACCGACACCTTGTGCGTTATCCATGACCAGATCCTGACTCCTGCCTTGACAACAGATATGAGAATGAGGGTGTTTTTGGTTTTCTTTTTTAATGTAAGTGCATTTAGAATGGAGAAAGGTTGATTTACTAAATCCTGGTTATAGATGTTTTTTATGCTGTTCTATGATAGAAACAATCTTTGCTCTCCCTCTCTCTCGCTCTCTTTTAAAGGTAACATAAAATGGGACTGTGTATGAACTGAGACCAATCTTGATCTCCCATGTTTCCCTTTCACATGTTATGGTGATGCTGCAAGGTACAGATCATTTACACAAAAATTTTATTAAAGTGGTACCTTGGGTTAAGTACTTAATTCGTTCTGGAGGTCCGTTCTTAACCTGAAACTGTTCTTAACCTGAAGCACCACTTTAGCTAATGGGGCCTCCTGCTTCTGCCCGCCGGAGCACGATTTCTGTTCTCATCCTGAAGCAAAGTTCTTAACCCGAGGTACTATTTCTGGGTTAGCGGAGTCTGTAACCTGAAGTGTATGTAACCTGAAGCGTATGTAACCTGAAGTGTATGTAACCTGAGGTACCAAAGTTCTTTATACAGGTGGTAAACACACTAATGTTTCAATTTTATACAGGTGGTATATACACACTAATTTTATACAGGCGGTATACACACTAATTTTATGATTTTATACAGGTGATATAGCATAGCTGTCAACGTTTCCCTTTTTTTTAAGGGAAATCCCCTATTCCGAATAGGATTCCTCACAAGAAGAGGGAAAAGTTGACAGCTATGGTGATATAGACACAAATTTTATATGAAGCATCTCTAAGGGGAATATTATTTTTGCTTACTGCCCCCCCCTACTTTTCTCCTAGTTTGGGGATTGATAATTCAGTAGATAAGGTATGCTTTATTAGGGAGATATTTTAAAATCCCACCTAACAATCCATTAATATTTATATTGAATTAACTGGTAGAAGAAGGAAGGAGGCCTTGGTTTTCTTCCTGTTTTGTCTCTTGATATATTAAAATAGACCTGTGGCTCTGGGGAGACAACAGTCTTCAGATGGCTGCAAAAGGGTTATGCCTAAAGGCACCAGCTCATTGAGGACATGTAACTAAGTTTGGGTAAGAGTGCTTTGGAACTGAAAGAATAAGAAAAGTATGGGTTTTATTTAACCAATTAAAGAAAGGAGGAATGGGCTATGCAGTGTTTTGAGGGGGGATGAGTTACTGTAGAACTGTACTGTATAGTGAAGGCTAAAGTACGGGAATAAAGGAAGGATTTAGTAGAAGTTAAAGCTATTTTGAGGACCTAATGGTTGAAAAGTGTGTTACACATCTAAATCAATACAAGCCGGTGGGTCTTAAGCTTGCATAAGCATGAGTTTAATGCAAATTAAATTAGGAGCAGGCAGTTCAACATGTATATGTGATACAGACAAAAATAGTATTTGTAAGCCAGGGGTTGGCTGATCTGTGTCCCTCTAAATGTTGTTGGACTCCAACTCCCATCAGCCCCAGAAACCATGATCAATGGTCAAGGATGATGGGACTTATAGTCAAGCAAAAAACAAAACAAAAATATGGAGGGCCATGGGTTAGCCACCACTCCTGCTTTAAAAATTTCCCATGAAATTATAAAAGAAGCTCTACTGTTAAAATAGTAAGCTTCCCAGAATTATATTTCAGCAATGTTTTTGCAATGTCTTTGAAAAAAACAATTGAAGCACAATATATTAATAGTCGGCCACATAAAAAATCTCCCCCCCCCCAAGGTGTGTTCACATAGGGCACGTTCAAGCCAAAATTAAGCCCTTTTAAGTTCCATGGAGTTCACTGAGTGAAGAAAACATACATTTAACTCTCTCTAGCTGAAACAAATGAGAAGTAAAAGTGCTTAATAAATGGATCATTTTAGTAATTCATGAAAAAATTGTGTTTTAGCCAGTCCTGAATAGATACTGGTAGAAAACCAGAACCCCTCCAACACTAGTATATACAGATTTCATTTATTAAATTATTGTTGCTATTATTATTATGAATAATAATTTCATTGATGAATTGCTTCCTATGAGGCATCTCAAGTGATTTACAGTAATTGCCCCTATGTACTTGACACTCTCTTAAACAATGAGAGATTAGTTTAAAGGAAAGAATCTCTGCTTGACTTTTAACAGGAATTTTAGTTTTCCACTTGTCTTTTGAGACAATAGCAAGGGGAAGTGCAGTCGTGCTAGAGATATGAACTTTCCCCAACATAAAAACAGACAGTCAACATTTATTACTGAAAAAAACATAACACTTTGGGGGAAGAAAAGACAAATAGCACTAAATATATCCAAGACAGTTCCTTCTAAAATTTTGAATGCTAGCAGTAAACTAACAAGAAACAAACAGATCATTTACATTGGCCTATAATGTTAATTTTCAGAATAATAATTTCAGGGAAAAATGCATAATGGTTGGGTTTCTGATATGGAACTGAAAAGTAATCACATTTTCCCAAACGAATCAAAACAGAACAGAACAGTAGGAACAGAACGTATCATTGCTCAGAAAAAGAGACGCACAAATATATCCCACAATTTCAGGAATCAGAAAAGATCTACATGGAATAACCTTTTTTTCCAAACCTCAGAAATACCACTTGCACATGGTTTGAAATAATGCAGCCATTTTAGAGATCTTAATAAAATACTATTAGCAAAAGTGGGGAAACTTTTGGCTCACCAGATTGTTCTGAACTAGAACTCCCGTCAGTCTCTGAAAGCATTGCCAATGGCCAGGGATGATGGGAGTTGTAGTTCTGCAACATCTGGAGGACCAAAGATTTCAAACACCTGCTATTAAGACAGGATGCTCTTTGCAGATTTTTGTTTCACTTCATTTTAGCCAAATATCAAAATATTTTAGTACCTGTCTCTGAAAGTTTCATTTTCTTTCTTTCTAATCACATAACAGTAGCGTCCATGAAAAAGGTATATGCTGTTTTTTTAAAAAAATCACCTCACTTTCAGATCTTCTTTTCCGCGAAGAAAGGGAATGAATTCACAAGAACATTTTGCAATCTTGGCCCATGGAGGTTGCGGGGTATGGTCACAGAGACCCCTGCCATCCATTACAAGCAACAAGCCAAACTAATTGTTATATTAAATACATGTGGGCGGTTGATTGTGTCTTTGTGTTGTTGAATGGTGCTGTGCTGCAGGTTTAAAGTTTTCCTTGCACTGCAGCCCTGAGAGGAAAATCGTCCCTGGTAGCTGCTGTTTTCCTAGGAGGGAAGTTGCGATGGACGCTAATCACAGCTACCCTTCCAGGGAAATAGCAGTGAGAAGGAGGGGGGTTGTGGGTGTTATGTACTGAAGTTCTCACCCTGGGCCAGCAGGGGGATACTGTAGATAGTTATGCAAATAAAGGATCGAAAGTGACGTTCAGTGATTGGATAGTTTTAGAAAATTGTTACAGTTACATTGTACTGGAGCTCTATATAAGCAGGCTGACTGAACCCTTCAGTTCAGTTCTGTTCTGGCCTGTGAATAAACAAGAGCTGTTTGAAGAATTGCTGTGTTGTCTGATATGTTCACCCACAACTTAACAGTGGGAAAGGGGGAAAGGGCTTAAAAGCCTTCCACCGATGCCTTGGTCCCAATCTGGACCCCTGCCCCCACTTCACGGCTGCTACCCAAATCAGGCATTGTGATGTGACACAGGCATACTAATGCAGGTGCACATTTAATTTAAACTTGTCGTTTGATACTAAGCTTCCTCAAAGCTTACACTGCAACAGAGGAAAGAAGACAAGGACACGGCCCAGAGCAATTGAAGACTGGTGCACTCTCCACCCAACCCATCTCCATTGTGAGCTACCTCTGTCTGTAATCTTTGCAAGGATTCACAATTGGACCCTATTACACGGGGGTAGTTGCAAACATTATGGGACATGTATTTTTCGCTCCATAAGATGCACCTGACCATAAGGCGCACCTAGTTTTTAGAGGGGGATTGCAAGAAAAAAAAAATTCTTTAAAGGAAGCGCTGAGCAGAACCTGTATGCATCCCAGGCTCTGCTCAGCGCTCCCTTTCACGAGCCCGTCACCCTTCTCCCTCCTCAGGGAAAAGCCCCCAAGAGTTGCACACACGCTCCACGCGGCTCTTTAAAGAGAGCGCAGCTCTTGGGGGCTTTTCCGGGAGGTGGGGGAAGGGACAGAGTGCAGGTAAGCCAGAAGCTAGAACAGCGAGAGGGAGCGCAGCGATCCCTCTTGCTATTCTGGCTTCTGGGATAGCTGCGCAGCCTCTTCAGGGCAGCGGGATGAAGGCTCCCCACTGCCCTGAAGAGGCTGCGCCCGGCTAAGCCAGAAGCCAGAACAGCGAGAGGGAGCGCTGCGCAGCATTCCCTCTCGCTGTTCTGGCTTCTGGGATAGCTGCGCAGCCTGCATTCGCTCCATAAGACGAACACATATTTCCCCTTACTTTTTAGGAGGGAAAAGGTGCATCTTATAGAGCGAAAAATATGGTAATTTCCAGTTTTTAGTGCTGTCTCCCCAAGTAAGCCTGATGAAAGCTCTGTCCCTCAGGCTCATTCAATGTGGGCTGGGCAGGCCAAGCGAACTTGGGTTGCTTGACACTTCTTGCAAGGGAGGGAAATAAATATTCTCTGCAGAAAGGATACCATTCCTCCACTGCCTCCCTGCCCCCACAGTATAATTAAAACATGGAGGGAGGCACATAGTTGAGCATCTTATAATACTTGAGGCAGATGGGTGGAGAGACAGAGAAGCTTTGGCGCAGGGGGAGCTTATCTATCATGTACTCGCACCTCCTTCGGCAACACTGAAAGAGAACCCTTGCTTTTGAGGAAGGTGTAATACGGAAGAAGTGCAATTATGTGGTTCATTCTTGATCAGTACTGGAACTCCAAGCTCAAATTGGGCATTCTGGGGTGAAACACAAGAATATTCACCCAGTGCTTTTCCAGCTGCACTAGCTCCCGGTGGAGTACAGGGTCAGATTTAAGGTGCTGGTTTTGACCTTTAAAGCCCTTCACGGCCTAGGACCCTCGTACCTACGGGACCCCCTCTCCTGGTATGCCCCATGGAGGACCTTAAGGTCCATAAACAGCAACACCCTAGAGGTCCCGGGCCCTAAGGAAGTTAGATTAGCCTCAACCAGAGCCAGGGCCTTTTCAACACTGGCTCCGGCCTGGTGGAACGCTCTGCCTCATGAGACCAGGGCCCTGCGGACAGAGTTGTTCTGCCTGGCCTTTGGCCTGAACTGTTTAATTCCCTCCCCCTCTTTCTTTTTCCTTTCTCCTCCTGTGAAGAGGCTGCATCTTAATGTTTTAATGTTGTATTTTAATCTTGTTTTTTAAAATTGTATTTTAATCAACTTGTTTTTATTACTGGTTGTTAGCCACTTTGAGCCCAGTCTTGGCTGGGGAGGGCAGGGTACAAATAAAAAAATATATCATTTTTTTAATTATTATTATTCCATGTTCTGGGTCTTTGGTTTGTTAAACTGATAAGATCGGTTAGAATTCAATTTTCTCCATTTTATTCCCTCCCCCCCCCCCAATAATTCAGCAATACTGGGTACTGACGATCCCAAAAGATTCTGTCAACTGCACCATTCACCAATACTTTGATTGTTGGATCTCTCTGGCAGCTTATTCAATTATCTCTTGGACAGCCAGTAGCAGCAGCAGGCAGATTTTCTTGTAAAACTATTTTTCTTTGTCTGCTATTTCTGTGCCCTTTTCTCAATTCCAGGCAACATTCCGATTCCACTGAAAAAGCAGGCCTGAAAGTGAAAGTATGGAACCGTGCAATTTGAATTGCTGGAGCAGAGAGCATAGAACAATTCTATTTTGATGGATTGGTTCTGTTCACACATGTATACACATATAGGTGAACTCTTACCACTTGGTTCAGGAGTGGAGAAACTGTGGCCCTCAAGATTTTGCTGGATTACAACTCCCATCATCCCTGACCATGGGCCAAACTGGCAGGGGCTGATGGTAACTGGAGTCCAACAACAATGGGTGGGTGGGGGCATAGGTTCTCCACCCCTGTCGTTATTGGAGCCCAGATTTAGAAAGCTACAGGAACAGTATTGCTGGACCTCATTTATCTGTGCAAAGGAATGCCCCAGTTCTGCTAAAACAACAACCAATGCATGGATTGGAAGAAGCAAAATGATACCTACTGCTACAATGAGGAAATCTAGCCAGCACCAGGCATTAGTGAAGAACTTCACGAATCCATAGGCACACCACTTCAACAACATTTCGAGGATAAAGATGTAAGTGAAGACTTTGTCGGCATACTCCAAGACAGTCCGTATGGTCTTTCTCTGTTCTATGTAAATATCTTCAAAGGCCTAAGGAGTAACAAGGCAACAAGGATTATCACACTCTTTTCCTGGCAGCAGAGCGAGATAGAAATAAAAAACTAGGTCCAAAAACTTGTGGGAGACACGCAGACTTCTCAAGGAACATACAGATCACACATCTCCCAACGCTTGAAGCATTGTTGGAGAGGCACAGAAGCTGCTTCCATGTGGGTGGAATGCCATTTCCAGTCTATCTCTGTCTATCTCTTGGAAGGACACCAGCTGGATTATATGGGGTTTTTTCCCCTCCCATGCAAGTGTTGCCCAATCCTTGGGTAGGAGCAATATCGGCATTGGAAAGATGCAGGTAATTTGCTTGGACTTCATTGGTCCTTCGAGTAGATATTACCCTGTATGATCTGGCCATGCAAAAGTGGTTCCAATGCTTTTCTGGTTGTGTAGAAACTGGTTGTTGTTAGTATTTTCTTTTTCTTTTTTAAGTATTGTATCCGAGGCAATGCCAAATAAATGAAAGATCTGCTGGAGTCACTTGCTCACTGTGCTTGTCAAAGACACCTAGGGTGTTTTCACAAGTAATACCCAGCTCTACCTCTCTTTTAAGTCAGAACCAGTGAAGGCGGTGAAGGTCCTGTGTGAGTGTCTGGAGGCGGTTGGAGGATGGATGGCGGCTAACAGATTGAGGTTGAATTCTGACAAGACAGAAGTACTGTTTTTGGGGGACAGGAGGCGGGCAGGTGTGGAGGATTCCCTGGTCCTGAATGGGGTAACTGTGCCCCTGAAGGACCAGGTGCGCAGCCTGGGAGTCATTTTGGACTCACAGCTGTCCATGGAGGCACAGGTCAAATCTGTATCCAGGGCAGCTGTTTACCAACTCCATCTGGTACGTAGGCTGAGACCCTATCTGCCTGCAGACTGTCTCGCCAGAGTGGTGCATGCTCTGGTTATCTCCCGCTTGGACTACTGCAATGCGCTCTACGTGGGGCTACCTTTGAAGATGACCCGGAAACTACAACTAATCCAGAATGCGGTAGCTAGACTGGTGACTGGGAGCGACCGCCGAGACCATATAATACCGGTCTTGAAAGACCTACATTGGCTCCCAGTACGTTTCCGAGCACAATTCAAAGAGTTGGTGCTGACCTTTAAAGCCCTAAACGGCCTCGGTCCAGTATATCTGAAGGAGTGTCTCCTCCCCCATCATTCTGCCCGGACACTGAGGTCCAGTTCTGAGGGCCTTCTGGCGGTTCCCTCACTGCGAGAGGCCAAGTTACAGGGAACCAGGCAGAGGGCCTTCTCGGTAGTGGCGCCCGCCCTGTGGAACGCCCTCCCATCAGATGTCAAAGCGATAAACAACTACCTGACATTCAGAAGACATCTGAAGGCAGCCCTGTTCAGGGAAGTTTTTAATATGTGACATTTTTGTGTATTTTTCATCTTTGTTGGAAGCCGCCCAGAGTGGCTGGGGAAACCCAGCCAGATGGGCGGGGTACAAATAATATATTATTATTATTATTATTATTATTATTATTATTAATATAGTAAGTGACTGCAGAGCTGGCGTCAGCACAAAGCATTCTCAGGCAGCTTTGGGGAGACCCAATACTTACACTTGCTTTTCACCCTGTTAAAAGCAAACACCCATAGCAGCTCCAGATAGTCACCATTTTAAGTTTTTAACAAATGTTCCAGTAGCTGTGTTTACTTCTAGAACATTGTGGTGGAAAAAAACAACACCACGACCACTACAAAAACATGATTGTCACTGGTACCACAAAAGTCCATATGTCCCTTCATGAACACCAAGGGCCCCCCCTCATAGAAGAAGGGGGGGAGCATGGTAAGGTAAAAGGTTAAGGTAAAGGACCCGAATGGTTAGGTCCAGTCAAAGGCGACTATGGGGTTGGAGCGCTCATCTCGCTTTCAGGCTGAGGGAGCCGGCGTTTGTCCACAGACAGCTTTCTGGCTCATGTGGCCAGCATGACTAAACTGCTTCTGGCGCAACGGGACACTGTGACAGAAACCAGAGTGCACGGAGACACCGTTTACCTTCCCGCCATAGTGGTGCCTATTTATCTACTTGCACTGGTGTGCTTTCAAACTGCTAGGTTGGCAGGAGCTGGGAAAGAGCAACGAGAGCGCACTCCGTTGCGGGGATTCGAACCGCCAACCTTCTGATTGGCAAGCCCAAGAGGGTCAGTGGTTTAGACTACAGTGCCACCCGCGTTCCTTGTGGATGGTAGACAATCTCAACTACTGTGCTGCCCAAGTGACCGTAAGAGCAACAACTGATTTCCTGAGTTTGTAAATTGAGAAAATGCACCAATAGAAACTTCCATCCTTGGGTGACCAGCAGCTTTGGGGACGGGTAATCTTCCCCAGCGTGCAGACAAAGGGTCCCAAGGGTCCCTCAAGGGTCCCAATCCTTTCCCACTCCTGACAGCAGCTCTTTAACTTTGAAAACATACACACACTCAGCTGTTTGAAATGCCTTTTTACACATTTCGTGTATTGTCTGGTTTGACCCCCAAAGTGACGCTAAGAGCATTACGTAGAGAAGACTCAATATAATATAACTCTGCTCACCAGGGCTCCACTGCTTAGCAAGATCATGAAGATAATGAACGTCTCAAACCAGTTATGCTCCACAATAAGAAAGCATGTCTTTCGTAAGTTCCACCACGACTTGCCCCACCCTTCTTCAATGCTGACTTCGCAGCACTTGAACCGCTGAACGCAGCCTGCAAATGGAAAATTAGCACAGGTTTTCCAAGAGCCGCAACACTTCCTTATTCCTTTTATTACAAAAATAATTAATTAATTCGGCTGCGTTACAAAAAAATAAAAGGTCAAAATAGATTATTTTCCCAGCGCTGTCATAATCATCAAGGACATTGCTCTACAAAATATTTTTATTTGTGCATAATACTTTAGATTTTTCATAGCTAAGACCCTGTAGAATAGTATTGCTCAGGGCAGAAGATTTAATTCTCTAATAAAAGGTTGCAGCGAAATTTGCTGCAGTCAGAACATGCACCGGCAGCTCCATATCAACTGGTCCAACAGTACCTTTCAAATTTCTTAATAAGACTTTTAAGAGATTGGCTGAAAAATCTAATAATGGTTATTTTTATTATATTTCTTAAGACACTGAGGTCCAGCTCCGAAGGCCTTCTGGTGGTTCCCTCCCTGCAAGAAGTGAGGTTACAGGGAACCAGGCAGAGGGCCTTCCCGGTGGTGGCGCCTGCCCTATGGAACGCCCTCCCATCCGATGTCAAGGAAATAAACAACTATCTATTATTATTATTATTATTATTATTATTATTATTATTATTATTATTATTATCTTCAGGAAATGTTTAGCTTGTTTTTGAATGTAAAAAAAAAGTGTAATTAGGCACAGGGGCTCCACTTAACCCTAGGAGCTTCTTAACTCTGCTGGATCTGCGAGTTGCCATTTATATTTCCCAGAATGTCCCAGAGTGATGCCAAACTGGGGGCACTGAGATAAATTAAGAGCATATCTCACAGTGGCTGCCTAAACAGCAGGGGTCTTAGGGGGCACTTTGCTGAAGGCCCCCTCAAACCTGAAGTCAGCCCTACCAAGGAAGGCTACTTTGCGGAGCTAACATGCCCTGAGTGGACGCCATATTGTTAAAAGGTCCATTTTGCCCCACGGTGTTCAAAATCACCTTCTGTGAAACACGCGTCCGGATCCAGGTATTCTTCTGGTGCTTCCACAGGAACCTCCTCTGCCTCAGGCTTTATATCAATGGTACTGCCCTCCGACGAACTTGTATCATCCAGTTTCTTGAACAATGGGAAAGAACATCACAAAATATTATGAGCCGGGAGAAAAGAATAGCTCCATTTTTTAAACAACGTTGACATTCATGCCAATATGCAGCACAGGAAAGAAATAAAATAAGAATAAAACTCTTTCCTAGTCTAACCCCTGCTGAATATCGGCTCATCTTAATATGGTACATCCTTTAAGACTTTTGAAATAGACGTAAAGAAGGAAACAATTGGAGGGAGCAACTATCTCCCAGGAACAGGGCCTGATTTAGGTGTGATGAGGTCCTGAGCTACTGAAGGGCTCTTTAAATGTCCAGCTGTCCTTTGTCAACAACAAATTTTCACTGTACTTTGTGTTGAATATATGTTATATGGTAATTTATGGACCTAATAGGTATCTAAAGCTATTTACACATAACAAAATATGTACATCATAGGAGCCTACACAACACAGAACACTGTTGCTGTATGCAGGTTTTCTTTTATTTGTTTTTTATCTTATATTTTGGAAATGTACATCCAGTTTTTTCCCTTTAATTTCTTTTGGAGGGGCCTAAGAGAATGGGGCCCTAAGCTACAGCTTGTTTAGCTTATATGTAAATCCAGCACTGCCCAGGAAGATATTTCCCCCTTTTTAAAAGTGGAGAAACATAGGCAGACAGATTGTGGTGTTAAGCCAAGCACACAATACGGAGGGCCTAGCATTCTGCTCCTGCGTAGAAAGCCTATGAACACATGAGGAAGTGACAGACTAGAAAGAAAAAGATTTATCTCCATTACATGATACATGATGGACCTTTGGGCTGATCCAACAGGGTTCTTTGTATGTTCTTATTATGAATGACTTAGTCATACATACGACCCATGAAAAGTCTGTGCCACCTTTGTTCTCATCTTGCCAAACAAAGTAAAGAGGGCCTACTTTATTTGCACTGAGAAATTTGCTGGCTGCAAAGCCTCGCGCTCTGGCCAGAAGGCCAAATTTGCTTTCCTCTTGCAATGCAATGGGTCACCCAAAACAAAAGCACGAGGGTGCGGCCTTTGAGCAAGCATGGCTCCGTACCTCTTTGCTGCCATCGGGGTCAGTGTCACTGCTGAAATCTTCCGTGTTGAGGTTCTCAAAGTCAGACTCACCCACAGCTATGGGGACACGGACGGTGAGGTTAGGGTTGTTGATGAAAGACATGTGGTCTTCATCAATGATGTACTTTTCCACGCTGCTGCCAATGCCACTGGTGGTGCCATTGCCGTTCTTCTGGTAATCGATCTCCCGGTTGATGTCGGCGCCGGTGTGGTTGGCGATGCAGTTCATCTTCTTGTCATACAGCTCGTCTAGTGGCTTCACTTCATCCGCTTCCTGCTGCTTGAAGTGGGTCTGCACAAACTCGTGCATTCTAATCTTGGCCCAGGCAATGCCTTTCTTGATCCGGATGACTGAGATCTGCAAGTTGTTCATCTCGCCGTCATCATCTGTCGCTGCAAGGTTGTCTGCGCTGAAAGAGCTCAGCAACAAAGCCAAGAACAGGTTCAATACCTGCAGAAGCAGAAAAAGGTATGTAAAAGGTCTTATATTTTCTGAGAATCCTCCAGAAAAACAATCTCTCAGAGGACCTGTTGATGGCATTTTACCATTGTACTGTGGAGAGCGTACTAACTTATGGTCTGTGTGTGTGGTTTGGGAGCTGCACGGCCAGGGGAAAAACAATGCTATCCAGGGTTGTAAAGACTGAAGAGAGAATAATTGGGTGCACCTTAGATCAAATCTATGCTGCCAGGTGCCATAAGAAAGCGGCAGAGATAGCACAGGATAGTACGCACCCCGGAAATGATCTCTTTCAGCTTCTGCCTTCTGGAAGAAGGTATAGGGTTATACAGGCCAGGACTAGCTGCCTTAGAAACAGTTTCTATGCAAATGCAATTCTGGTTCTAAACACAGCATAAGGGGTCTCTATAGTATAGTGTATTTTAAAATGGGGTTTTAGAGTTTTTAGGGGTTTTTAAATGTTTTATGTAGTTTTGCAGTAGTTTTATGTAGTTTTTATGTAGTATTATGTAGTTTTGTGGTAGTTTTATGTAGTTTTATGTAGTTTTTCAATTTCATTGTTCTGCATGGGACAATGACAATAAAGATATCGTTATCGTTATTGTTAAGACAAGACTCCCTCTAGCCACTTTTTGCTCAGTGAATTGGCAATATCGTCCTCAAAGTGCATCCTTCTACTTGGTGGCAGTGGGCCGTGCTCTGCTGGCTCCACCCATCCCAGTTGGCTCCTCCCATCCCAGAACCATTTCCTTCCGCAGCCATTCATGCCACCTGTTTAGCTATTTATTTATGGAATGTGCATACCACTTAATTGTAAAAACCTCCAAGCAATTTGCATTATAAACAATTGCAATCATTATGTAATAATCGGTACAACAATTTGCTTATTATCTCCCCTTTTCCTTTTGTGTCATCTCTGTTAGATTGCATGCCATTATTTTAAATTGCAAAACGCTGTGAATGCCTTGGCATGAATGTGATATACACATGGAGTAAATAAATAAAACGTGAGCACACGTAGACAGCCCTGAGCTTACAGACAGCCCTGTAGAATTCCCACGTTTGTTACAAAGAAGAAATCTGAAATGTTTTAATTAATTTGACCGCACCACATGGGCAAAGCCTTGCAAGTTTTTTGTTCTAAATAAGGTAGGAAAGGGTACTGGTTAAAGAATCTCAGAAAGTAACAAGGAGGGAAGGCAAACATTGAGGATTTTGACTGAGGAAAGCAGTCTTTTGTTATGAATATCCAAATACAGCAGACAAAATGGATCCCTGGTTTCTTTCTGATCGATGCATGAACGTTTCATATACACTGAGCACATTAAAAGACAGATTATATACAGTGGTGCCCCGCAAGACGAACGCCTCGCAAGACGGAAAACCCGCTAGACGAAAGGGTTTTCCGTTTTGGAGGCGCTTCGCAAAACGAATTTCCCTATGGGCTTCCTTCGCAAGACGAAAGCCCATAGGGAAATCTCCGGGACAGCGGGGAAGTGCAGCGCGTCTTCCCCACTGTCCTCGGACCTCCTCCGAAGGCTGGCGGCGGGCGGAGAGACCTCTTCCCGCCGCCAGCCTTCGTTTCTCCGCTATCCCCAACGGCTTCTGAAGGCAGGCGGGGGGGAGCAAAGACTTTCGCCCCCCGCCGGCCTTCAGAAGAGGTCCAGGACCTCTTCTGAAGGCCGGCGGGGGGCGAAAGTCTTTGCTCCCCCCTGCCTGCCTTCCCGGGAGAGCGGAGAAACGCAGCGAGTTTCTCCGCTGTCCCGGATGGCTTTTGAAGGCAGGCGGGGGGGAGCAAAGACTTTCGCCCCCCGCCCCCCTGCCTGCCTTCCCGGGGGCTTTTAAATCGCCCCGGGACAGCGGAGAAGTCCCCTGCTGTCCCGGGGCTTTTAAAAATGCTGGCGGGTGGCAGCGGAGGCTTCGCTCCCGCCCGCCAGCATTTTAAGATCGCCCCGGACAGCGGAGAAGTCCCCCGCTGTCCCGGGGTTTTTTAAAATGCTGGGGGTGGGAAGAAAAGCCCTTGGTCCCCCCCCCAGCCTTCAGAAGAGGTCGGGGGACAGACTGTCCCCGGACCTGGTCTGAAGTCGGTTTCCATAGGAACGCATTAATTGATTTTCAATGCATTCCTATGGGAAACCGTGCTTCGCAAGACGGAAAAATCGCAAGACGACAAAACTTGCGGAACGAATTAATTTCGTCTTGCGAGGCACCACTGTACACACAATTTTCTGTAAAATAAAAGGAAATTGCACTGCATTTTTAAGTCTTATGGGTGTCAGACTTAATTTCATTCCTTATTTTAAGGCGCATCATATAATCAGATCATTTTATTCTCATGTTTCCTTTGCTTTTATGCACAATTTATTGTATCGTTTGTGTGTTTTGTTTTGAACAGAACCGTTAAATTGGCAAATATCCAGTCAAGGTAAAAGGGAGGATATTTGAAAGACTTAGCCAGACAAAATTAGTTTTTCTGAAGCATTTCAGCAGCATCCTTTTAAATACAGGAGGGGGGGGAAGAGATTTTTGCAAAGCTTGGGGGAAATTGCAACGTGAGCAGCAGTAAAGGAAAATTATGCTTGGATTTTTTTCCTTTTAAAAAAATGCTCTTAACTTTTTGGAAGTTTTATGCCAGTTTGAAAAGAGGCAATTCTTCCAAACATGCCCCGACATTCACTGATGCTATGATCTTAAAAATATGCATTGTAGTATATATGAGGGCCAACAAAGCTACAGGGCCATCCTATGTGAGATACAAAATGCATGTATTTTGCTGTAATGTCAGCTGCAATTCCATTATAGAAATTTTCTTAGGTGCATCATATATGTATGCTTGTACTAACATCTTTTTGTGGCTAAAATACCTGTAAGAGGTGGGTCCAGGGCTGGTGTCAGAACATGCTATCCTCAGGCAGATTCCTGGGGCTTCAACATCCCAGCTGGGTCTACTGCTGACACCTTCCATGAACCCTCTTCTTTATTTCCCAGAATGCCCTGGAATTATGCTGCTTTGAGGGCATTGTGGGAAATTAAAACAGTGGTTCGCAGCTGCCTGGTGCTAATTCAGGGCACTGTCACCATTTTGTTTACTTGTAAGAACCTAACAACTCATAAATAATATTGTCAGCCTGCATAGCATAAATGATGACAGTCTATTCTGCTATGGTGCCAGCGGCAGTCCCATTGTAACAGCTGCTGCTGCCTATTGCCATGGCCCACCAAAAGAGCACCAGAAGGTTTTGACACATCTTATCCTACCCCATCAATTCTGCTTGCACTTATTTTAAAGCCAGGAATGGGGACAAGTGGTGATGTAATACCAGCACAATGCCATGGGTTCAGAGACAGTTGTGGGGTGGGTTACAGAGGGCTATGCTTATGGGTTTCCCAGAGGCATCTGGCATGTGGGAATAGGAGACTGGATAAAATCTGCTTGGCAGGGGGTTTTCCTGCTTGGCAGGGGGTTGGACTCAATGGCCCTTGTGGTCTATTCCAACTATGATTCTATGAAAATGGTTCTTTGATCTGATCCAGTGGGGGTGTGTCTGTTCTTACATTATCTTCTAGATCAGGGTAGCCAATATTGTGTACTGTAGAAGCTATGGACTATGGCACCCAATAGCCCTGGTGAATGTGACTAATGGCCAGAGAGGATGGGTGTTGCAGTCCACCTCTGGAGAGCAACAGGTTGACTACCTCTGTTCTAGATCATGATATTGCTCAGGACCACAATACCTCAAGGACCACCTCTTTCCATATGAACCTACCCAGTCCTTGAGATCATCTTCTGAGGCCGTTCTTCGTGTGCCTCCTCCACGAGAGGTGTGGAGGCTGGCAACACGAAAATGGGCCTTCTCTGCAGTGGCTTCCCGTCTGTGGAATGCTCTCCCCAGGAAGTTCGCCTGGTGCCTTCATCACACACCTTTAGGCGCCAGGCAAAAACGTTCCTTTTACACCAGGCCATTGGTTGATCCTATACCCTTTTAGAATGTGGCTTTTTCTGGGAGGGGGGTGTTATTGGGTTGTTTTTTATTCTGATTATATATGTTGTGATTTTTTTCTGTGAACTGCCCTGAGACCTCTGGGTAAAGGTAAAGGTAAAGGGACCCCTGACCATCAGGTCTAGTCGTGACCGACTCTGGGGTTGCGGCGCTCATCTCGCTTTATTGGTCAAGGGAGCCGGCGTACAGCTTCCGGGTCATGTGGCCAGCATGACTAAGCCACTTCTGGCGAACCAGAGCAGCGCACGGAAACACCATTTACCTTCCCACCAGAGTGGTACCTATTTATCTACTTGCACTTTGACGTGCTTTCAAACTGCTAGGCTGGCAGGAGCAGGGACTGAGCAACGGGAGCTCACCTCGTCGTGGGGATTCGAACCGCCGACCTTCCAATCGGCAAGTCCTAGGCTCTGTGGTTTAACCCACAGCGCCACCTGCGTCCCTCGAGACCTCTGGGTATAGAGCGGTTAATAATAATAATAATAATAATAATAATAATAATAATGCATTTGTGCTGCAGTCATTATTCTTAATCCTGAAAGTTTCCTGAATGTGCGGTAACCCTTAGCATTGGTCTTTAAAACATCTTAGCATATAGGGAATATTAGCTGCAGAACCTGCCACGGGAATAGAAACAGTGAGTTCTTGTCCCAGCCCATTACAAGACAGCCATCCACTTCCCACTCAAAAGCAACCACAGATAGATATTTACTGACCACCAGATTTCCAATGACCATCACCATCATGAAGACAATAAGGCACATGGCCTGTCCTGCCACTTCCATACAGTCCCACATGGTTTCAATCCACTCCCCACACAGCACACGGAAGACGATAAGGAAAGAGTGGAAGAAGTCGTGCATGTGCCATCGTGGAAGCTCACACTCGGGGTTGATCTTGCAGACACATTCCTTGTAGCTCTTGCCGAAAAGCTGCATCCCCACCACGGCAAAGATGAAGACAATGATGGCTAGCACCAAGGTCAGGTTTCCTAAGGCCCCCACCGAGTTGCCAATGATTTTAATCAACATGTTCAGAGTAGGCCAGGATTTTGCCAGCTTGAAGACCCTCAACTTGAAGATGTAAAAAAGAAAGAGAAATAGAGATAAAACAGATTTATGATTAATAAAGCAACAGTCCTGCCAATGGGAACCCAGATTTAAAAAGAGATATTGATCACAACATACCAAAGGGGCAGTTTTCATATGTGGTGGACCTGCGAAAAAGCTCAGGGATTTTGGGAAATGGTGTATAATGAACTGAAGAAAATGTTAAAAGTGGTTACTCCTCAAAATCCTGAAGCTAGGGATAATAGGGATGGACATCCCAAAGAGGATGATTAAACTATTTATGTACGCAACAGCAGCAGCCAGAATCCTCTATGCGAAGAAATGGAAGGAAGCAGAAGTTCAAATCAAGGAAGAAACTAATGGGCTATATGCAGAAATGGCAAAATGGACAGCAAGATTAAGAGATCAAAGCGACAAACTTTTTATTGAGGAGTGGAAACCCCTTTGGGATTATCTGAGGAAGTATTACAGCCAAATCAAGTCGTGATCAGGATTCGAAATTTAAACAGCGGAAGGGAGACGACAACAGTTGTAACAGAAGAAATAAGTATGAGAGATACAGTGGTGCCTCGCAAGACGAAATTAATTCGTTCCGTGAGTTTTGTCGTCTTGCGATTTTTTTCGTCTTGCGAAGCACGGTGTCGGGAAAGTTTTGGAAAAGCTTCAAAAATCACCAAAGTCTTTAAAAACCTCAAAAAAGGCTACCATACCGCGTTCTATGAGTTGCTCCTCGAAGTCAAGTCGCAACTGTCTTGCGAAGCAAGCCCATAGGGAAAATTGTCTTGCGAAGCAGCTCAAAAAACAAAAAACCCTTTTGTCTAGCGAGTTTTTTGTCTTGCGAGGCATTCGTCTTGCGAGGTACCACTGTATGTATGCTACATAATGCAGCAGATAAAAGGGGAGGGAATAAAAACATCTTGGAGGTAAGGATGGGAAGTCAAACTGTCAAGGGAAATATGTACAGTGGTACCTCAGGTTACATACGCTTCAGGTTACATACGCTTCAGGTTACATACGCTTCAGGTTACATACTCCGCTAACCCAGAAATAGTGCTTCAGGTTGAGAATAGAAATCGTGCTCCAGCGGCGCAGCGGCAGCGGGAGGCCCCATTAGCTAAAGTGGTGCTTCAGGTTAAGAACAGTTCCAGGTTAAGTACGGACCTCCGGAACGAATTAAGTACTTAACCTGAGGTACCACTGTATTAAAAGTTGAAGTTAATTTGTTAAAATTTCCAAAATTTAATAAAAATTCAGTACTGTACAGTGGTACCTCCGGTTATGAACGGGATCCGTTTTGGAGGCCCGGCCGTATCCCAAAAATTTCATAACTGGAGGACCGCTTCTAGGCACGCGTGCGCCACCGCAGAGCACTTCTGCACATGCATGAAGCGCGCAGAGCGTTTCTGCACGTGTGCGAGCGGCAAACCCACTTCCGGGTTTGCCATGTTCACAACCCGAAGGTTACATTACCCGAAGGGGCCACTGTATATATAATAAAGGAAATATTGATCATGAACTAAACACTGAATGGGAGATATCTAGTGGCAGAGCTGTCAATCTATGGATTTTTACTGGAAAGTCAGGATCTGCAGATTGCCACTAACTGAAGAGCATCAGGTCATTGGTCCACCTGGTACAATATTGTCTATAGTGACAGAAGCTTTCCAAAGGTTTAGGGGGGCAGGGATGCATCGCAGCCCTGCTGGGAGAAGCCAGGGACATTGAACTGGAGATCTTTTGCATGCAGAGCACAACCTCTACTACTCTACTACCCAATACCCACTTTTCAAACAGACAGTCCCTTCATGTCCTCTTGACCAAGGCAGAAACGGTGCCAAGAACCCTGCATGTTCTCGGAGGTGACCACATAAGAGGTGCAAGCCTGAATGTGCTCTGCATTGGGCAGTTCACCTGCCACAATCACTTCCATGCTCCAACCCAATAGGATCCTACTGCTAATCCTCACTGCCGTTTTTAAAGAAAACCATATGCTGAGAGTGCATTTGGGATATTAACTGCTTCCTGAAATGGACTTGTTGCTAAGGTCTGCATGTAAGCTCTGGAGTCATTGCTTGCAGCAACTAGCCTTCAGATTCTAGCTATTTAGAGGCAATTTTAGGCACAATAAATGGCAATTTATTGAAAGGGGATAGAAACCAACTCTTGGACCCGGAACAAGTCTTTATTTGTAATACTGGCCAGTAAGGATTTGGCAATTATTCCTCCCGTGGACCTTTACTGTGGGTTCTGATATATAACCTTATTTTAAAAGTTGTATCGAAAGGAGAGGAAAGACAGGAAACTGTGAAAAGTGGAGTAGAATAAGCAAATAGTACCAATCGGAAAGATCGCAACACCGAAAGCCCTTCCACATCTGCCAGCATCAGCTCCAGCAAACTGAGAGAGACAATAAATCCATCAAAAATGTTCCACCCTTCTTGGAAATAATAGTAGGGGTCCATTGCTATGAGCTTTAGGAACATCTCAGCTGTGAAAATTCCAGTGAAAACCTAAAAAAGGGGAAAAGGGATCAGAATGTTCAAAGCTCTCACTGAACTTAATACTTCTTGCCTTTAATTGAATTAATGAATGAACAGGCCACAGTATATCAGCAATTTGGATGAAGAGACAGTCTCCCCCCCCCTTTTTTATATAATCAGAATTTTTGCCCCACTGCTACTTTTTCTTAGTATTTCACTGAATTCCCGTATTTTTCACTCTATAAGACACACCAGACCATAAGACGCACCTAGTTTTTGGAGGAGGAAAACAAGGGAAAAAAATATTCTGAATCCCTCTTGCTGTTCTGGCTTCAGCGATAGCTGCGCAGCCTGCATTCGCTCCATAAGATGCACACACATTTCCCCTTACTTTTTAGGAGGGAAAAGGTGCGTCTTATAGAGCGAAAAATACGGTACCTCAATTCCAAAACTGGCAGTGGCACCAGCTATGATATTCAAAAGTAGCTGACAATAATTCAAGTCACTGTTTGACTAAAGCAGGGTCTGCAACCTTTAAGACAAAAAGAGCCACTTGGACCCATTTCCGAAGAAAAAAAAACTGGGAGCCGCAAAACTCGTCATTATAAAAATAACTTTTTTGTCACTTTTTTATTATTTCTTTGTTTGACCCCTCAGAATTACTCCTCCTCATAGAAATGAACGTTAAATTAACAAGTTACCTTTTTGTGTGTGTGTGTTCTTCACTCCCCTTCAAAACAGTGACCAGCGTACATGCCCTTTACAATGTAGCGGGCGGGCGGGCGGGAAGGTGACGTTGGGATGGTGCGTGACTAACGCATGCCCCGCCCCCATGCGACGTCACAGCCAGTACAGTGCCCGTCACAGTGGGGAGTGTCGGGGCGCACAATGCGCCTCCTCCCCTCGCTAGTATCCGCCCCGGAGCCGCAGCAAAGGTGTAAAAGAGCCACATGCAGCTCCGGAGCCGCGGGTTTATTGGCTAGTTTTTCTAATAAGGCTGTTTCCCATACATAAGGCTGAGTTCCCATAGGCATTGGGAACATTTTCACGCTTACCAGGTTCCCTACAGCCAAGACATGCTCAAACTGTGGGGTCATGGGATGGTGCTCCATTGCCATGAACAGAGTATTCAAAACAATACAGATCGTAATGGCTAAATCCACAAAGGGGTCGAAGACAATCAAGTTGACAATTTCTTTCAGCTTCATCCAGTATGGGTGGCACTCCCAAATAAGGAAGATGTTGGCAAATTTGTACCAGCAGGGAGGGCATTTTCTTTGGGATTCTTCTAGTTCTACAACAAAACAAGAAGGTGGGCAACTTTAACCGATTAATGTAGACATGCCCAATGAAATTTTATGCAAGGTTTAAGTCATTCTCAATTTGTTGGGCCTTGCAGGCTGTTATGTTTTAGGTTTAAGAAGTGGTCACATTTCACAAACAAAAGGAATCGGGACATCTGCAGTGAGACAGGAAAACAAGCTATGCGTGAATAATTAATCTAAGAATCCATAAAATTAATATTTGGGGGTGGAGTGGAATAAAGAAAAAATTCTGTATCTTAAACCAAGTATATGTTACATTTTAATCCCGACCTTCCTTCAAGGAGCTCAGGGCAGCATGCAGAGTCTGAAAAGTAGGGTCTATGCAATCTTAAGAACAACAACAACAAAAATGTAAGATGGTTTTTAAAATTAAAGCATGGGAAAAGGAAAGACGAATACTAACTTCTGAAGTGGGTAATCCCTTGAGCTAGTGGGCACAGGACCACAGCTTTCTAACACACATACCTTCTACAAGGGTATTTGTGATTACTGTCATTATACTGTTGGTTCGGTCCTTCCTTCCATAGGATGCATTCAGCTGGTCCATTGATACCAAGAGTGACCCAGTAGCTTTCTTTTTAATCTCCACCTCAGTGGTTCCCTGCAAAATCCATTAACATCCCGTTAGTACGGCCTCTTTCATGTCTGCACAGGGAAATGTGATGGGCTCTCAGCTACAAAGGCAGAATTTGTTTTGAGTCAAATCTTTATATATGTGGAAGATGGTGGTTTTGCCAGATAACCTCACTGGCCTCCCCTCCTTAAGGTGAAGAAAGGTTTTGCTGTTATAAAAAATGAGGTCTAATCTACTTAACACCTAACTTATTAAAGTCAGGGATATTCTGAAGCGCATTTCAAAAACTATCGCAGTGGGTGGAATTCTGGTGTAAAAGGAACTTAGATGAAACGCTGCAGAAAGCTGATTTCACATTAACGCACAGGATAGAGACACCCTGTATAATATTTTGTGAGCTCTTTATTGGATATGTTCATCTCCTCTCTGAATTCTTCAAGTTCTGCTGCTATTCCAGCCAAATTAGGAGTCCCTGGAAATCACATTAAACAAAAAAGTTGGAACAACGTGTCTTCTGTGCCTACCTTGATTGTTCCAAAACACCACTAGCTAATCCTTTAATATGGTTTGTCTAAAGCTGACTTTCCCATTGACCATTTAATTGTGGCTGGTAAACATAAATAACTGAGAATCTACTCCCTTCTATGCTTCTTTGTAAATGGGAGCAGGGACAGACCTAGGGAACGACAAATGCTGTTTGCTTCAATCAAGCAAAACTCAGCATTTGCTGCTTTGGGTCTGAGCATATAGAGGTTTGAAATAAAATATTTACTCCAGGAAAAGCCTGCATGGCTCATGTGGTCTCTCAGATGTGATGATGAAGATTAGGTGTTTCTCTTGTTTAACAACAGATTATAGCCACTGTCCCAAAGAACTATCGGATGACAGGCATCACGCAATACAGATATGTATCTTAGGTTGCCTTTCATGCATACGTCATGCTAAAGTTAACAGTCTGTAACATTTCCATGCTGTTAGAGGACCAAGTCTGGAAAGAGCACAGTAGACTAGCATGCTAACTAGAGAAAGTGGTAGTAACTGAAGCTGAAAGTAACTAGGAAGGGTTTCAAACATTCTTAAGGAGGGGAAAAAAGGACTGGGAAGGAGTAGTTTCATTTAGTTTGCAAGAACCTAGAGAAAGAGGGGTTTTGTTTTTTTAAGGAAAAAAAGCTTGGAATTTAAGGACACAGGAATAAGGCTTCCCATGTGCACTTTGGCCAAAGACGGTGATGCTATTCATAAATAACACTCACTCTGGAGCAACTTCCTTTGGCCATAATGGGAGCAAGTGTGTTTAGGGTTGGTGGCAATGGTTTTGGCTTACAGGTGACCCTGTATCTTTTTTGTTGCCTATATTCTCTGGCATAGTTCTAACCTAACTGAGCCAGTAAACCTGAACCTGGGCTGTATCAATTCAGATTAAAAATGGAGAGGGTGCAAGGTGGGGGTGCAGGAGGATTTTGATTGGTCCTGTAGGAAAAACCAAGCCTTGCCCCAGCTCCTGTTCCAGCTATTCATATATGGGGAAATTCACCTCAAGGCCTGTCATTCCACACAAACAACTATCCCCCATGGAGAAAACTACAGTCTCTTTGACATCTATGGTTTGTTTTCTGGTAGTTAAGGGGTATTCAGTGATCTGAAGTCTCTGAAATGCTGCAGCTCAGTCACAGGTTTACTGCCTCTGACTCTACGCGGAGAAAGTCTTGTTTCTCACTGCCCTAGAAATTCCTAAATGATTTGGGTTGTGGTTTTTTTTTTGTAACTTCCTTTTACACTAGAACTTGCCTTATTCATCTCGTTTCTAAAATACGGACTGAGATTTCCAAAATAAAAAGCAAGTAAACAGATAGGATATTAATACGCTGAGCAAGATTTATACAAAATCAATCCTAATTGCATGAGTGGGATTAAGAAATTTCTGGCCTAGCCCATTCACGCCCAGATGTTCCTGCACGTTTTGAAACTTCTGAGGGATTTGATTTAGCAAACAGTGTACTTGATCACTTCTCATTCCTCAAAAAGATACATAATTTTTTTCCAAGCCATTTTTTCTTAGAAGCCAGAAGAGAAAAGAGAAGGAAATATGTGAGTAGGTTAATCTGGGAAAGAAGGGAAAGTGAAGAAGATTAAGAAGCAGAGGAGCCTGGGATAAGGGTTCAGACTATAACATCTGTTGGCTAGACAAACCAAGTTTCATTCCGTCAAAGGATCCATTTTGGCGGCATACAGGAAAGCAGAGAGAAGGGTGGGCCTCCATGCCTAGACTATCTACTCATTGACTTCCTTACGCTGTCATCAGTAGCTGCCTTATCTATTTTCACCTCAGGCAGAAGCCGTCCGCTGGGTATGTTGGAGGTTGGGCCACCAATCAGGGAGACCACGCCGTTGCAGTCCACGGTGCTGTTCCGCTTCATGTTCCGGCGGATGCTGGGAAAGATGCGGGACGATCTGCTCCCCTGGCTGTAGCCGCTGTAACCGCTGTAGCTGCTTTTCCTCTCGTGGCCCCGGATCGGGATGAAGAGGGAATCCCTCCGGCCCTCGCTCTCCTCCACTGTGCTATGCTCGTCATCGGCAAATTCGTTTTCTGAACCCGGGTCGCGGAAACCTCTCTTGAAGCTGAAGATGCTGCTTTTGCTGTTGTGCCGGGAGAGATAGGGAGATCCTGGGATGCTGAGCAGCGACTGGAAGGAGAGAGGAAGCAGGAAGATGGAAGAGGAATGTGGACAGGAAGCTATAAAGCACCAGCAACAGGCGAAAACATAGAATTTACCGCGCAATCGGACAAAAAAAGGGGGCGACAGCTAGAGGTTGGTAGCCAAGGAATCAGCTGATTAGTTTCAATTAATATATGGATTTAATAGCACATGTCACCCTCCACTGCTTCATGGTCCTCATTTACCCCTTGGATCGCCCAGAGAAACCCAAACTGCCATTTACAGTGGTACCTTGGTTTACAACCATAATCTGTTCCGGAGGTCCAGTTGTAAACCAAAACAGGTTGTAACCCAAGGCGTGCTTTTGCCAATGAGGCCTCAAAGAAAAGGAAAAAAAAAGGGTTGTAATAAAAAAAAAGGGTTGTAATCCAAAAAAAGGGACACACACTTCCAGGTTTGACGTGGTTGTAATTCAAAATGGTAGTAATCCAAAACGGTTGCAAACCAAGGTACCACTGTATGTATCTCTACATATTTAGATAGATAAAAGTCTTTGGTAGAAAATGTCTACAGTTTTGATTTGACCTATACATGTCTCTCCTCCATTAAACCAACTCTTTTCAACAAGTTTTCAGCCTCACCATGGGAGCTAACTGCTCTGAACGTGTCCCCTTTGGGGTATTCATGGATTGTTTAAAGAGCAATAGGGACTTCTCTAGAGCACTGACTACTTTCTCAAGACAAAGTAACTGAACACCTCTCCAGAACGTATTTGCTTTTTAGCAACGGCATGAAAACAAAGAGAATGTCCACCAAGAGATGCAATGACGTGGTCAGTCAGGCAACTGATTGTACCAAAATTGATCTGGAATGCATTTGATAGTCTGCAATCAAAGTCTTTTCAATGGAAGGTAATGGGCAATAGCCAACTAAGTTTTGCTCATGGTAAACCCATTAGAATAAGCAGAGCAAAGTTTGACCTTATGCCTAAAGGTGCACTCCTCCATTGTCTCCTGAGACAGACGGATGCAAACAACATTAGCCATGTCTTAATTTCAGTGGGCCTACTCTGAGTACGACTAAAGTTGGATATAACCCAGTGATTTCTGTATTTTGGAGAGACTGGTTTAAGCAGAGTGCTCGGTTTAAGCAGAGGCAGTACAAATGAAGTGGAATATGGCATTACTTCCATTCCACTTTATAGAAAAATCTGTCTTCCTGGCATTTTGAATTACAACATTCCAACTTCACCCCCTTAGTAAGGGGTGGGTATGAAGGCTGGCGGGCAGCTTTAAGGCGCAGAGGCAGCTAGGACATATTGTGCCAAACGCTGATGTATATACATGGCTGCAATATAGCACGAGAAAGACTGAAAGGATGAAAATAGTGCTATCAGGGAAGGTGGGGAAAGACTCCAGTCCAGCCATTCCTCTGAGACATTCCACCCAACACAAAGTTTTCACTTGCAGGGCCTGCAAACTGTACCTGGTTCATGATGGAAAGTTTCCGCCCCAACCTGTTGTCTGGCAAGCGGAAGACCTTCCTCCTCATGCCATCTTCCGACTCTGACTTAAACACCTTCTCAACATCTCCCTTCTCTTCTCCTTCCGACAGCTCCTTCTGCTTCCGCTTCTTCCTCCTATTCCGCCTCTCCTTGGCGCTCTTAGAGCTGAGCTTGGAGATCTCAGAAGAGCTCTGGGACATCCTTCCTCCACCATCCTCTTCCACAGCATCTTCTGAGACTGTCCCTGCTGAAGTGGCCATGGCTGCAGCCTGCAGTTGGGGGGGGGGGGAAGAGTAGGAAGAACCAAGATAACCAAATTGTAGCACCTTGCATGAATTCATTCCAGCCTCTAAACACTGTGATTAATTAGACTCTAGCCATGGAGAGAACAGCAAACTCTCCAATTTCCAATGGAACACAGATTGGATTGTGTGTTTATTATTAGGATTACATTAGCCTGTGCTCTCTATAAAATGAGAAAGCACAATATGGTGGGGCACGTTAGGGAATAACCTGAGCTTCCTCCTGTTGCTTTTTCAGCTGTTCCAACATGGCCTTGAATTCTGCTTCCTTCTGCTCCGCCTCTTCCAGTGTCGCCTGGTTTTGTTCTTCATAGGCCATGGCCACCACAGCCAAAATCAAGTTTACCAGGTAGAACGACCCAACGAAAATAACCAGGACGAAAAAGATCATGTAGGTTTTCCCCGCTGCTCGCAAAGTCTGCGAAGAAAAAGAGGTCATTGTGAGGTTTCCTATTTTGGTCGCTGAACCCAAGATTGGCTTGTGGCATGCTAGTTGTTAGAAGACCACTTGAGGTGGTGGGAACCCCATAAGGCAAGCAGAAACCCAGAGGGTGTTGAGAGAACCTATTACCAAGCAAAGGGTGGTTTGAATTAAAGTACCCTCTTCCTCCTAGGTAAAGGTAAAGGTAAAGGACCCCTGGATGGTTAAGTCCAGTCAAAGGTGACTATGGGGTTGCAGAGCTCATCTCGCTTTCAGGCGGAGGGAGCTGGTGTTTGTCCACAGACAGCTTTCTGGGTCATGTGGCCAGCATGACTATACTGCTTCTAGCGCAACAGGACAGTGTGACGGAAACCAGAGCACACGAAAATGCAGTTTACCTTCCTGCCACAGTGGTACCTATTTATCTACTTGCATTGGTGTGATTTCAAACTGCTAGGTTAGCAGAAGCTGGGACAGAGCAACAGGAGCTCACTCCGTCATGGGGATTCAAACCACTGACCTTCCGATCGGCAAGTCCAAGGGGTTCAGTGGTTTAGACCACAGTGCCACCCGTGTCCTCTTATGTGCATGGGAAGGTATGACACCACTGCTCATGACTGATGCAGTGTCATGGCTGGCCAGCTACAGCACTATTATGTGAGTGTGTCTTTTTTTCTGAATGCTCTTGTGATTTTGTATACGTTAACCATAACATCTCTCCTGTCATTGCTTTCCTAAACTGAAGAGACTGCAATCACTTTTTGCCTTTCATAATAGGAATCCCCTCTCTCTTTGCATTCTTTGGAAATATCAGGGTAACCAGAACGGCAGCATTTATGATGCTGCTGCAGTATGTATAGAAACAAGGGAGTTCACGTATTGCTGGGCTGAAATATCTGCCCAAATTATTATTTTTGGCCCTTTGGTGGGGTAGGGTGAGGCAGAAAGGGTAGGAAAAGAACAAAGTACTTTTGTGGGAGGGTAAAATCTATTCATAATTGGTGGCAAGGGACTCCCCATTAAGAGAAGAGCCATAATGGCTGGTACTAATTGTCCTCTGACACAATAGTAACAATTTCCTACCTATTTGTTGGTTTGTTTATTGCCTTTATATCCCACCATTCCTCAAGGTGGAATACATGTTCCTCTTCCTGCCCATTTTATTTTCACAACCGTGAGGTAGGCTGGGTTCAGAAACTGAGACTAGCCCAAGCTCACCCAATGAGTTTCATGGCTGAGCGGGGATTCGAACCCTGGTGTTCCAACTCCTAGTCCAATGCTCTAACCACTACACCACGCTGACACTTTACCTTACAATGTAGAATTATTCCCATGGGCCTGAGGGGAAGGGGGGGGGAGACTGCTGTTCCCTTTGGTCAGTTAAAGGGAAATAACTAGAAACCTCTGCTGCATCTTCTCAAAATGGTAAGCCTTCCCCCTTGCCCCACCACTCTCTGAAAATGTAAAAATTACACCCCCCCCCAAAAAGCCCTGCAAAATATGGGATTGGTGGTTTATGATCCCAAACTTACAACAAAGCAATGCAAAACAGTCCCTGTGTACAGAGGGAGTATCAGTTTCCTGCCTCTTTTCTCCATCTCTGTGTGTCATTTTTTTTAAAAAAACAACAACCCAATAACCCACATGTTCCAATCTACAACAGGAAGGTATCATTTTAACCATTTTCGCTTTGGGTGCAAAAATGTCTAAGACCGGATATTTCAACACTGCATATAATATTCTATCCCTTCCCTGAAAACCATGCTGCCATACCTATGGCCCCTCCCCTTCCACTCATTTGCCCTTTTGTGGGCTGGGTGGGGGGGACTATGCATATGTTATCTATCCATCAGCTCAGGACAAAGGGAATCTACAAAGCTATAGTGCAGGCAGATCCAGCTCCCAAGAGACTGTGATCTACTCCCAGTATAAAAAAAACTGGCGGTGATCTACTCATTGTCCTTGGAGGGAGGAGGAGCGTGCATGGGGCAGGTGGATTGCCCAGAGTTGTTGAGCATTTTTGGGGAGGATTGCATAGAGTTTTTAAGCTTCCCACCCCCATAACTTTTTGTACACGATAAGGATCCCGTGATCTACCAGGATCAGCTGGAGATCTACTGGTTGGACACCCCTGCTATAGCGCATTGGTGTCAGGGACTGGGCAGAGGAGGAATGGCGGAGACCGCCTCCCCAACCTGACCCTTCCAGGGAGGAGGAAGATGAAGACAGTATAGATTTACAACAAGGGGTCTGAGGGAGGTCACAGCTCAGAGGCAGATGAGGAAAAAAGTTGGGAAATAATGGGAGAGGAGGAGGCAGAACCAGAACAACATCTGGCTGACACGTTGTCATTAGAAAGCATCCCAGACCCTCCATCTCCCAGAACCTGGTGAGCCTTAAAAGTAGGAGAGCAAAGACCTCAAAGACAAAGCACCCATAGAAATAATGAATGAGGAAGTGGGAGGAAGTGGTGGAGATTCCAAGAGGCTGGGTTCAATAGCCTCTCTCTGTAAAGATTGAAATAAAAAAGGACGGTAAGAAATTTTCCTTTTCTTTATACTTTCCTGGGCAACTAGCCGGGAGCCACTGACAGCACCCTGACAATTGGGCTAGGCTGGTGTAGATGGCTCTGCATTCCCTGTGTGTGTTGGTATTCTTTGTTTAGTCATGGCACACACAAACTTGCAGTCTCCTGGAGAAGGGAACACGACCACTTTGATGCTCCTTCCATTCTGCTGCTGCCCTGTTTCTGTGAGCTAAACCATGGTTTGGCTCAGTGTGTCATCTGAACTTAGGCTCGTGGTTTGCCTTGCTCCAGACACCCCATAAGCTGTAACCAAGGTTTGTTCTTGGCTTACAGCTTGTGGTTTGTACGAAGGTGACAAACCACAGACCCAGATTCGGATGACATGTAAGCCATGGTTTAGCTCCCAGCAGCGGGACTGGAGGAGCAGAGCTGCTGCAGTCTCCTCTCTGGGAGGCCATATGCCTGGGTATTTGTATTAAGCCATAGTTTGGCTTAGTGTCACATTCAAGCTGAGCCAGTGCAAGGAATGCTTTGTACTCAGCCGAATCGCAGCTGCTGTTTTGATGCTAATTCATTTGATGCCAGAAAATGCTTCTGTCATTTTTCACAGGCATAATTACATACAACTGCGCCTTTCGTGTTTTTTTCCAGACCGCTAGGTGGCCCCTGATGCAGGCCGAAGGAGACTCTTCACACATAAGTAAAGGATAGGAGATGTCATACTTACTAACTGATACAAGTTTTCCCAGAAATCCTGAGTCATGAGGCGAAATAAGGCCAGGAAAGCCCAACTGAAGGTATCAAAGCTGGTGTAGCCATAGTTTGGATTCCTCCCTGCTTTCATGCATGTAAAGCCCTCGGGGCATTGGCTGCAGACAAGATGGAAGAAATTTAAGCTAGTTGGCATGGTAGGAGCTATTAGACCAGAAAGAGGAAGACTCACGGTGAATGCTTTCGCTGCCCCCAATTCAACAGTCTGCTTTCAGCAAGCCTGATATTACTACTGTATTGTGTTGGTTCCTTACTTGAATTGTAAAAGTTTCTCATTTAAACTCTTTTACCTTCCATCTTTTTTTTTTTTTGGGGGGGGGGTCTGTTATTAAAGATTTTTTGGTTTACAAAAGTATGTGCAGTGTCTCTATTTTCAAGTTACATTTTCTGCAGGCCAGTTTCATTTGTTGAGACATTAGGGTTACATTAGGAAGAAAGGGGGGGAAGAGGTGGAGGGGAGAGTGGTGAGTGGGGGTGGGGAGGGGTGGCGATGTTTCTAATTTTACTTAATGTATGTGTGGGGTTTTGCGTCAGTGTCGTTTGTGCAGGTTTTCTTTGCTATTCGCGTGTGTTCCTTTGGTGGTGAGAGAAGTTGGGGTTGGCCTAGGGTGTGTCTTCTTGTTTGTGATTGGCTGTGGTGAACTTTATTTTCATGTGTGAGTGGGGTGGGTGGGTGGGTGTTTTTGAGTCAGGTTAGCCATATTGATTCGTATACTGTTGGTGGATTCTTGTCATTGTCTTGTTGGGCTGTGTATGTGAGAAAGGGGAGCGATACCGGGGTGAAGGCATCTTCTTCTATTTGTCCCCGTGTCAGTTTCAGTTTATTGGTTAATTTTTCTAGTAAGGCTGTTTCCCATACTATTTGGTACCATTGGTCCATGTTTACTCCTGACAGGTCTCTCCAGTGTCTGGTTATGATGTTTCTGGCTGCTGAGAGTAGGTGGGTTATGAGTTCTTTGTGATGTGAGTGGACATTATTGTCTTTGAAGATGTTTAGTAGGGCCAATTCTGGGGTGATTTCTAATACTTGCTTAGTTATTTTACATATTTCTTGTATGGCTGTTGTCCAGAATGATTGGATTCTTGGGCATTCCCAACACATGTGGAGGTATGTGTCTGTGGAGGTGCACCGTCTCCAGCATTTTGATGAGGTTCCTGGGCATATTAGCACTAATTTTAAACTCTTTTACCTGAATTAAATGTATATTGTTGTCGGAACTTGCACTGGAAACCTTACAGTGAAGGGCAGGTCAGAAATCCCATATTAAGTAAAACAAATGCGAGATGGAAGAGTAGATTTTCTGTATGACTTCATGGATTTTCTTTACATCCATGGAATAATTTTATTACAAGAGTGATTCATTCACCCATATACAGTCCCATCTGTGCAATTCATAGGCAAGTACACAAATGTAGCACACAAATGTGAATTTCTGGAATGCTAAAACAAAACACAAACTTGAATTCAACTGGCAGCTTCCGCAGCAAAAATCAAGAGTTCACAATAGAAGCAGTTTTGATTGCACTTGCCTCTGCATAAATACTGCATAATTGTTCTGCAAGTGTTAACCTGCATATTCTCCAGCAAACAACCATACAGCAAGGCATTCAACCAGTGTGGTTCATATATGGAATATTGCAGTGTTGCATTCTGCCTTGCCCTCTTCCTTTCTGTTGGTTATTGCTGCAGCTCTGCCCTACAGGTTGAGCCACTCCTGGTATCAGCACTGACCTATCAATGCTGATGTGCTCACATGGTGGAAAATTAGGATTGTAGACACCCCTCCCCCAAGCTTGTAATACATCCTCACATTTTAATAGGCTAAAAATCAATATATGTAGGAATGAATATACCACTTTGCCTGAGTTGGGGCAGTTATAACAATTGGAATCGAACCTAACATGTGTTATTCCCTGTTGCAACACTGAAGTCCAATGTGTGGCTCAAGTGGACTTTGGGTGAAAAAAGAAGGTAGAGTCCCAGTCCTGTATCATGTACAAGCTCTGTGCACATCTGCATGTCTGCTTAATGTATGCTTTAAGTAAGATACAGTAGGCGTCTCCATTTAAAAAAAGTTAAATAGTCAGGAAGACTTAAGGTGACAAGGTACCAGGTAAACCAATTGCTTTACAAATGAATTTATTTAAGTACTTTTGGAGTGTAATCCATGCCTATTGACTTTTTCTCTCTTTCAAAAGTAGTTTGTCAAATTGAGAGAGACAGAGATAATCTGAATTGAGAACTTACCCTGCGTCAGAGCTGTTACCGCACAACAAAGGATCAAGAAACCCAGGTAATGTGTAAAAATTGGCTGCAGAAGGTACAGGGGAGGAAGAAAAATAGAAGGAGAAGAAGAAGAAGAGAGGAAGAAGAAGAAGAAGAAGAAGAAGAAGAAGAAGAAGAAGAAGAAGAAGAAGAAGAAAGAAAGGACAGTCACTTAATGTGATCCACAAGCTGGGATATTAGCATTTCACAACCACAGTACCATGAGTGCAAGGTCATTTGGGACTTTACTATTTCACAGCGCAGGTGTTTGGGTAGGGAGGGCAGTTGTCATATGATTGACTTATCCTCCCACTTTGCAGAGTATAATTATGACACTCTGTATGCTGGCACGATGACAACCTCTTATGTCAATTGCCACATGAGGCATGTTTATTTTCTTACGGGGATATGGAATTCCTAAGTATTTCCCCCCAAGACCAATACTTTGTAAAGTCATTATTGAGACTTTAATTTTTTAAACAAACAAACAAACAAACAAACAAACAAACACCCTTTGCAAAACTGAACAAAAGATTATAAATATGAGGCCCAATTCATAATAAACACTGGGGAGCAGTCTGCAGGGCAGGTTTTTTGAACAGATTATAAAAAAGGACTCTACACAGAACCAGATTTTAAGGACCGTGGCAAAAGCACAGGGGTTTTTCTATGAAAGGAAAAGAGGGAAGCATACAGTGCAAAAGAGAAATACTGATCAAAATAAACACCTTTCCTCCAGAGAAGAACCATTTCTGGCTTTAGTAACATTTTAAGTCATGACGTTTAACCCAGCAAATCTCACAGCCATAATTATTTAGATAGAATTGTGCCAGGAAAAAACAGCCGCACACACTTACAAACATTGTTGGTGTATTCTTCCCAGTCAAAGCCCTTGGTGCCATTTTCCAGGTAGGTCTCATTGAGATCAATGGGCCAGATGACACACTTGTTCCTTAGATTCCCCATGAACAGCTGAAGCCCAATTAAAGCAAATACGCTGAGGCAAAACACTGTCAAAATCATCACATCTGACAGCTTCTTCACAGACTGGATCAGGGCTCCCACGATAGTCTTCAGGCCTGAGGAAAGGGAAAGCAGTCTTGGAATTCCTGTGGAATCTTAGGAAAAGCAGCTACCTATGGGCTACATACTACATTTTCTTGACAACAGGGAAGTCAAGGAGTATTTTGCTATGGTCCTCTGCCCACCCATTCCACAAAGTCCAGTGTATTGCCTTCTGAACCTTATTTACCAGATTCATACTCCTCACTATACAGGTATCAGGAACCTGTAAGTGGTTCATTAAACAGGGACATGTGCAGTTCCCTGATCTGAGGGGAATTTTTTCCTAGGTTAAGGTGAGGCTGAAGGTTGGGTTATGTTAAGGGGATAAGGTAAAGGTAAAGGTACCCCTGCCCGTACGGGCCAGTCTTTACAGACTCTAGGGTTGTGCGCCCATCTCACTCAAGAGGCCGGGGGCCAGCGCTGTCCGGAGACACTTCCGGGTCACGTGGCCAGCGTGACAAAGCTGCATCTGGCGAGCCAGCGCAGCACACGGAAACGCCGTTTACCTTCCCGCCAGTAAGCGGTCCCTATTTATCTACTTGCACCCGGGGGTGCTTTCGAACTGCTAGGTTGGCAGGCGCTGGGACCGAACAATGGGAGCGCACCCTGCTGCGGGGATTCGAACCGCCGACCTTTCGATCGGCAAGCCCTAGGCGCTGAGGCTTTTACCCACAGCGCCACCCGCGTCCCTATTATGTTAAGGGGATATTATGTTAAGGGGATAGCACACAGTTAATTCACTGTCCCTGAACACAAACATCTAGTGAAGGCAGCTAGAGTTTGTGCAACTCGATGATTTCATATGGTACCCTCACATGAAAGGGAAAATAAGTTTTAAGAAAATGTAGAGCTGGGGAGACTCAGTCTGCATTGCTGTGTCCCCATTATTGGAGAATTTCCCTAATATTATATACTGATAAGAACAGCCGATTCAAAATCTTTCTCCCCCCACTGTGGAGAAATTAAAAACAACACAAACCATATCCTTTTCGCAGTTGTGGAAACTTTTAAACTATTCTCTGGTGGGGCATTTTGATTTTTTTTGTGTGTCTTAAAAAACAGGGAGGGGAGATCTTAGTAAAAAAAATAAAAACCAGCTGTTCCCAGTCCTAACCCTGGACTCCTGATTCAAATCCTTACTTGGCCACCAAAGTTCACTGGAGGACTTTGGGATAATCACTGCCTCTCAGGGTAACCTATCACACATTGATGTGGGGAGGATAAATTGGATTCACCCAGTGAGCTTCATGGCTGGGCAGGGATTTTAACCCAGTCCAACATTCTAACCACTACACCAAACTAGTTCTCACTTATTCATTATCACTGCTCTATTTCCAGCACATTGCTCTGAACCATTAAGGGGGGAAAAGCATAATCTTCCATAAAGATAAAATCAGTTTATGATAACGAACAAGGACAATCTTTGAAATACACTCCGTGCTCTGCCTCTTCTATGTGAAGCTTCAAGCGACATCTTTGCAAGATACAGCAAAGCACATCAAATGTATCCTCTACTATGAGAGCTTAGATTATAATTCAAAAGTAGAGCGCCTTTTATTGTGGGTCACAAGTAGTGATGAAAGCAAGCTTTGTCTTGTTCATGAATTTACCCAAATAGGCTTGGTACTTTGATGTTTTCAATGTGGGGATACCAACAGGGTTAAATGATGAAAGTATCACAAAAGATACCATAGCAGCAAGTAAGGGAAGTATGAGGAGGAAGTTTCAAAGAACAACATATAACATGACTCCACAATCTCAGGCACTTGGGGGGGGGGGGAATCAGCCATTCTCCTAAACTATGTGGTAATAGTTTCTTAACTTATCCTGTTAATAAAGCCTTCTTGGCTTGAATGCGCAGAAATTCAGATTATGAGGTTTTGTTCCATTATTTCCCAACAGTATCCAGAGCTTTGGGGGAACCCCTCGGAACAGATTTAAGGGGTGCAAAGAGAGAAGAGAGAAGGGGGAGTCCAGTGAAAATCATTGTGGTGATGGGACAACTACTTAGTGTTGCGTATTACAAGTTCTGGTAACACCAGCATGTGCCCGTATGCTTGGAGTCCCCATAAATTACCAATAGATGAACTAGACTAGAAACAGCACTGAAGAGCACATGGAACAACACGCCTGCTATAACCTTTCTGAGTGATTTGGTAATAGTGCTAGAAGGATGAAGTCAGATAAAGAATGCACATTATGTTTTTGTTGTGGCCAGGCTTACACAAATTTCCATGCATTAATCTAATGCATGGTGGATTCCATCAGCAGTGGTTGCTGGAAGAGATGTAAAATTTCTGGAAATTCTGAAACCATGGGGGGGGGAAAAAGCAATTTCCCCCCTCCCCTCCCCAGAAAAAAACAACTGAATTGGGGGGGGGATGGAAACCAGCAAATGAACATCAGCAACATCTGGAGAACCAAAGGTTCCACAGGCATGCTTTGCCCTTTCACACAGGTTTATTTCTTGATCTGATGTATTTCCAAACACAGAACAGTTTATTTCAGATGCTGCAGAAGATAAAGGAACATGAATGGGCGAGAAGCAAGAGGAATCAGAGTGTGTGTTGTGCAAAAGTCTTGCCACCATCTTGCAGGAGGAATAAACTTGGCACAATCCCAAACTGCATTCCTGGGCCAAATACCTACAGTAAATATGTTCTGAAAGTACCTTTCCTACATCAACCCATAAGTGTGTCTGTAGGACCAAAAGTTAGCATAGGAATTTTTTTGGGTTTTTTTGCCCAAGTAACCAGCTGCACTGTTTTCTCCCCAGCTAATACACCAACCCATTTAACTCACTCTCCTTTCCTTTAATTTATGCCCATTAGTGGCATCTAATGAGCCATTAAATGTTCTGACTTATTAATTTCTTGCTCCCCTCAATCTACCACTTGATCCAAGCATTTCCAGACAATTTTATTACTCCCAGTTCTGAAATTTCATCCATTTCCTGACTCAGAGCCCTGAGTCTCTTTCCCTCTCCAGCCCCTTGGTGCTTTCATGCAGCTGTAATTGATATTAACATCCCCCTCGTCACTGCTTTCAAGCGTTCCCAAAGGGCTCCAGTTTATAAAGCTTTGGAAGGGGTGCTCATTCGTTCATTTTGTTCTAAGCTCATGACTCACCCCCTCCTCACTAAAGGCATTCCCACAAGTGACAATAAAGAGCACCTTCTGATCTATCCAGTGGGATTAAGGTATACAAATGAATAGCTTTTGTTGCAGTGTATTTTGCAAGCACGCTGTTTTGATACTCCAGTTCTGTGATGGATGCGCATTTATGTCAAGCGTTCAATGCACTATTCCTGTCACTTGTAATATACATGAGTTATCTAACTTGGCCCTCCAGCTGCCATCATTCCCAAAGATCACTATACTTTATTTTATTGCAATCTGCATATGGGCCGCTCTTTTTTTGGACGGCTCAGAGCAGCTTGCAAAAAGCTCCTTGTGAGCCACAAGCTAGGTATCGATCAGGTCCTAAATCCCTTAGCGGCAGCAATGCCACAATATCGGTGCCTCTCAGACCATTCGCTCTCTGACCACGCTAGCTGAGACTGGTGGTATTTGGAGCACACCAGCACTTGGAGGGCAGCAGGTTAGGGGTAGGCTGATATACAACGAGGAGGTGTAAGCAGCTGGATGAAAAGCAACAATTAAACTAAACTAAACCAGTTCGAAACCTATCTTTGTCTGGCATCCAATACATCAATGTTGGTGCCAGGCAAGCCTCCTTGGGGGAAAGTATTCCATAAGCAAGGCATCCCAATTGAGACGGCTGTCCCTCTAGTTGCCACCATTGGTGGTATGGGGGAGAATATCATTAGGCATACATAGAGAAATGGGGGAAAGAATTTGTGAAGATGTCGTGGAGAAGTCTTTTGCCACAAGGGCAAGAAGCACACCAAGAAGACGAAGAGTTTAGGGAAGAATGGCAGATGAAGTTGATGGACTATATGGAACTGGCGGAAATGACTGGCAGAATCCGAGACCTGGGAGAGGAGTCGGTGGAAGAAGACTGGAAAAAGTTTAAAGACTATTTACAGAAATATTGTAAAATTAATGAATGCTAGAAGAAGGTTGGAATGAAGTGATATGACTTTAGTAGAAAGGTTATAAGGAATTAAGTACAAATAGATTAATAGAGTATTAAAGGAAAAATAAGGTTAAAATGTGTTAAGATAATTATAGGACAGAAAACAGGGGAAGATGGAAAGGAATTGCTGAAATAATTAATAGAAGTGGAATACAAAAAGGGAGGTGTGAGGAGGTCGTGGAAATATGTGAAAGAAAGGTAAGATATTAAAATTTCTTTTTCTTTTTCTTCTTTTTTTGATGTGTTTTTAAATTGTTTTTGTTTTGTCTTGTTAGTTTAATGTTTTTAGTGTTATGTAGTGTCTTTGTATTGTAATGTATTGGTTTTTTTTTGTAAGTGTTTAAATTGTTGTAAAAGTAATAAATATTATTTAAAAAAAAAAGAAGAAGACGAAGAGTGTGTATTTGATATCCCGCTTTATCACTACGCGAAGGAGTCTCAAAGCGGCTAACATTCTCCATTCCCTTCCTCCCCCACAACAAACACTCTGTGAGGTGAGTGGGGCTGAGAAACTTCAGTGAAGTGTAACTAGCCCAAGGTCACCCAGCAGCTGCATGTGGAGGAGCAGAGACGCGAACCTGGTTCCCCAGATTACGAGACTACCACTCTTAACCACTACACCACACTGGCTCTCCAAGAGTTTGACAATCCCAGAGTGTAATGTCTGGCCAGAAGAATCATTCCAGGGGATATACCCTGGTTCTGAAAAAACACACCCGATGGCAACCTTTCAGCTTGTGTGCTGCGCAGCAAAAGAAAGCATTGTCTTATCCATTCCTTGGTTTCAGGGAACATGTTGCATGTTATCACTATGGATTTTAGGACACACAAAACTCTACACTGGCATTTTGAAAGAACCAAATCTATACTGTGCCCCTTTAGGAGAGGTCAATCGATGTGGACTGCCTTTGAATACAGTCTACAACCTAGAGGACAATTACCTTGGACTACAGCAGCAGTATATGACTAATATAAATACCGTCAATGGAAAAGAGGAGAACATAACCTTTCTAAAAGCCTTTTTCCAGTGAAGTGATCATAGAACTATTCATTGTGACTGAAACGCTCACTTCTGGGAAATGGGAAAGGTTGATCTTACAAGTATTCAGCAGGCATTAGACAACCAATGTGAAACAAGCTGGATTATGTGAGCCAGGCCCAAGCAAAGGCTGGAAATGTTACATCATGCACAGGATTCATATTCCAAGGCTAAGCAAAGCACATATGCTTCGATCCCAAATGTTGTCAAACATTTCCTCAAGCGAACATCGTGATTACATAACCAGAAAGGCCCACTTTTGCCGGCTTGTTTGCATGCTCTAGACCTCGGTTAACCCATTTCAGCAAGACATTAACTTACAGTGCATTTAACATATTTCTGCGTACACCTACCCACCCAAAACTATGTTAACACATGAGGCGGAGGGATTAAGCTCATTATTTTTAAACAAAGGGAAAGAGCTGCTTCATATGTTTCATTGGGCTGCCTTTCCATTTCCATTAATCCACGAAAATGCACTTTGGACCACAGAAGTCGCTCCTGCAAAGTCTGGGTTATGAGGGTTTTAGCCTGCTCAGTGGGTTATCTGCAGAGTTCCCATGAACAGATGAGTTGCACGAGCCAAACTTTTTTTGGGGGGTAGGGGCACAATGTAACATGTGACACAGTCCAAAATCACATAAAATATCTGGGGCAAAGCAGCCATCTGAAAGGAACAATCATATCCCAAGCAGACATCCTAGTCATTGTGGCAATCATCTTCATGAAAGGTTGCTTCCCACAGCAGAGATAAATGCAATGAAGGAAGACATATGTTTACTGTGTGGAAGTGTGATATGACTGGCTTTCATTATATCATAAGAAGACCAATCTGGATGCCAAATCAGGTACTCTAGGTCTACCTACGGGACCGCCTCTCCCGGTATGCCCCACGGAGAGCCTCAAGGTCCATAAATAGCAACACCCTAGTGGTCCCAGGCCCTAAGGAAGTTAGATTGGCTTCAACCAGAGCCAGGGCCTGGTGGAACGCTCTGCCTCATGAGACCAGGGCCCTGCAGGATCTGATTTCTTTTCGCAGGGCCTGTAAGACAGAGTTGTTCCGCCTGGCCTTTGGCTTGGAGCCAATTTGATTCCCTCCCCTCTTTTTCTTTTCTTTTCCTTTCTCCTCCTGCAATGAGGCTACATTTTAATATTTTAACGTTTCAATATTTTAATGTTGTATTTTAATTTTGTTTTTAAGATGTATTCATTCAACTTGTTTTTATTATTACTTGTTAGCCGCCCTGAGCACAGCCTTGGCTGGGGAGGGCGGGGTATAAATAAAAATTATTTTTATTTTTATTAATAAACACTCATGCCTGAATTCCACAAATTATGGCACATGTGGGTTACTCCCTAGATGTAGGCACAACTGTACAGGGGAGGGAAAGACCAGGGATATTTTTCAGAGCAGCAGTGATGCAGAGCAGCCATCACTTGACAAGTGAATAAAGTGATAACGAGCCTTTCAAGTTTGTTTGTTAGCATGGGTAGCAAACTAAGGCCTGGGGGCCGGATCTGGCCCAATCGCCTTCTCAATCCGGCTTGCAGACGGTCCGGGAATCAGCGTGTTTTTACATGAGTAGAATGTGTGCTTTTATTTAAAATGCATCTCTGGGTTATTTGTGGGGCATAGAAATTTGTTCACCCCCCCCAATATAGTCCAGCCCCCCCCAAGGTCTGAGGGACCATGGACCGGCCCCCTGCTGAAAAAGTTTGCTGACCTCTGGATTAGCGGAAGTCAGAGAATGCCCAAGATGCAGGCTATTTCATTTTTTTAACGGGTTCCAACTTCACGCTAACAGTTTAAATGAGTTGCAGTTGAAATTGTTCGCACTTGCAATTAAAAAGTTGCCCTTCAGCTAACTGAAGCTCTTTTGTTTTGAAAACAGAAACACAAAAAAGCATGTGTTTTAAGAAGTTGAAGCTATGCGGTCAGTGGTACAGTTTCCTTCCAGGAAACTAAGCATAGTCATGCTGATCCTAATAAACTGGGGGTTATGCTGTGTACTGCTGCTATGTGTGTGTGCAATTGTAAAATGGAGCAACACAGCTGCATTTTTTTTTTATTCTTCTCGGGACTGTCTTATGGGAGCTGTCATGCTAAGCACCCACACTTCAAAATTTACATATTTAAAAACACAAGCAGTTTCGCAATGTCACCTAGTGCCATAACTGGCAACAACTGATACTTTCGTTGTATACAGACAAACGCCCCCTTTTTCTTTTTTCTAAAAAATAAGTATAATCATGCAATTTGCACAGCGCGGGTGATGTTGGGAAATATTGTTGCAGAGTCCTCAGCTGGTCTGGGTTTGAGATTTCATGGGCTATGTCCAAGTTCCCAAAAGTCGAAACGACAATGTGTAGGAGTTCTGAAAGGGAAATTTAAGTTCTTTGTTTCGCACCAGTTATAGTACTTAGGGGAATTGACTGAAGTGCATTATTGCTGTATTTTTGGTCCATCTGTTTACACTGTTGTAAACACTACACTTCATGCAGAATGCAAGGCCTATCAAAAATGTGCCAGGGCCATTTTTGAAAAGGCGAGTGACCAGGAAGGCAAGGGAGGGGAAATGCAAGACGCGTATGTAGAAGCATTTCTCACCTGGAATGACAGAGATAGTTTTCAAAGCTCGGAGAACTCTGAAAGTTCTCAAGGCTGACACATTCCCAAGGTCCACAAACTCTGTGACATATCTGCAACGAGGGAGGTCACACACAAAGAGACACAATGACAATAACACACACGAAAAACGGGAATGGGGGAAATAAAACAACAACTACAGACAGCAATACATCACTCACAGGGAGCTGCGACCCAACACCTAACACCAACAGCCTTACCTGGAATTACAGAAATAGTTTTCAAAGCTCTCAGTACCCTGAAGGTGCGCAGAGCTGAAACATTGCCTAGGTTTACAAACTCTGTTATATACCTGCAGAATTAAACCAGAGTTAATGGCACCGATTGGGGTTACCTAGCTTTCAAAAATAAAAATAAAATAAAAGTGTAACGTTCAGTTGGGGGCGGGGAACAGCATTCACAATGTAAACTGCTTTGGAAGCGGCATGAAAAAAGAAAAAAAAAGAAACAAATCTAAGGTTGCAAATGAAACAGTTTTAGACGTCTCCATTATCACAGGGCTTCTTCTTCAGTTATGCTTCCCATTTGTGATTTCTCTTGCGGCAAAACAAGGGTAGGGAGGAAGAGGTATCCTGAGAGAGGCACATTTTAGAGTTCCATTAAAGGGCAGGAAATTGTCAACTGGGGGGAGATGGCACTTGGATTTTCTGCTTCAATGGTACCAACATGGCCTAGGCCAAACACTGGCCTGAAAACGCTCCAATCGGGGAACAGCCTTTACCAAAGGTGTTATGGACTTTGAAGACGCTCAAACTCAGGACAAAAGGGGGAAACATGCTAAGATGATCAACTCCTGTCTTCAAACCTATGTCCCCACCGTGAAAGACATGTGGATCCAGAATTGGTCTCCGCAGTCACTTATGGACTCACTGTTAAGACCATGTTCATGGAAGACAATCTTACTCAGCTACGAGTGATCGCCAAAGAAGAAGGCCATCTCTGTCTGCTGGAAAAGTACTGCTAAGCTCTAGGATTTACCTTGAACACAGGTGAGCAACTTGCAGTCTGTGGGCTCCATGCAGCCCCCTCCATTTTCCTATACAGAACTTTGGCTCTATCAGCCACCACTGACATGTGTTCCCCACTTCCCCTACAAAACAATGTGGCCCTCAATCCCAAACAGGTTGCCTAACCCAAACCTCTACTTTCTTGTTTCCTCCTTCACTGCCCCACTAGAGTCAGCTCCACAGAAAAGGATACATAAGAAGTTAGTTCACAGTGTTTTAATGCTGAAATTGTTAAAAAGGACCTGGCCATAATTTCAAGGTTGACATTTGCCATCTTGGTTAATTTATCCCCAGGCTGTGCAAGGACTGAAAATGACTGGAATTCTCAGGGCTCCAACAGATTTAGCATAAAAATGATATTTGTATACCAAAAGATCATTTGCGGAACAACCCAATTTGTTGCTCCGTTTGCCTGTACAAGTGCACATAATCAATCTACTTGTGAACCTTTCCTTTCTGCTTATCATGATTCATACTATAGGCAAACACATTGTCTGAAACACTTGCCCAATGTCCAAGAATTCAGCCAGAGTTTTAGAAGGGTAGACCATCATTCCTGAAATTAGGCACTCTGGACACATTGCAAAAATTGTCTCTCCAGTTCCTTTTCAGTTTTTTGAGCCAATATCATGGATGTAAATATGATAACTGCACCATGCCCAGGGTTGTTTTTTTTTTGGGGGGGGGGGATGCTTCTACTGAGTTAAGTAAAACGTTTGAAAAAAAACAATAGATACACCAGCCAAATGTGATATATCCACTTGAAAAGGCATATCTGAATTCTTTCTCTGAATTCTGTTCATAGTTTATCAGATCTGAAAAGGCAAACTGTCCCAGTCGAAAGATGTAAATATAGGCTCCACAAGAGCAAGCCAACAAACTGCCTTGCGTAGACAAGCCTGCTCATTCATTCCTCCTTGCTGATCAGTTGGAAAACAGTGCCCTGAAGCAGAGCCAGGATTCAAGTTCCTAAGGATATTCCTAGCTTTCCATTTTGTGCCGAAACCTTCAGCTCAAGACTAATTTAGAACAATTACAAAAATGATTATCAATGGAGAGCAGTCCAAAAATGTTTAGCTGTTTTACAGGAAAGGTTTTCGGTCCTGAAGAATTTCATGTCCAATGTACGAGTTTACCAGTGATTAGTTAGGAATGATCAAAGGGCCCAGTTGCTTTGTCACCTTCCTAGACTTCCTTTGCAGCCTGCTTCTCCTTCTCCTGCCACTAACATTTACAGTTATCTAGACACGAAAAGGAGCACAATACGTAACTTACGCCATCATGATGACACTGAAGTCTAGCCAGTTCCATGGGTCACGGAGAAAAGTGAAGCCGTCTATGCAGAAGCCTCTTGCAATAATTTTCACAAGTGATTCAAATGTATATATACCAGTGAATGTGTACCTATCAGAACAAGGAAAAGCAGTGGAGGAAAACAGAATACAGTTTAGAATATGCAGCAATGTCTTCATTAACCGAGATGGCCAATGTTGCACATTAAAATATTAGATTCGGATTTATTTAAGAGTTGGTGGGATTTCTGCTCACAGTGGCTCAGTGCACAATTCATTGTGATGCATAATTAATAGCTGGCCTCACATCATGGCTTGCATGGAGTGAAACAAGAACACCTGGTTTGGATATAATGCTTAGCCAGGGATTGTAGTTTGTTGCACCCACACGTGCTAGGAGCAGAGCAGAGCAGGAGCTATCTACATGCAGCATGTCCACAGTAAAACATTAAAACTACAGTTACCATGATATGGGAATGCAGTCACAGATATTCTGGCCAATCACAGACTGCAGATAGATTCAGGTAGGTAGCTGTGTTGGTCTGACACAGTAGAAAGATATTTTTAAAAAATAAATAATTGTCCAGTAGCACCTTAGAGACCAACTAAGTTTGTTCTTGGTATGAGCTTTTATGTGCATGCACATGGTATCTGAAGATTATTAAACATTCTAATACATATTTTCACAGGTTTTGACAGACATTTCAAAGTCTGATTGATCCAAGTTCAATTTTTAAGGAAAAACCTGAAGTGCCAACTTGCAGCAAATTATAGCATACTGTGAACTTGCTGCCTAGCATACTTTCCAAAAAAAGAGAGGCCACCATCACTTTAAAGAATTAAGCAAGATTTACACCACCACCCACAAAACAAACAAATGAATTGCTACTTACTCCACCTGTTTCGACCACTCTGGTGGGTTACTAAAAGTCATGAACACACAGTTCGTCAAAATAGTGCACATAATGATCATGCTAAATACTGTAGAATAAAGTCAAGGAAGCATGAAACGTAAGAAATCACATATTCATTTCATCCCATTAAACTCCCGCTGAACCTTACTGAATTAAATCGGAAAACAATATCATCAGCAATTACCACTGCAACAGTTTTTCAGCAGGTGTTTGCGGCTGCAGTGGACTGTCCTACTATTCATCTAAATATGAGTGGTATATATACCTGGTTTAATATCCTGATTTGGAGGAAGTTCTTAAACCACAGTTTCTCAATTAGGACGTAATGGGAAACTGTGGTTTAAGAAAACAAGAGATTTGCTGAAGCTGTGCATGTGAGGTGAAGAGGAAAGCAGAGAGGGGAGGAAGGAGAAAGTTGGCATATAGCTCGTTCTTCTCGGATGTTGCCCCTGAACTGGGTCTAACTCTAGTCAAGAGGCACACTGTTCCAAATACTGGGTGCAGATTATGGACTCTCAAGTGTTGAATCATAAAGTCTCACAGTAGATACAAGAAATTGATATTAATTAATAGTGATTGCAGTAAAGAAGATCTGAAAGAATCTAATTCAAGTCTCTGTGTGCTTATTGTAAAACATATGTACAGTATACAGTATGTTTAAAATGCTTGCATACATGAGGAATAATAAATCATCTTGAGTCTCAATTGAATGTGAATGTATGATAGAACGTAGATGTGAGGGATTTCAAACTTGATGTTTATTCTGGCCCATTTTGGTTTCACATTCGCATTCCAAGCTGATTTAAATTTATTGTGAGAATACAGCCTGAATCTACTATTAAAGCATTAAAACGAAAACATCCCCTTTCACCTTTGAACATTAGACACACATCACTACTTAGCACCTAATGTCAAGGCTGTAAAACTGTAATGCAAGCAGAGAAAAGCTGATGCATAAATAAGAGCCCTCTAGGTTCTCAATGCGGGTGGCGCTGTGGTCTAAACCAATGAGCCTAGGGCTTGCCGATCAGAAAGTCAGCAGTTCGAATCCCCGCGACGGGGTGAGCTTCCGTTGCTCAGTCCCAGCTCCTGCCAACCTAGTAGTTCAAAAGAATGTCAGAGTGCAAGTAGATAAATAGGTACCACTCCGGAGGGAAGGTAAACGGCGTTTCCATGCGCTGCTCTGGTTTTGCCAGAAGCGGCTTAGTCATGCTGGCCACATGACCCGGAAGCTGTTTGAGGACAAACGCTGGCTCCCTTGGCCAGTAAAGCAAGATGAGCAGCGCAACCCCAGAGTCGTCCACGACTGGACTTAACGGTCAGGGGTTCCTTTGCCTTTACCTTTAGGTTTGTATTTCCTAATATTTTATAGTCAACTTTTCAGTCCAATATCCCAAGGAAGTGAAGGCCGGGGCATTAAAAAGTGCATTGGTTTGTTGAAATAGGTGTGGGGAATCACCTAAACATGCTAATTTCAGTACAGGAGTACAGGGCAGGAATCCGCTGGGTGCCAGCAAGTGCCTCTGCAGGCACCCAACTCCTGGCACACAATGAACAACCCTTAGCAATCCAAACTTTTTGTGTCACAAATGCATATACATACACCCACCCCATTTAATTCTGTAACAATGTAATTCCAAATAAAGTGTCCTTCTTTAGTTGATCGTCCAGGGATCCAGACATTTTTTGGGTGTCCCCTGACTGTTTGGGTAAAAAAACCAAAAACATTGATGCGTCATGGGCCATAAACCCAATCCATATATTTTTAGTCAACACAGCAACCCTACATACCAGGAAACGTGACTACAGAAGGGGCAACCGATATTACCATCAAAAAGGATATGAATGTATCAAAATTTTAATAGCTATTCTCCTAAGCAGATTAAAAGGACTTAAAATGTACAAGGCAGGCGTGGCACTAAATCGGAAGAGTGTTTTGCCTCTGTTTAGTACTACAAAGGTCTGCAGAGAAAGAGAGAGAGAGAAAGAAAAAGTTATGCACATATACCTCTCAGCGGAAAACACACACACACATATACAATCTAACCATAACTTGAAACCAGTATTTTGGGTTAGCTTTAAAACCACATTCATATGTCTGATGTTCATATTGTTGTGTTTCATTGTTTGTCATAAGCAGCTTTGTGGGAACTTTTAGAGCTGAAATGTGGCAGATAAATAAATACAGAAAGTTAGTAGTACTTTTAGAACAAATACATAAATGAAGTTTGCAATCACTGTAACACTTACCTGAAAGTCAGGCTCATTGATTTCAGTGGGACTTACTTCTGAGTAGATGTGCAGAGAATTGTACTGGTTTTGGTTTTATATCCATGTCTTAATTTTATATTTTATGGTTTGTAGACAAAACTGTACACAGCCCAAATAACTATTTAAAACATTTTGTACATTACCTAGTCATTTATTGTTTCTAGTATTGAAAGACCACACACACATCTAACATAAAAGCCAAATATTTATCAAATCAACAAAGAGAAAACTTCTTAATAAAGGGTTGTGTTTTCATGCTGTTTTGACTTTTCACAAAGTCACAAAAGAAAGAATGAAAACCCAAGCCTTCATTAAGAAGTTGTCCAAAGCGGTGCTAGTTGACTTTCATGAAAAATGTGTGAAACAACAACAACATGTAACATGTTCAACAGATAAGGCCCCATTTTAAAATACGCATAGGATGCTACGTCTGTAAGAGGGACATAGGTTAGAGGCCACAAGCACCATCTGGCAAAGGCCTTTTTGCTTAAGTCTCTAAGAAGCCGTCTTATACCACATCAGACCATCAGTTTACACTGACATGAGTTTAGACAGGAGCCTTTCCCCAGTCCTATCTGGAAATGATGTAATTTGCACCTGGGACCTTCTGCATGAAACAACATGTTCTACCAGTGACTCCAGGCTCCTTCCCTGTCCGTTACTTTTTCTATACAGACCACTACCTTTCTTTCCCAAAGGAAACTCAAAGGACCAACTGCATGCGAACCCAATGCAGAAGTCTAATAAATGAGATACAGAAATACCTCTATACATTTTGTGAGAGTGTTTGAAGCAAGTGTAAGATAATGTAGGGTATCATCCCATAGAACTTAATTAACCATCTCACCCCACTTTCTATTCTTTTGTCCATATGAAACATATTTGTCCTTATGGACAAATGAAGACCAGTACACTCATTTTCTGCCTTCCCTTGGTTTTTCCAGCCTTCTTTCATCTTTCAGGGATCTAGACCTCAAGTTCCTCCTGCCATACACCCAAAGCAACTCTGTCTATTTCCTCTCCCTTTCCTCTAACTTTCTCCTCCCTGCAACCTCTCTTTTTATCTTGCCTGGCTTGAGATTGACTTCACCCCCAAAGGTGCATTCCTCCATTGTCTCCCAAGACAGATGGATGCCAACTACGGCCAAGTATGTAACGGCGTCAAAATGGAAATAAAATCAAGGCAACTCATTTCAGCAATTTCAAAACAGGTAACTGTAAAACAACTATAGTTCGTATTAACAATTACTATAATACAGTGGTGCCCCGCAAGACGAATGCCTCGCAAGACGAAAAACTCGCTAGACGAAAGGGTTTTCCGTTTTTTGAGTCGTTCCGCAAGACGAATTTCCCTATGGGCTTGCTTCGCAAGACGAAACTTCTTGCGAGTTTGTTTCCTTTTTCTTAAAGCCGTTAAGCTGTTAATAGCTGCTAAGCCGCTAATAGCCACTAAGCCGCTAATAGCCGTGCTTCGCAAGACGAAAAAACCGCAAGACGAAGAGACTCGCGGAACGGATTAATTTCGTCTTGCGAGGCACCACTGTAACATCAAATGCCTGTTTAGAAGAAACCTCGGAAGCAAAACAGGTCAGGCACCAACCCTTTGCCCATTTCCTGAACTTCTGCAGTAAAATAAGGAAGGTAGGAATGCGGTGGAAGAAACCAGACTTGGAATTTCCATGTGGGTTGTTGACTGGTGCTGCAGCGCTTCCACCCCATTTGTTGGTTCATTTTTAATTTTGACCTGTTGTCGGATATCTGTACTTTTTTAAAACGATCACCTGAAAGTCCTGAACATTAAAAAACACCATCCCACAATAAAATCAAACAGTAAACCCAAGAAAAGACATGGCGCGTAGCAAGCACCCCTGCTGGCTATTAAAAACATCTATTGAAACAGCAAAAGTCTTCAATGGGCTCCTAAGAGCTAACAGATAGTGGGCCTAAAAGGTTTCCCTATGGAGAGAATTCCAGAAAATGGCAGCAACCCTCAAAGGGCCCTCACCATCCCAGTGAGGAGACTACTGTGCTCGGAAGAGAGGCTCCTTAGATGGGCCCACAGGTTAACCAAAGTGTTGATGCTAACTTTTAAAGCCCTAAACAGCCGAGGCCCAATATACCTAAAGGAGCATCTCCACCCCCATCGTTCAGCCCAGACACTGAGGTCCAGCTCTGAGGGCCTCCTGGTGGTTCCCTCACTGCGAGAAGCGAGGTTACAGGGAACCAGGAAAAAGGCCTTCTCAGTAGTGGCGCCCGCCCTGTGGAACCCCCTCCTGTCAGATGTCAAGGAAATAAACAACTATCTAACTTCTAGATGACATCTGAAGGCAGCCCTATTTAGGGAAGTTTATAATGTTTGATGTTTTATTGTGTTTTTAATATTCTGTTGGGAGCTGCCCAAAGTGGCTGGGGAAACCCAGCCAGATGGGCGGGGTATATATAATATATTATTATTATTATTATTATTATTATTATTATTATTATTATTATTACCACCACTTCTGAAATGAACCAGGCATGGGCAGCGTGGGATCCTGCGTGACCACAAAACCAACAAACAAAACAGAGTACTCGTGCATAGGATTGCAGCTTGACTTCTGGATAAACATGCATAGGATTGCACTGTGAATCTCTTCTACAACATTTTAGAGACTTTAAAGTATGGAGACAAAGCCAGTTTAAAGCAAACAGTTCAATCCGGTTTCAAAATCGAGCTCACCCATCTCTTAGCTTTCCGTGGCTATAGAAAGCTATCTATAAGGGGGTAATATTCAAATATGCAATTCACTACTTGGGATGTGAAGTGGTGCAATCCAAGGAAGGCTGTTCCTGCTCATTCAGAATAGTGACAGGGAACACCAGAATAACGTCCGCCATTTTGTTCAAATGATCAAGGCCCCTTGCTTGCTTATTTCTGAAACAAAGCAAGTTTACTGGCTTCCGTTCCATTCACTCTTGGCACAGGGTGCAAGGTGTTTCTAAGTCCTCTCCTAGCTGGCTAAGCCTTGATGGTTATGCTCAAGCTCCAGTTGCTGCACACAAGGAAGGAAGCTGACTAGGTGAAATATTGGCCTGATCCTGCAGATTTTTTTTATCTTATGTTATTACAGTTTTTCCCAAGTACAGCACAGCTTCCCTTTGGCTAGGACAATAAAATTCTCCTGCGCCCTAGGGATATTCTGTAGACACTGGGTGTCAAGATGCACTGTGCTGAGGGATGGTCTCCAAGAAATTCAAAACATGAGAAAAATACAGTGGTGCCAATCATTTACCTGTTGGTATGGTAAAGGTAAAGGTAAAGGACCCCTGTTAGTTAAGTCCAGTCACGAACAACTCTGGGGTTGCGGCACTCATCTCGCTTTACTGGCCGAGGGAGCTGATGTTTGTCCGCAGACAGTTTTTCTGGGTCATATGGTCAGCATGACTAAGCCGCTTCTGGCAAAACCAGAGCAGCGCACAGAAACACCGTTTGCCTTCCCGCCGGAGTGGTACCTATTTATCTACTTGCACTTTGACGTACTTTCAAACTGCTAGGTTGGCAGGAGCTGGGATCAAGCAACGGGAGCTCACCCTGTCGCGGGGATTCAAACCGCCGACCTTCCGATTGGCAGGCTCTAGGCTCAGTGGTTTAGACCACAGCACCCAGTGAATATCACTAGTACACAGACATTCTCAACAAGACCAAGGGAAGAGACCAAGGGAAAGAATGACAATCTGAAAATCAATTATCACCCCCCAGAGAAAAATTCAAACTTGGACTGGGGACACCTGGGTAAATGTTCTCAATGAGCTGGTCTATATTTAAGACTCGCATCTCCATGGCAAGTGTCTCTGTTCCACGTTATATTGAATTAGTACAGATCACTGTTTAGAGCTGGGGCTGTCATGTAGTGAGTTTCTCTGCCAGTGGTCCATATCGGGGGCATTTGCTTGGCAGGGGCCGCGACTGATGCAGTGAGTTCTAATTAAGTATTTGGCCAGGGGCTGAGGAGATCCCAGTGGGGATGCCAATAACATATAGAGCAGCAGCCTAAGCAAAATCCCTGGGTTTACCAAGATGCCACTTCATCTTACTTACCCAATCTGTAAAATAGAAGTCATAGCAAAGGAAAAGGGAAAGGGAAAAGGCTGGGGGCGGTGAGAGGAACAGGATTCCTTGGAAGGTAGTGGACTCCCCCTTTTTAAACAAAAGCTGGGTGACCACCTAACAAGGATGTTGTAGCTGTGGGTTTTTTTGCATCAGCAGGGAAACATTCCAACACGGAGATCTGCATTATACTAAGTCAGGACAATTGGTCCATCTAGATGAAAAGGTTGCACTGCTGGCTAAGATAGCTGGCTGGTTTCAGCAAGAGAGCTTTCCTAGGCCTATTGGGGTGTGTTATTGGGTTGTTGTTTTTATTTTGATTGTATGTTTTGTGGTTTTATATTTTGATTTTCTTCTGTGAACCGCCCTGAGATCTCCCAGTACAGGGTGATATATTAATTCAATAAATAATAAATAATAATAATAATCTAGAAATGCTTGAGAACCTGGGACTTTCATAAAGAAGCTCTACCACTAAGCTTTGGCCTGGTTTTGGCCTTCAGTTGATGACTCTGTGTCTTATAGTTGTGACGAGGTTCATTGGAATAAAGAAACAGTGCCATCTTCCCTAAGTATTGGGGGATAAGGCAGAGACAGGTGCCATCCTCCAATTCCGGTGCCAGTCAGGCCACGCCTCTGCACTTAGCTCTCTGGCCGCCATTAAAAAGAAAGAGCCAGGACTGCTTTTCATACGCTAGAAGCTGGCATTAAGAAAAACATGGCAACATTCCAGTTGTTCAAGCAGAACTGCTGCTTTTGATGATTCAGAGAGGCGTTTGTGTGTGTGTTTTAAATGCATTTGTGGGATGATCTTGAACCACTGGTTATTTGGAGAAGTAATGCACATCCTTTCTGGTAAAACACAATGGAATCAGGAAATGTGCCATTCCAGGGTTTGTGGGAAGAGGCACAAGGCCTCGCTATACAGAACAGGAAGCTGGGGGAGAAACTGTTCATCAAAAACATTTCCAGTGATGTCTGTAGCTCACTATTTCTAAAAAGAAAAAGAAAAAGACCCAACCTTCTATGCAGTCATGTTGTTCTCTGCACAGCACACAAGATGCGCTGCCAGAGGCCTCCCACATATTTCTAAATGGGAAGCCTTCTCTGGGGAACATAAAGGGCTTTCTTCAGTACAGCCTTTCACATACCTGGGCTTGCACCACTGGATGGGTGGGTATGGAGCACCTAAAGGTGCCCAGTACTGTACACAAAAGAAATCCTGCATTTCCTCGTATGTGTTTGGCTTTGCAAACAGCACCTCTTAGCTCAGCTGACCTCCGCACACCTGCCGAAACAGCCTCCAAGGCTTCTATCAAAGCCACCGTCAAGAGGGTGTGGTACTAAGTTGTGGCTGTGCTGTGTGCAGTAAAACTGTCATGCGGGCAAAAGAGAAATGCATGCCCTCCAACATTTCTCCGATGAACATAGGAACGTCCTTTTCTTTATTACTCTTATTCTTATTTTACTGTTTATAACCCGTGAATCTGACTGGGTTGCCCCAGCCACTCTGGGAAGCTCCCCACATATATGAAAACACAATAAAACATTAAAAAAAAATTCCCCCTACAGGGCTGCCTTCAGATGGCTCGGGGGTTGGATAACTCCAACATTTCTCCAATGAAAATAGGGACGTCCTAAGGAAAAGTGGGATATTCTGGGATCGAATCAGAAACTGGGATGGCTTCTGTAAATCCAGGACTGTCCCTGGAAAACAGGGGTACTTGGAGGGTCTGGAAATACCTCCCAGTATTTAACTGTTTACCCAGCTCATACAAGCATCAGAAGATGCCCGTTGCAACAGACCCACAACCCATCTCTAGCTGCCTGCACCCTGTTCTGACAAGGGCCTACCAAATCCAGACATTGGTGCTCAAAAGATCCTCACAGCAGCCATGCCTCCTGCCTCCCCTTGCCACTCGCAGGCCCAACCATTCTAAACCTGAAAGCGCAAGCTTGTGTTGTCCCTGAACAGCCGTACTCAGGCAGCCTCACCTTCTGCCTGCCTGCTGTTTTCCTCCTGCTGGCTGAAAGGGACATCGCCCCCAGAGGAAATCTCCTTCCTTCCCCTCCATACTGACCAGACCCTGCAAATTCACCTCAGTCCTCAGCTAGCTACCACACAAGGTGCCTCTTCATCTTAAAAGCTCTCTTCCTTGCCAGCGGCCCGGGCATTCTGCTTACCGCTGAAGGCAGATCCAAATAAATCATATTTTCAAAGGGAGAACAGCCACGACGTTTCTGAGTCCCAGAATCCCTTGGTGCACGATGAAATCTATTTTGCACCCAGCCTAATCTAACCTAATTAAAGTCTGCGCAACACCTCCTGCACTACCTCCAGTTCTGGGAGAACGGACACTTCACTCTCAGAGGTAGCAGCAGCTAGAGACCATCAGTGGAGGAGGTGAGCTGTTCACCTGGCTCCCCTTCATAGCTGCTGGAATTGCCCTTTTTGAACCTTTGGCCAGCAGAGGGTCACCCCCTTTTTGGGGAGCAGCTTTGGGGGGGGGAAGCAAGGACAAGGGCCACCCCCAGAACATCATCTTCTATGGAGATTGCCTTGCCCTAAATTGTTTTAAGTGCTTTTTAACTTGTACGCTTTAAATTTTGACTTTTCAAATTAAGGGAGTAAATGTGCCTGGGAAGAGAGCAACTGGGGAAAGCAGCTGGCACCCCAATTGCAGTGGTTCTGGGCAAGTGGGTGGGACATGTCTGGTAAGGGACATGTGGCACAGGGAGTTGGTGACTGTGCCATGTGCCAGACCTCCCTTCAACCTGAGGAATTGTGGCTGTCCTATCAGCCAGCCCTGGGGTCTGTGGCTGTTCAATGTTAGGTTGGTCCTGCCTCACCCATGATGTGATTGTGGATAAGGAGGCTGATCTGGTCTGTATTACTGAGACCTGGGTGGGTGAGCAGGTGGAGTTGGTGCTGGCTCCTTGGTACAGCTCCAGGGCAGACTTGAGGGTCGGGGATGGAGAGTTGCTGAGATTCCATCTCTGTCTCCAGGCTTTCTGGCCAGTTCGGTGGGGAGCCAGAGTGTTTGTTCCTGGTGTTGGGTAATTGGGACATATTAGGGATTCTGCTGGTTTACCACCCACCTGACTGCCCAGAAGTCTCCCTGCCTGAGCTGACAGAGCTGGTCTTGGAGGGAGTGTTGAGGACTCCCAGATTGCTGGTGTTGGGGGACTTTAACATTCATGCCGAAGCCATTAGCTCTGGCATGGCTAAAGACTTCACGGCTGCCATGATGACCCAACATGTCATTGGCCCAACATATGTGGACCTTGTTTTCTTAGCTGGGCAGGAAGAGGGTGAACTGAAAGTGGGGGTTATTGACATCAGTCCCTTGTCATGGTCAGATCACTTCCTGTTGAGATTTAGGCTCTCAACACCCTTCTCCCTTTGCAGAAGTGGGAGACCTATGATGATGGTCTACCCTCAGAAGCTGATGGCTCCAATTGGTTTTCAGACAACCTTGGGGGGTTTCCCTGCTGATATGACGTGCTCCTGTTGAAGCCCTGGCCAACTTGTGGAACATCTGGATGGCTTGGGCCACTCACATGATCATCTGAATGCCCTCTCCTGCTTTGTGGAGCCCACTTGGCTCCCTGGCTTGCAATAATCATCTGAGGCCCTTCTTCATGTGCCCCCTCCATGAGAGGTCAAGAGGGACTAGATGGACTCTAGGCCTGATCTAGCAGAGTTCTTCTTATGCTCATTGGCAGGGGCTTCATAAAATGCAAAAGGCTCATGCTTTTGTGCAGGCTATTGGTTATCACACAACCACCTCCATTTGTGGTACCAGTTGCACGTATAGTTAAAGGAAGCACAACATAGGAGCTGGTTGTGAAACGGGCTCTTTAGCTTTCTTGACTGAGAGCATAACAAAACTGTTAAGAGTATATTAGGTAAAGTAAAATGGAAGGGCTTTCAATGTGCATCATCAATTTCCCACGCAAAGCATTATGGCAAAGTTTTAAGACCCTCCCCCTTCCACTTTAGAGGGAATCGGGCTGCCAAGTCCCACAACCACTTTGAGGCTTATGCTCAATATGTGATGGTGATGATGGTCTTTTATTAGTCTAAATGGTACACTGAGACATTGAAAGGATGGAGAAAATGTCCCATCACTACCACAAACCCAGATCCAATAACCTTTTGGGAGCATTTGACGCAATTAAGTAAGTCAGGTTCTGGATTATATGGTGGCACACCGCACCTATCTCTTTGTCAGGTCTAGATACATTTCATCTCTGCCCAAGGTGAATTTTAGAAAGTCACCATGGATAGAAGACAAGTCTTCAAATGCTGCGAATTGGCCTGGGAGACACCGGACCTAAAACGCCATGGTGTTTCTCTTTCTTGACTGTGATGGACTGCCTGCCACTCCTTTTCTCAGTATCTGTTGCCCCTTCCCCCTTTTATTTATCTGCCTCCTCCCTACTAGATGTGCTGACTTCCAGAATTGCTTAAGCTACGCATCGAGCTGTGTGCAGATTTTGCAGAGCTATCAGCTACCCCAACAAACAATCAGATACATTTCTTCCCCAACCCTGAAAAAAAAATGAAGAGAAGATTTGTATTTGAAAAGCCCACAGAAAAAGGTCCCCTTTCATATGCAGCAAGAGACTCTTGCCACCCCAAACCTGTAATTCCTTCTGGGGACAAAAAAGACTTGAGTTTTTAATAGGCTGGGTCTTGGTGACTCACTTTCTGCGTCAAATAGAAAGGGTCAAAGTCCTCCAGTGGCACAGCAACCAGGCCTTTTGGGATATCCCCATAGATGAAAGGCAAATTCTTCCCTGCCTCCAGGTCACTGTTTGGTTTTGGTTTGCTCTCTTCGTCGTCATCTCTGTGACTGCTGTCTTGCTTGGGGCGCTTCTTCTTCTTATCTTCTGCGATGCGCTTCTCGATGTTAGCCAGAGATTCCGGAGTGAAAGGTCGAAAACTATCAGGGCCTGGTGGTGCAAGCAGCCGCCCTGCCATTTTTTCATCCTGCAGAAACTTATTTAGTTATGATGCGCCCGGGATAGGTCAGCTCTGTAGAGGAGAGAATAAGACAGACGGTCACAAGTCAAATCCTCAACGTACTGGTGGGTGAATTAAGTATTTTTGGAGGGAAGAATGAATGAGTCTTGTTGAGCCACATCCCCATTGAGATACCACCAACTGTTGCATTGGTTTTACCATTCACCATTTGCATCTTCTCAAGGGGAGCGTTAAACAAAGCTGCCCAAGACAATGAGCTCAACACATTCCCCATGTATCTCACTTAAACCAGAGCTAGCCGACATGGTACCCACTGGATGTTGTTGAGGGTTGCCATATTCCATGGATCAAAAACCCAGACACCCCACCATCACCACTGGGGCACCTCCGCCACCATCCTGCACCTCCCTCCCTCACCCTCCGTGCTGCTAATCCCTTCCTCGCCCACCTGTTCTCCCTCCCTCCCCTCTCTTATCCTTGCTGTCTTTGGCCTCCTGCTCACGAGGGGAGGTTGAGCGGCCCCAGGAAGGTCACACAAGGCCAGGCAACCGCTTTGACCGGCGCGGGGCCTAGCGCGGTCCTGGGACTCCAACTCCCATCAGCTCCAGCCATCATGGTTAATGCTCACAGATTATAAGAGCTGTAATTCAAGAGCATCTTGAGGGTCACAGGTTCCCCATCCCTCTCTTAAACTACTTAAGGTTGTCAAGTTCACTGGTCCATTATAGAACTCATGTAAAATGGCAGATAACATGGATGAACTCTCTACTACTTACTGTATTTTATGATACTTAGTACTACCCTGATAACTCTACCTCTTCTGGAGACAGCCTTTTAATATTAAGACTGGCCAACCACTCCAGAACTTTTAAATCCTATGGTCCTCCTATTACTGTTTTCCTTCTGAGCAGCTTCATTTTGTGATGCCAAAAGTTCTCTGGTGTTTCTCTAAGAACCGCTAATGCCTGAAGAGAAACATGGCAAAGTTTGCAAGAGCAGATTCCTTAATAAGAAGATGGACAAGTTACCCTGATTTTCCAGGACAGTGTCTAGCTACAGGGTAGGATTAGCAATGTTCTGTGTTGTAGTCCCAATTGTATGGGTCCAACAAGCTTAACCAGAGTCCAACATGAATCAAGCATCCCCCAGAATTCACCACAATGCACAGGAGTTCCATGGCAAATGCCTGTGTGGTCCTTGGCAGATAAGTCAATTTGGAAATACTTCCCTGAAAGCAGAAAGACTGAGCACCACTGTGTTAGATTTAACCAAAGCTCCACACATGAACCCATCTCTTTTTAAAGTATATTAAGGTAGGCATCTTCAGCTGTGCATGCAACAGTTCAGCAACAAAACCAGTGGCCCATCACTGTAAACCACAGTTAATGATTCACTATGAATGCTCCTATATGGGTTGTTTCGCTTCTCCCTGCTAGTACACAGAGGAAACAAACCATGATCACTGGCTTAGTGTTATGTTCAAACCAATGACCATGGTTTGCTTCACTCCAACAAAGCACAATCAGTAAGCCAAAACAAGCCTTGGCTTCAGATCATGGTTTCCTGAAAATGAAACAAACCACAATCCCTCTTTCAAAAGTAACTCTAAGTCAAAGGCCTTGGTTTGATTCCCTCCAGTGCTAGCAGGCAGCAAAAACCAGGGTGGGATCAACTCATACACGGTAAACCATGGTTTATGGCTTACCATGATCTTTGAACATGGTCAATACAACATTAGAACAATAACAGCCCAACACTATAATTTTGGCACGAATGTATGTCAATCAATGGTTTAAACATTATTATTACTTTTATGTTGAAGTAATGGCAGGAGGATACCATTTTTGGCCCTGACACAAATGCGCATGCACCACATGCTAACATCTGCATATATGGAGCTTTTCTGAATGCCAATGTTAAAATACATTTCAGGGATTAGTGAGTTTGATGGAGATGGGGACTGAGGAGGAGCCCATATCTATATGAAATATCTTCAAATGTTGGCTGATTTGCTCTAGTATATTTCTCCTCTTCCCTTTCCGTCAAGCTGCCTGCCTGAAATCCTATAGGCCGCTAAGCAAGAAATCAATCTCTGCCATCCACAGATTCAGCTAGCATTTTAAACTAGCAGATTATCCTAACTCAGCACCTTCTTTTTCACTTCTCCCTTGAGCAGTACAATACTGTTCACACAAGGCCACAAAAAGCCACACAATCTCTTCATATTACTCACACTATTGGAAGCCACAAGTATTGGTGTTAAGATCAGAGTATACAGGTAAAAGAAACCATGTGTCCCAGGTAAGATTTGGACCAGTAATGCTTTGATTTTTAATCTTTAAAATATGTTATGGTTTTAGTTTGTTGGCTAGGGCAGGCATGGGGAAACTATGGTCCTCCAAACATCATTAAAGACTCCAGCTCCCACCAGCTGCAGCCAGAATGGCCAATGGCCAAGAATGTCCAACAACATCTAGAGGCCACAGGTTCCCCAGCTCTAGTCTAGGGACCTGCATCTTGCTTTGGGTGAAAGAGGGATCCTGAGTTTACAAGCCTTGGAAATCAGGGAAAGAAGGGCCATGCCAAAAAGATGGATAGATGGCAAATAATTCTCACTATTCGGCATCCATACAGTACCAGGCAAAACCTGAATGCAACAACCTCCTGCCTTGCTGAAACCTCCTGTATTATGTATTACATGTAAGTATTTGCTGGGGGTGGGGTGGGGGAAAGTGGCTAGCTGAATACCTTTTCTAGGGTTGCCGTTAAAAATAATGCCTGTTTCTATGCCTTAACTGCACAGGTTGGGGTTAACAGCAGGCTGATCTTGCAGACATGAGCAGAAGATGATAACCCTTATCTTCATGCAGCAAAAAACTTCATCTGCTGCCGATTTCTGCAGATAAGGTTTCTGCTCCAAGGACAAGAGCAGTTTAGGCTTTTTACTGATCAGTTGGCATCCCTGTGTCTGATCTCAATAGGGACCTATGCATACGAAGCCAAAATTAGGTGAGTTTTTTAAAATCAAACTGAATTTAATGCAAACATTCTCCTCCCCCCCTCCAAATTCCATTGCCAGTAAGAAAATACGTAAGATTTTAGAAACAGAGATGCTACTAAGAAAATTTCTTCTTTTTGGCAGGCACCATGAAAAGCAAACAAAGACATATTTGTTTGAAGGATGAGTCTAGAGAAATAAGTTTGCATTCTGCAGGGACTGCACAGTGTCCCCAGCAAAGAGGCCGCCAACCAGGTATGACGTGCTGTCAGACCAAATAATAAGTGTGAGTCAGAAAAACAGAGTTTGTCTGCATCTGGTGCTCCTATGTAGAACAAGCACACAGAGAGATGCACAAGCAGAGTCCCCCCCCCTTCTCTGTAGTTTGACACCTTTGCCGGAGAAACAGGAAGGAGAATGAAACCGTGATTCAGGACTGACGATTCAGAGCTTTTCGCTCCGAAGGAAGGGGAGTGGAATTCTAGAAGCTGTGCACTGATGCAACGGCACTGCAGCACTGCAGACTGAAATACAACAGAGCACACGAGCTTTGGCACTTAAGGGAGCCGTCTAACTGCTGGATGGGCAGAGGTTTTTTTTAGGTGCAGAAATAATCCCGTTGCTTCGTGCACCAGACACAGAGGGACTAACTTGTAGAAACAAACAGAGACGGTACAGATATATTCAGCAAATAAGAGAAAGGCACATACAAACACAAAATGCTTTTTCACGTACAATTCTTACAGCAGAAAACAACTGGCTAGCAAGGACCCCTTGAATAAGGAATGATGACTCAACATATTCCTTGAAGCCAACGATCCCCTACGGGGCCAAATCATTACGATGCAGCTATAGCCGCATGGAGTCAGTCATCACCATCATTAAGAGGTCTAGTTTGCCTTCCTTACCCCTCTCAGCTCAGGCGCCACTGAAGACGCCTAAGATTAACACCACCTTAACAGGAGTTTATTACTGTAGTGTAGCGAGCAGACTGCTGGGATAACCCAGGCTGAAATCCCCACTCAGCCATGAAGCTCACTGGATGACCTTGGGCAAGTCACCATCTTCTAGCCTTACCTACCTCACAGGGTTGTTGTGAGGAGATGCCACACTGAGGAAGGGTGGAAGCAATACAACACCCCCATAATCAAATGGTTGTGTGAAGAGGTGCTGCATATTGGACTGTCTGAGGACACACAACTGCAAAACGAGGAAGGCTGCAGCCTTTAACTGGCAGATCAGCTGGCTAAAGTTTTTCTTGATTCATCAGAGGGAGTAATTTTATTTGATAAGGCTGCGAAGGCATTACCTGTTTGCTTTAAGGATATTTTAGCTCTGGTTTGTTACTGTAACAGATAACAAAAAAAAAAAAGGAAAGATGACCAGTCCCGTCTAACAAAGAATGGCAGCTTTCTTCTTCTTCTTTTCCATTAGCTCCTTTGGCATATTAAAAAAGGCATCTATAATGAGGTTTTGATAATATGCCCATGTGTTTAAATTTGACTTATTAATAGATTAATCAGTTAAACATCATATGATTAATCAACCAAAACTTCTTTAATTGGCTGATAGTGCTAAGCATGAGACAGTGGAATATTTATTTCTGCAGTTTATCGAGAGCAAGCATGCAATGCCAGTCAGTTGAAGCACGTTTCATCTGCAATTATAGCATCACCGATAAACCTCACCTCCAACCTTATAAAGCCAACAGAGCAAGCAATCATAGAGAAAGGCAGAGCGATTTTGCCCAAGGCCACACTAGCAGAACTCTAATCAGGTCAACTGTGCCCTGCAGGACCATTCCGCCACCTGAGATTCTCAATGTCTCCCAGGAGATAGGGAGGTTTAATCCTATAATCAATTTCGAACACTACACAGATACACAATGCAAGGAAATGAATGGGACAAGCCATTTTAAAAAGTGCAGGTCCTTATGAGAAATTTAAGACAACAACATCCATAGATTTCAGGGCAGTTCACGACATAAAATCACAATATAAAAACCACAAAGTAAATAATAAAATTAAGAACAACCACAAACCAATAAACCAAT